ATCATCTCTTATTAGCGATTCACAGCATCCTCGTATGGACAGCATGCGTCCAGTAATCCCCAATATCGAGACTTAAATGGGCCGTGTCACATCGTTAGGATCTAAAGATTTCAAATTCTTGAATGAAACAATGGACTCTGCACTACATGTGTCTACAATAAAGTCATGAAATGAACCAAGCGATGTATATAATCGCTTTTGAATATGAGCATTACCTTCCAAAATGGTGGACAAAGATAAATGATCATTAGGAACAGACGAAAGAATAGGATCTATATGACAAGGTTTATACTTCATGAACTAAAATGAACAGTAGTTTTGCATACTGAATGAACTTATCCTATATTACCACATTAAAAAATTTAGCATTACGAAATGCACATGAATTACGAAAATGAAATTTGCCACAGGGTAAACATTTACCCAGCTTGCTCTTACCTTTTTGGTTTGCTTTGCGATTCCTGATTGAATCACTTTTCATATTTTCACAAGAATAGGAACCACTAGTAAACGAACGCAAGGTTAATCGACCTTGAGATTGTATTTCATCATGGCAACTGAGTAAAGTATTAGAAATTTTCATCGACTGGATATCAAGTTCATTCACTGCTTCGTAGTTAATACACACAGTTTTGGCATCTTAAAAAAACAGTTCGGCATTCTTAACAACTCTCTTTTCAGAGCCGGTATGTTAATTCTTGCAATTAATCGATCCCTTAGCTGCACATGAAGTTGATCACCAAAACTACATTTGGCAGCTTGTTTTTGCAATCCAAAGATGAATTTACTAACCTTTTGGTTATTCTGACGAATAATCATGGGAAATTTTGCTATCTCACGACATCCAAAACTGGTGCATTTTACATGATTTAATAGTGGCTCCTTAAGAGCTGCAAAAGGAAGTGAGATAGGCTTTTCTGGGCATGCCAAAGTTGTTAATAAGCTGTAAGCTTCTTGTTCTATGAATATGAAGGAATGTGTCGCAATTTTATCACCCTTCACATCTTTCTTGGTTATGCTCAGATTTCAAACCTCCATCGCGACACCAATGTGATGATTAGGAGTTTTTCAATTACAGAACAAACTGCGAATCCCAGAAATAACGCAGTTTAACCAAGAGATATATGGACACGAACGAACGTATTGTAATTGGAATTCGTAACCAAGCAGTTATCAATTACAGAAGAATCATTATTTCATATAAACACCACATATGGTTATAAATACAATGTCGCGGAAAAGAGAAGATATGGCACTTTATTGTGGTTAAGAAAGTTACTGAACCGATTCATCACTATAAGATTAATTTACTCCTCTATCTTGTATTTTCTGTTGAAAGTAAATAGGTCATCATTAATATTGCTGTTTTGCATTACCAGAATTACCAGACCCAAATTTACGCTCAATCATAACGAAATTTCCTGTGATGTATGTCCACTTCAATACTTATTATCATTCTGATTTATTAGTAAAAAGATAAATGATTCTTGAATTTTTGTTTTAAGGCAAAATATCAATTTTTAATTTTTGTAGCAGTTAGTCGGTTGATGTAAGCACCATAGTTCAAGAATCCTAAGTTTTGAGGGTTGGTATATTCCGAGAGCGGTTTATTTGTTCCTGGTCAAAAGTGTTTCCCACTCATTACAGATTGTCTATCAATGCACACAAATGGAGGTGAGTAAACCAGAAATACATGTTGCTCGTTTATGCTTAAACTTCTCATCACGGTACTCCTGTCAGATCATTATCAAACATACAAGCGGTTTGAAAATTTATTCATAGGTAAAAAGACACCTTGCATGTATTCTAGCAACAGCCTAACCCTCACATTTGCCATCAGTGTTGACTGTCATCCTACAACAGTAGGGCAGCCTACCTCCTCTTTAGAAGACTGAATTACTGTCGGTAAAAATTTATATGCTGAAGTCTAAAATGGTTTAAAATCCAGATTGCCTGTAAGCATTCTTCCAGTTTCGTTAATAACTAATATATCTGTCATTCAATCAGCGACTATTGGTAGAAGCTAATAAGTAAATAGTTCCGTATTATAGACTCTCGAAATTCCCCAACGAAACCGTGATCAACACACCAAAAAAGTACATTTAAACTTGTAGAGCCATTGAAATGTCACTAAGCCCTAACCAAATCATCCGGCAGTTGGGTCATTGAACACCGAGCAAATCATCGATCCTCGTCAAGGTCAGAGGCGACCAACGCGCATCAGTTAATCGTATGTAATGGACTGGCCCATGCGGCAGTGATCTCAATTTCGCTTGTATCTATTTTAACTAATATCCTCTGTGTTGCACAGTCTTCAAATCATCTATGGTACTGTAGGGAGCGATTTCCTACAGGTTTAATTCTGAACTATTCTCTGAACCGTCGAGTATCGAGTCTTGGTTTGGCCAGTCAGAACAAGCAAGCTATTTGGCTAGATAAACTTTATCTGTTTCGAACAGTAGCCAGAAAATAGGATAAATGAGTCAACAAGCAAATATTGCTTTACAATGAACATCAAACTGTGATTGATTAATAAAGGGATACAGTAGTACAAGGTCAAAGGGAGTTAATGTGGTGGTGGGCGTTTCCCTTTATTATTGGTGAGTTCGTCTATCGATCACATTTTACAGGTACCTTGATACGTCAATGGGGTAGTTCACGTAAGGCGCTGACCATGAGGTGTGACTTTGACATTAGCTAGTTTGTCACACCATTCACGTCTAACTCGAGTAGGCGTCCAATCATTTCGACATAGATCATCTATGTTGGTGATTTACAAATTCTTGTGACTTGTGATGAAATTTATAAATCGCTCCCGCTAACTGATCTGGAGTTTTGAAATTCAGCATACGTTATCGATCTCTTGGATGAAGCAAATCACTTCCATTTCTTTCATCAAAGATGTATTACATTTTGACTTCTTTTTGCTTATATTTACCAATGACTTATTATCTATTTTGTGGTTTCATGAGATATTCTATAGATCTATTGTATGAAAAAGAGGGGACAGTCACATTGGGTGGTGTAGCTTAGTCATGAATCTCAGTATATGCAGCAGTAAGTGAGTATACGAAAGTTCAGAAATGTGTAATATAGGACAATAGTCCAAATCTGACAATTATCTGCGAAGTTTCATCATGGTGCCAACAACAAAGCGTAATTGTTTGGTGGCACTGACTGTGCCACATAAAATTTAATGTAAGTATGAAATAAAGATTACTTCAGAAATATCGTCTATGTACTTAACAGGCATCCGAATGTTCAGGAGAGTTTGTGTAGCCAAATCTATCATATGGCGAACAGATAGCTAAAATAAGATACTAACAACCTGTCCATGAGAAACGGTGTTCCTACTAAATAATGAACGGTATTATATGTAAGGAATTCGAACAACCAAATGCTGAAGTTTAAACAACCATGTAACTCAAGATATTATGGCCTTGATCAATATCTTGGGCTTACGTACAAAAAAATTTATGACAAGGGAACATAAGTCATATCGGAAGTACGTGACAATACACGTTTTATTAATAATTCGGAATGATGTCATGAGAAAGTCTAGACTTGAACATCATTAGAGAAACTGATTTCTTACCTGTTGAGGATCTGTTTACAATAATTAGCTATTTCTCCACTTCCATATATATATCAAGGTGCAACAAAATTGGATTGACATAGCTGGTGCGAAATAATGGTTGTATTAGATCAATATCGGAATTGTGTCACCGCTAGCTCTACAATGATGAGCAATTGCATTAAAATGAAGTAAATTCAGAATTGGATCAGATAATTCTAGTATGTATTTTGTTTAAATGAGGGCAAGCTGACCAGTGTCTACTAATCAACATATTTCAAACATTTGTATATCAATATAATATGTCAGTAGACATAAAAATAAATAGGGGCAAATTATATGTATTTACTAATAAGGGATTCGAATTAATAGCATGATTCATTACAAGTTAAATTAATTCATATGATAGTCACATACCCTATCAGACCCTGTATTATAAAATGGGTATTCAGTTGTGTATCCATCATATTTGCACTAAACACCATAAGAGATTAGGCATAGACAATGTGGTTTGAAGAAAAAATATGGGCTTATAAATCTTATCATTTGAAGGAAGAAAAAGAGTGAACCCATTTGTACTATTGCGAAACAATCTGAACTATCTCATACAATATCTCTAATCATTGATCACAGTATTCGTGCACACCTCCACTAGGTAGTTTGCACTAACCAATTCAACTCATTTAAACCATCAATAACCCTATTGACTGGTGCCACGTCTAGGTTTGGTCACTTTCTTCCAACCAGCAGATACAGTTTGTCAAGGTAAACAGTAGTTAGGGATACATAAAACACAACCTAAACACCTGATTCACTAAAGATTAACTACCTTATCAATCAATCTACAGTATTCATCTATTAGACTAGGATTAACCTCAGCATTTCTCACTCGATGGTTTCAACATAATCGAGTAAATATTCGATGACAACTGTAACTGAATACTTCTAATCTGTTCATGTTCATTTTCAAAGAAGACATTTCAGAGTCATACTACATAACCATGAGAAATTTAGGACAAAGTTTAGCAAATTCTTATAACAGATTTAATATTCAAATATAAATATTTGTTATAACTAGCCCACATTCTTCACATCCTAATAACAATAATCATCATTATAGTTGAATGTAAAGGGAGTTTTTTTATTAGAAAGAATATCGTTTATTCAATATACATATTATTACTGTAAACATTCTTACGGAAATATTTAGTCTAAGGAGATCAATATATGATAAAAAAGAAACTAATCTATGCATTAAAAAGACTACTTATAAAAATGTAATAAAAAGATTAACAGGAAATAATGTTTGGTACAAAACAGTGTGTTTTTTCATTGTTCAATCATCATAAAAGTTTGTATAAAGTATAATTTAGTAGTATTTTTTGACTAAAAAGAGATTACTAATATTTTTGTTAATTTCAATTTATTAAGAAGAACATGGAAAACATTTAGCATATGGATCTTCAAAATGACTTGCATCATCGTAGTCATTAGTTCTTTGTTTGTTTGTACTAGATTTAGAATATTTTGGAAAACATGAATATCGACATAATCCCAAATGTAATAGAGCAGAAATAATGTAACATACTCCCGCTACAAGAAATAAATGGTCTTTTTGACTAGTATACTCGACTATGGTAACTTTGGAAAAAAAGATAAACAAGAAAAATAAAAGGGAAGTTTTATGTCAGTGAATCAATAATGTTTATAAAGTGTAGGTGAAATAATAAGTACTATTTTCCAGTGGCTGTGATTGGTTACGTTATATATATGCTTTTGACCTAATTTGGTTTACGTTGGACGACTAATGTAGTACTTTTTGAGAAAGAAAAGGCTAGCATAAGATGAGGAATTTGATCAGAAACAACAACTGACCTGATGAAATTATAAGCCAAGTATAAATCACTACATATATGTAAGTATTTACAGTTTGGGTAGTCCTTAAATGTTGGTTCTTGTCGTGCTGAAGCAGATTCACTTTGCTAATGGATAGCAGCTATGATTTATGTGTTATGGTATTCCTGCTTATCGCTCTCAAACAACTAACATCTAGAAAAACGCATTGTAATATAGAATCACCCAAACTACTGTTCGAATTGCAATCTCATCGATACAGCTCAACCAACATCACATCACGTTACAGACTTTCAATAATAAGTGGTCGATCGGTGAGGATATACATGGAAAACTCACACAAAATAAAAATAATAATTGAGCGACTAGTTCAAGTTAATTTGAGAGTCTGAAAGTATGCGTAGTAAAATACAATAATGAAAAGGATGTTTAAGAAATCAAGGTGAAGATTATAAGGAAAATGTTACTCATCCTTTTTTGATTAGTACTGGGTTAAAAACGGTCATTTGTGAAGGATCGGCTATATGAAATCGACTTAAACTATGAACTGAGGTAATATGAGAAATCGTTTGAAAGATGAAAGTAATGGATAGGTTTCTCGAACCAGTGTCGGAATTTCCATCACTGATTAATTTCTAAATTTGGCTGGTAAGTGATAGGAAGCAAAATTACACACTTGAATGTGCAAATGAATAACTACCAGTTACATTTAATTATGATCAAAAAAACTGAGAAGTAACATCAGGCAGAGAACATGAACCATTGAGTTTCAATCTAGAAGTTAAAAATAATCTCTTCCTACAATTTATTCTCAAAAATATAGTACAAATGAAACCCAATATCATGGATGCGCACTGCTGAGGAGTCCCATACCAGGACGAAACGGCCGTCCAGTGCTTCCAGGTTTTCAATGGTGGTCTAGCTTCAACTGACTCATGATTTCAACTTGTGAAACCCAATATATTTAGAAAACCAATTGAAGCCAAATGAAGGTCAAACGTTGTGAATGTTTAAAGAATACGATTTGTGGAGTAAATATTAAGTGATAAAAAACATTAGAGTTCCAACTTCATTCAAATTCATCAGAAATACATATTAAAATCTCTTTCCACTACTTAAAACTTCGAGAGAATAAATTGGGATAACCCTTTCAGTTGTAAATTAAAAATGAGAATAAAACAGGAGAGTTACTGGATTGAAATACAGTGTACTTACTTGCCACAGTAGGTCCAATCATTGAAAAAATACCTTTTAGTAAATTCAAGTTACTAAAACTCGCTGTCAGGTGCTCAAGTCCACTGAAACGTACTAAAAGTATTGGAATAAGTGGGATAGGTATTCCTAAATAAAAAGATTAAAATGTATATTCGTAAAAATCCATCTGTTCTTTTTAGAATCTAAAAAATATGTCCTATTTGATTCAACTCAAACGTATTGAAAATGGTTCAGCATAAATTAAGGATACTAAAAGTAGTGAACAATACAACTGATCGATCTCTTGAACAAGATTGTCAAAATTTATTTACTATTTAGTGTTTGGTGGTTGAAGGAGATAAATATGAAAACCTGAACCTAAGTTCGCACTGGTTAATACTTGTCAGTAATACGCATTTTTAATCTTAAGCGGATTTATGTTCCTTGTGGAATTAGGACCTGCATCATCCAGTATCACGGTCTGAGACATTATTAACGAGACAATTGGACTTCTACTAGCCTCCTGTACGACTAAGATAACTACAATGATTGATCATCGTGATTTCATTATCATTAGAGTGACTAAAAGTGAAAGGTAACCTAATCTAAATTCACGTTTAAGCTTGTAAGTACTGTAACTAGTAAATTGTTCAAATGTCTTGTTAAGTACAGTTGCCATATGTTAACGCTATTTTGTATCCCTTTAATCTGACTCCAATTGAACCACATAATGACGTTATCGTAATATAAATCACGACTACCCTCATCACATGATTATCGATTTGATTCGCGTTAATGAATAACGGAATACAATAAGTTAAATAAGAGAATGAATATTGAATACGTATTTTTCGTACACTCGTTGATCCAGACAAACATTCATAATGAAAAGCAGGGAAGCAAAGAGAAGGAAGTGAGCCAACTCAACAAAAATAAACTACAGACATGTTATAAGTAGGGTAAGCAATACATACACGGTTATATAAAAACAGTTAAGGCTAAAAAGAAGATAATTTACAAGGTCAAAACGTGACTCGAGAGGAATGAATAAACTGGTCTGTCTGGAAGCTAGGATAAACCATGTGAGCCGGACAGTGTACTAAACACTACAACCAAATTGCTTGAATTACAGGTATCTACCAGACCTAAATGTGAGAGTGGAAGACCAACATAATCTATTAATTTTTTACCAAGGAGGAACTACGGTAAGTCTAACTGTGTAATACATTTCAAAGTACAGATACATATGAGTGAATAGTTGTCATTTTGTTGCATGCTAAAGAACGTTACTTAAGGAATATATCTACAAATAACACTATGATGCAACTGTTTTTTAGATGATGACTAGTCCTCTTCCACAGAACATATCCTTTTATTATACCTACGTGCATGTATTAAGATAAGTTAAAATACTGTTGTTCATATATCGTTAGGTCACACTAAACTAAGATAAATCATATAGAGTAGAATTGCTATCCCATATGGGTGGAAAAACTATTCCAGTATTGATTAGTATGATTTGTTTTCAACTGATATCCTTGAGTTACTACGATTAATTTTTAACATAGAAGTTTAATGTAGTATTTTAATGATCAGTCATTTTGAAATTTCCTATGATTTATTTTCACACTAAAACACAACATGTTTAAATACATGATTGGTTCTTCAACACTATTCATTTGTCATATAAGTTGGAGATTAACTATGGAATTCTATCGAAATTTATTCTTGTTTTGGAATTGCAGTTGAACTTAGTGCTCAATAAACCTAAAAGACAGTAACATTTACATTAAAATGCTTTTTGTTTGTTATAATCAAATCTATTAATAGCTGTTCTAATGTTTAAGAAATGATAATGAATACTTATGACTCGGGTGGTTTCTTCGGTAAGTGACGTGTTCTTTTAGGTAACTAGTTTTGTTATGAAGCTATCACTGTCGTTTTGGAGTATTACACATTAATGTCATGTAAGTGTATTGTAATTATCTAAGATTGAACCGAAATATTTTTGTCGCATAGACAAGTTGATAAGATATTCATTAGGCATGACGCATGTACATTTTTCTGACGCTTAGGTTTTCAAGATAATAAGGACAGTAATTGGTAATGTAGAAATATTTATCACCTCACTCAATAGTATCCTCTTACTGTAGTAATAAGGATAAGAGTTTTTGAATATTACTCATTTATTTTCATTTGCTGCCAGCAAATCTAAGAAACGTTGATAAATTAATTAAATAAATTATTTTCATGCTATCCTAGTGACTTTTGTGATGAAGCGTAAAATAATTTGGTGAACAGCTGATTTCTGTAATGAACCTATATTATTACTTGTGAGTGTTTAAATTATTTAGTTGTTTATATTAGGAACAGAATTGTGATTACTCGTGGTTGGCATGTATGCATCTTTTGTAGATTGCCTCAATATGGTTACAAGCTTCTTAGAGTAAATGGATTTTGGTTATCGACAGAATCCAGGATGTTGATTTTGTTTTGTTTAAGACTTGTCAGCTTGATATACCTGTGGCCGAGTGTTGATGTTTACACTTAAACTTAAACATATCACTTATTACTTCAAATGTCAACACGTTATCAATTGAGCTAATAACTCCAAACAGTCACTAACTTGTTTAACGGATATAAATTAACTTCTAAGGGTTCATATTTCTCCAAAAGTTGGTGAGTTCGATTCCTAGTTTGGATATAAATATTAAGATTAAGGCATATCTAGTTGACCAGTAATAAACAGGACAAAATGCTGGCCTTGGATAGCAATACTAGTGACAATCCATCTATTCTAAAAAACAATCTAATAACCATCAATATTTTAATTCAGTTTAAATAAATAAACTGCAAGTTGAACTAGGAGAAAAGTTAACCACTATGGTATCTACAGTCTATTTTCTAATGTACAATATTTCAATATACACTTACCACTACATAAGCCATAAATGCTGGCATATATAGAATACCACGTAAATGTATGTGGAATTATAAAAACGAGAAATACATGTGCTAGTCCACCACCAAAAGTTGCTAGTCCACTTAAATATACCGAATCTAAATGGAAAACATTTGACATAATACCAGATGTTATTCGACCAAGTGTGTGGAATATACCTGTATATATGTAAATAAAACATTAACAAAAATTAATGATTAAGACTAAATAAATTTTTATCTGAAGAAATTACCTTTTGATCATTTAATTTATATTTGCATATAAAAATTCTGCCTAACAAAATACTATGTTACATGATTTTTATTATGTTGTGAAAAAAATTTCACAGGTTGAATTCATGAGTCAGTTGAAGCTAGACCACCATTGAAAACCTGGAAGCACTGGACGGCCGTTTCGTCCTGGTATGGGACTCCTCAGCAGTGCGCATCCACGATCCCGCACCACGCGGGGCTCGAACCCAGGGCCTACTGGCTTCGCGCGCGAGCACCTAACCACTAGACCACTGAGACGGCATCCAGCTGCTCACTAGTGACTGACTTCAGGAAAAACTCCTGGAGTTCTAGTGAGAAGCCGTTACCAGTGGAGTTCAACCGGTCTGTTGTGAGATATCAGCTCACTGAAGACAATGGTGTACGGTGGCGCAACTTCGTGGATTGGTTGAAGTTAGACATTAACACCGTTGGATGCCGGCTCAGTGGTCTAGTGGTTAGGTGCTCGCGCGCGAAGCCAGTAGGCCCTGGGTTCGAGCCCCGCGTGGTGCGGGATCGTGGATGCGCACTGCTGAGGAGTCCCATACCAGGACGAAACGGCCGTCCAGTGCTTCCAGGTTTTCAATGGTGGTCTAGCTTCAACTGACTCATGATTTCAACCTGTGAAATTTCTTAAACTCTCCACAAAACCCATTCTTGTGAAAAAAAATTGAAAGTTAAACGATAAAGACATTAGAAAGGTAATACGATATGTAACTGTAAATAATTTTGTTTTGTTTACCACATGATCATTATCTACCTAATGTGATAAGTAGTAATCAGATTTTGGCTTCGACCCTTTTTCAAACAATGAAGGAAGATAGATACGAATGTAGTGAACAAGAACACGGGTGGGGACAATCGAATGTATTTAGCACAACAATTACAGTCTATCTCAACAAAATCTGAATACCATATATTAAATCGTCAATTTGCAAAATATTCACGCATCAAACCAAACTGAATTGTTTCTGTTGCAAACACCAATCTATTGTCTCCCATTCCATTGTTCATAGGTTTTCTTACAAATTCCATTATGTTCTCGCTCCACCTTTCTTGATCTTCGCCATCTTCTGCTGCCGGACATTACGTTCTTTTAACGCACGTTATATACTACTTATATCCATATAAGTAGCTCACACCACACGAACAAGTTGAGAAACTGGTTGCTCAAAAAAGAATATGTAATATGGCTTAGTTAGTTCAATATGTATTTACTGACTGAGCTACTCTTATGAGGAGAGCTACATCAATCGTAATAGTAAGTGACTTAACCAAAATCTCCGTTTGTCATTTGAAAATGTTCGAGTAAACTCAGTAAACAGTTACATTTTATCACAATTAGTAAACACAACTTTTGTTGATAAATTTTATGATTATCAGTAAATTAAAAATAAATATAAGCAAATTAGGTTTATATAATTTCATAGAACATTTTCAACTTTAAGGGATGAAGCTAATCGAGAACGTGTGAATACAATAGTTGATAATATGTCAATATTCTACTTTATGATTTGCTACTCTACATATTAAACATACCCCTTATGAATATGCACCAAATAAAGTGATCTCTAATAATAATATTTCTGATTAACGGTCAGTTATGTATTATGGTAAACATATGACGATTTTACATTGTATGCTATTATTGTCTTGTTATAGTCTTTTTCAGTGAAGAAATCGGAACTGATATCGTATTAATATTTTTATCAATTTGATTATTACAGTTACATATCGTACTTAATTTTCCAGATTGTAACTGAAGAAAATTTTCGGTAGGAAGTGAAATAATAACATACATTAGATGTTCATGATTTACTTTGTTCATATACTTATCAACAGTATTAAAACAGGGTGATTAATTATAGAAACAAGAACAAGTTTCGGTGTGAAGCCAGCGTATATTTCTATGAAAGGTCCATTGGAAAAATGTGACAACTTGAAAAGAAACGTATAGGGTTTGAGATGTTCTTTTCATTTATCTATCAGGATATATATTTAATATTCCTTCATAAATAAATTAAAAATCCTTGAAAAGCATAAACACGTACTTGTTATTAATTCGCTGTGAGACGCGATCCTAGGCGTGTCAGACTGTTATCCATCGCAGGTAATGGAAGATGAACGTACAGTATCGCTAAATGATTGAAGTTAGACATGGACACCAATGGATGCTGGCTCAATAATTTAAATGTTGAGTGCTCGTGCACGAGACCGAGGGCTTTTGTTTCGGTCCCCAATACAGTCATGTGTGTACTGCCGAGGAACCCCATAATCGGACGAAACAGTTATTCAATGTATCCTGGTTTAATTAAGGTCACCGAGCAGTGTAATCGATGAAAACAAAATGTTACTGTCAGTATGTCAATAACTAACCAATCAGATGGCTGCTCAAACGCCCATCACGTCAACCTGATCTGATGTGTCTGTAGACTATCCCTGCTGCAAGTGACCTGTCAATTTAAGGACATTAATATCCCATCACATTAGCGTTACTGCAACTCATATTCTTTATTAATTTCAGTAGGACACCCAATACTGGTCTGTATGTTTATACGTTTAACATAATGACTACAATTATTGTACTAGTCGACTTGATTTTTACGTTTAGAAGCAGATAACTATTAAAGCCAAGTTGTCATATGTTCTGACTATAGCTTTTACATAAACTTCGGGTTGTCAGTATCGCGTTTGAAGTCCCGATAGAATATCTGTAGGACAAATTAAATTACACATTAGACCTAAACAGCTGAGTTTTCGCCTAAGTTCAAATAGATTTTCTGTCCATGACTTGAAGAAAAGTAAATAAAACTCAAATGATCTTATAAAATGAAACAGAGATACTTACTTAATATCATAACGATTAAAATAGCACTATCTTGTTCCATCCCATAACTAACTGTATAATCAATTAAATAGACAAATGGAATAAAATATGCCAACTGACTTGTAACACCAATACCTACTAAGTATAAAAATGAGATTTCTGTGAATAAGCTTAAATCAAATAATTTTATTATTCCAAATCCAAATAATACTAGATTTTGTTTAATTGTGTTCACTTTAGATATTGGTGAGTAGGGTTCTTTGCTGTTTTCTGTATTATTCGTAGTCAGTAGGTTTTCTTCCGGAATACTTGTTTCAATAATACTGGATTTAGGATATATATCATTATGAGATGATTTATGTATCGAATTATCCAAAGAATGAAATTCTTCGTGGTTTTGTTCTTGATGCTGTTGATTCAATGGTGTAACAGGAAATGATTGAAATGAAGAAATATTACTACCAATTAACTCATTAATAATTTGATTTTTATTCACTGTTTCAGAAGAAATGATTAAAGATGATTTAGATGCTATTGGATACTTTGAATGTGCCTTTACATTTATTGAAGAAGCTGTAGATTTTTTGTGTTCATTAAAAGGTTGAGTAATTTTAGGATTTAAATTTGTTAAACTCGCTGAATAAAATGCATCTGGTTTGTCAAGAAGGGTATATATTTGACTGGCAAAATTTCGTCTAGACTTTCTCGTCGATGATAAATTATAACTTGAATGGATATAATCGTTTGTAGCTGCAACTGTTATCTGTGTTGTTTGTCTTGGGAGTTTGTTGTAACTTTGTTTCTGTTGCTGGTTAGACTGAGCAGGCTGACATAACTGACTATGATGACGAATATATGATGACTGTTGTTTCTTGAATCCTTGACTTGATTTCCATAATCTTGAACCAATCATAGACTCTGCATCTTCTGCATCGTTGTTAGTGTCCGACAAAATTGTTGGTCCTAATAGATTTTAAATGATTATTTTCAATTAATATCACTTAGTTTTATTAAAATATTCCCTAAGTTAGATCATCTGACGCACCACGGTAGACATTAAATCATTCGGGTGATCTATACTTCTGTTTCAAAACTATGATTAGAATATTTCATTATTGGCAAGTTGAAATAGATAGTGGTTTTTATCGGTAATAATGATCACTGTTACCTTTACGGTTAACAATAATAAGCCCATTTAAAATAAACGGCGATCAGGGTAAATTGAATTATAATGTATAAGACCAATACTACCTGAAAGAAATGACCACCACTTCACCTTCGACAGAAAACTAAAAAAAATACACAAGCAGTTGAAATAGTTATCGAGTTTAAACCATTTACATTTTAAAGTTCTCATCGTTAACCATGATGTTCAATTATTCTAGATTATTTAGCTCGATAGCAAGGGATACCATGTTTCGTATGAGATATATGGCAGAGTACGAAGTATATCTCAAAGTTATCAATTTTACTCTGTAAATCTGTCTGTTCTGTAGGAGATTAGTTACGGCTCAAACGGCTAAATAATATCTTCCTATAGTGTGAATTTAGGCAATAGAGGTTCAAATACCACGGGAAGCACAGGTTCTGACACCGATTTACTTAACATTATTCTGTATGGTATATCAGTTTGTTTACAAAAAATATTTAACAAATTATGTCATCGCTATACAAAATGGTGGAATTTTTGGATACAGTAAATCATATTTTTAAGTTGAAATACATTATTCACGGTTATTAGTTTATCGGCTGATATGGACTTGCCCTGAAATTATTCTGAAATGAGATTCATTTGTGTACCGATTCTGTAATATATGTATATCAAGAGCATTCGGCTTCATGTGTTACATCAAGTCTAATTTATATATTTAAAGCATACTATAAAGTGAGAAATGAAAAATACAACAACAGAGAATATCAGTATGGGGGTTGTGGAGATTGTTAAGTTTTTGGTTGAGATCATGAATCAATTGATGTTAGACCACCGTTGGAAACCTGGAAGCACTGGACGGCCGTTTCGTTCTAGTATGGGACTCCTCAGCAATGGGCATCCACGATCCCGCACCCCGCGGGATTCGAGCCAAGGACCTACTGGCTTCGCGCCTAAGCACTTAACCATTAGACCACTGAGCCGGCATCAAATGGTGTTAGTGTCTAGCATCAACCAATCTACTGCTGAGGAGTCCCATACTAGGACGAAACGGCCGTCCAGTGCTTCCAGGTTTCCAACGGTGGTCTAACATCAATTGATTCATGATCTTAACCCAAAAAAGGAGAATATGTTATCATTCTAGTATGAAACAAATACTAATCTATTTTATAACAATTATGATTATTGCTTCATCGATTTGATCAAACTGAACACAAAGGCTAACCATGCTAGCAGTTATGCTCTAATGTTTAAATCTTACCATATTTACAAATAAGTCTAGTGGCTAGGGTATATACTGTGACTGGAATAGGGATGTTAAGCGATTGGAGGTAGCCGAAATGTAGCCTTGAATCTAGGTTTCGTGTTATTTAACACCCGTCACCGAGGTATCCCTGTAGTATTGAAAAAATTTATGCCCTCTGAGTGATTTGATCCCGCTTCACTTAATCGACAGAATTCGGTTAGTGCGAAAGGACTAGAAAAACATGATATTGGTCACTACTCAGTGATAGATCATCTAGAGTTAGATCTCGTTCGATTGATCGGCTGGTTTTATTCTGTTTATTCTTTTGTTATCTCAAGGTTCATTTTAAGTTAAACTACCATAACAGTACCTAAAAGAATTTAGTCAAAATAAATCACCACTGAGTGAGTAGATTTACATCCTTTATGATTTCAGCTATTCATATTTGGTTATCATTAAACATCGGTATATAATAAACTGTTTTATCAAATGATGTCCACAATTTTCTAAATACTGACTAATAAATTTAATTGAGCTGTGTTATATCTAACATTTGCACCTAAGAATTGATGGCTAAATTTTGAAGTATGGTCTGTTCTCAACAATTAAGATTAAATTTGATCTGTGCAATTAATGGAGCTAAGCATGAAGTAGTTGCTAGTACAATGAGCTAATCCAAGATAGGCCAAACGATGAAACTATGCCATTGCCCAAGATTTAAGTCCCTTTTCTGGGTATATATATGAATTTATAGGTGTCTCTCTGTTGTGCGGCCAATAAAGTCTCCTTATCTTTCTTTCTCTCTTTCTCTTTCAGTTTTTTTCATCTAAGTAACCAGTTAGGCTAGTGTATAGGAAGCATGAATCAGGATCGGACACTGAGCAACACAATATTTGTCTTTTGGAAATAATGATTCAACTACAATAGTAGGAACTCTTGTGGTTGATTGGTATGGACTATTGTATTACAACACATTGATTACATTCTGTTGTGTACTTCTAGAAACCAATATAGTCATGAATTAAATCTTTTGTTAGGTCATGTGTACATATTACTGAAAAGTTCCAAACCATAATCAAATAAAAGTCCGATATGATCGTTTATATCACAAGCTGACTTTAGTTAATCAATCACTGAAACATAGCCGGTATAAAATGATAGTACAAAACAGCTATCCAATGCTTCCTGACTTTCAATGATCGTCTAACAAAAGTCAGTTTATGACGTAAACAACAAAATTCAAAAATATCCACTGACCTTCTATACACGTTACAATACTCTGTGGCTTTCTTTCATCTGCCAAATGACGTTAGTCACTCAATGATAATAACTCCCCTTAACTTAAACAAATGTATATCATCTAAGAAAAAAATTAAAAACATTAATGTTGAATTTGTAACCAAAAGATCCGAGAATTCGCAGTAAATTACCTTTTTGATTTAATAAATACTGGCGTAAAGCATCTGTAAATCCAATAGAAAGTTTTCTTTCTCTTTTTTCTTCTTCATTAAAATCACATACAGAATCACTAGGTTTACAGTCTGAATGAATGGGAGTTATCTGTTGATTGAAATTGAAACAAGTTGATTACATTAGTTTATTTCCATAATTTATCTTAAAAAGTAGTTAGTACTTATTAGTGGTGTTGATCTGAATTGAGTATATAAAAGTTTTAGTCTGGATCTACAGCCTTAGACAACAGATGCCTAGAAAATACGGATGAGTATACATTGATGGTATACTGGATAATTGTCGTTTTTTATCGTAAGTTAACTGAAATCGAAGACAATTCCATGAAAAATGTTTTCATGAAGATGTCACTTGCTAAAACTGTAAAATTGTATTTATAGTTAATTGTACTTGTAATAATCTGACAAAAGAAATACAGCTGATGTGGCGTTTAATAAAGTTATTATTGAGTATCGAAGGTCTTCATGTACTGAATGTAAGTCGCATTATACGATCAAAGGTAGTATGAACTAATAAATCATAAAAGAGATTAACACAGCATAAATGTTTCCATCACGATCATTTATAGTAATCTGAAACCCAAATGTCAAGCTGAAAGTATCCTCAAAGTTCCAAGGAAAGCTTTACTCATGAACACTGGATTTAAAGGATAGATGGGAGCATGAATCTCGAAAAACAGACTGTCAAGATTTCTGAGAAATATCTGTTGAGCAGTGTTCCAAATTGTTTTTCACAGTAAATTACCGCTTTGAGCTATTTCCTTGTAGATTTAGCAATTTATATGCCCTTGTAGAGGACATAATATTGACCACACAAAGCATGAACGTTTGAAATGTCTATTTTATCACTACCCTACATGACTGTCTACAGAGAATTATAAGTTAATTAACAGCCTAATCACTAAACATGTGGTTAACGCTAATTACTTTCCGTCACAAGAATAATAGCTCACGATTATTTAATAAGTCGAAAATAAACAAACTCACAGAAGGTTTGGATCAGAAATTTGTCCACAGTTGAAATCATAGCAATACATCTACTCAAATTTAAGCTCTATGCACAAAAGAGATATGTCTAATTCCTTATTTCAAAAGTTTAACACTCTCCTATAACTACAAAATATCTAATGATTCTATAACTAGAAGGTTTTTTTGGAGATTTTAGTAATTTCAATAGTTGAAATCATGAGTTAATTTATGCGCACTATTGAGGAGTCCCATACTGGGACGAAACGGCCGTCCAGTGCTTTCATGTTCTCTATGATGGTCTAGCTTCAATTGACTCATGATTACAACTATTAAGATCCTATAACTAATAAATATTCTAAAATAATAATATATTTACTTACTATCCAATTAAGTATTTATTATTATCAGAATGTGTTTTGTGGAGATTTTTAGAAATTTTCACAGATTGAACTCATGAGTCAGTTGAAGCTAGACCACCATTGAAAACCTGGAAGCACTGGACGACCGTTTCGTTCTAGTATGGGACTCTTCTAGCTTCAACTGACTCATGATTTCAATCTGTAAGTATTTATTATTTTTATTAGATTCACCTTATGAACATTGAACAATTCTAAATGACTTTTATTAATAATAAGATTTTAAATTAATATTTTATAATCTCTGAAAATTATTGAATAATTTTAAAACTATATTCGATTCATTCATCTAAATATTCATCGTTTTCAAAGGCGGTAATATTACTTAATAATAATAATGATAATATTTGATGTTTGTTTTTTTGTGTGTGTCCAAGATGAAGTTGTTTAGAGTATTTTAAACATTGAAAAAACTACATTGAACTATAAAACAATACCGAATATGTTAAGTTCATTTTAATCTTTAGGCATATTCTGATTATGATGAAAAAAAGTTTTTGTTTCAAAAAATCGTATTTATAAATTATAGTTGCATTATTTTTTAGCTCATAACTGTAAAATATTAAAAATGAAATGAATCAATTTGTGTTCTAGGAGTTGGTTGATGAGTTAAATAATCCATTCTGTACTAGATAAGTCTATGGATGTTCATATCTATGGCCTTTGTAACAATCATTTGTTATACCTGGTTAATTATGTATATGAATTTGTCTTCGTAAAACTCATTAGAAACAAAATAAATGCTCTCACTAGCTAAAATAAATTTTGAATGGTATATCATGAGACTATAAGTGTTTATCGACTGAGGTAACTGGAATGTGTATTGTATATACCCAGCCAGTGCCTAAATCAATATGCAATCATGGATAGCGTAAACATTGAGTGGAAGAAAGCTAGGAAGATACAAGCTGAGAAAAAGCATCAGCTCATTAAGTCATTAACTAATGGTCCAAGCTGTGCTGGTAGGTGAGGACTATTTGAATGGGGTGGACCCAATAAATATGACAGTAGTAGGAAACTGTTTAGGACATCGTTCAAAATCAGTTGCAGTGGAGCATATGCATCTATTTTTATTTACTCCTAAAACCCAAGTTTTAATAATGTCTTATTTTTTTCTCGGAATCTTTTTTCTCCTCGACTCCTATTTGCTATTTTTAATTTTTTTACTATGACAGATACTACTGCTATCCCTATAATTTTGGTATTCATCTTGCAAAGTTCATGTTACAGTCAATCAGTCTGTCATAAATAATGTGACGGATAGGAGTATTATGCATCGACCAAAGTCGCCATACGACATGAACACAACACAATTTTCATTGGAGACAGTCATATTTTGGATAATCTGCTCATATACCAAGGTTACTTTATGTGTTAATTGATGCAATACACAATAGTGTTATTTGTAAAAGAGTCCTTTCGGTCCCGATTTGGGATAAATAAGGAAAGTCGAGCATGGGGCTAGCTGCCCTATCCTGTAGAAGAAAATCTTGCTGAAAAGAATTTCAACCAGAAAAATTAAAACCCGAGGAAAATCTGAATTTCAAATTTATCATTCTTCAAATTTTATATAAAACAACGTAAGAAAAGGGTTGTGTACGAAGTAGATAGTTAAAAATAATTTATCTAAACTTACATAAACAGTTCTATTGTTATTTTTTTCAGGCAAATTAGTTACATCATCATTTACGTAAGTAATTTTCGGAACCGTTTTCATAACCAACATTTGATCAGATGTAAGGTGTTCCGGATTTTCTATATCAGTGGATTGTTCAGTTAATTCGGGATTATCACTTGTTATAAATGGCTTAAGTGTCAATGAAGCCAATGCTGTTAATAAGCTTGCACCCAATGAATACAGTAATAAACTAGAACGCCAGCCTTTAATCGGTATAATCCAATTGTAGAAAACTGGTATTAATAATGTACCGACACCTGCACCAGACATTGCTAAGCCTGATGCTAAGCCACGATAACGATCAAAATAATAATTGACTGAGACTATAGCGCATACCATTAGAATGCCAAAAGCTGAACCTAAAAAATTAGTATGACCATGATAAAAGACTAATTATTAGGAATTTACTAAGCACTTAAGATAAACCAATAGTTTCTTTAGTAACAAAGTAATGACATAGAATAAACATCACACACATTGCACAAGCTAGTGACTATCTAAACTTAGTAACTCAGCGGATAATGGACTGGGTGTTTGGAGGGAAAAGTACTGACTTCTAGTCACTGTATAAAAATCAGTATTGGTACACGGATACATCTAACCGATGATTACCAAACCGGGTGAAATGTGCATTCTGGATTCCATCGGTCGACACAATTTATCTGTTCTGTCAAGATGTAAGACTATTTGAAAAGTATATAAATTGAGTATTACATGGAAAGTCTATTTTTAAAAAAATTTAAAATGTCATCAAAATTGATTATCATTTAGTGGCTTGTTAAAACTTTTGGGTCATCATTTTCTCAAAAAATTAAAATATTCAAATGAATTATCTTGTTTTAGATTTGTATGAATAGATTAATTATCTTTTGATATGTACGGGTACTCATAACTCTTTTTTGGAAAGCTTACAATCCACCACGAAACGAGGTACTATAAAATACAAACAGAACTATTACTGTAGGTACTGTATATTCCTTTTTGTCATTCATTCAAGGTTGTTACGTTAAAATTCATGCATCAAATATATTTTTGCAATTGATAATTGTCATGCGAAGTAAAACTGGCTATAAGGAAGATCAGTTACAGCTTATCCCTAATGAAGTGTTTTTATCAATATATCTTATTTTATAGATATTTCTAAAATAAATAAATACAAGACAAGCAATTATCTTGATATTGTTCATTTCTTCTTACTGAGATGACATTAAATGATGGTCACAATAAAACACAAATTAATTGAAATTATATACAAACTTTATTATCTGATAATATTATAAATGTTACTGTATCTAATATAGGTCGACAGACCTCCAATCCTTATTACTGAAGACTAAACACTATAAGTTCGATCCTATGGAACTTTTGAGAGATTTCAAACATTGAAATGGATAACCGTATATAGCTTCCTAATTTTTAGTAATTCACTTGATAATATTAATTTATAATAGAAACTTATCGAGAAGTTATCACTTAAATTTCAACAAAATCATTACTGTAAAGCAAATACATAATTTCATGGGAAATGGAATTTCTGTGAATATATTAAGATAAAAAAATGATTTAAGAATTTGATTGATTCTAAGGAAACTTTAAACAGAGATAATAATAATAATAATAATAATAATAATAATAATAATAATAATAATAATAATAAGCAGAATTGGTTAAATAAAGTGTTATATCTAGAGCTTCGATTCTTAATATACCGCGTATAACTTGAGCACCCATGAGCCGTCCTTACATAAAGTATGTAAGTTAAGTAATATTCTGTAGATATTTTACTTAATAAAGCAACATATACTGTTAGAAAACAATGAGTATGACTAATAGAAACAATAAAAAACCGGGGACAATTGAATTTTGTTATGAATTTAAACAATAAAGATAGAAAAAAAGACGTAATATTATTCTAACCTGATATCATTCCATAAAATATTGTTATAGCATGCATATTAGTTAGATAACTTGCTATTGACATTCCAAGACCAAGTAATAAAGCTCCAAAACAACCACTAATACGAAATCCAAACATTTGAATAAGTGGACTGACAAAAGCACCTAACAAAAAGAGAAAATGTGCTAATAAAATACTGATAGAATAAATACTCAGAACTTAGATTCATTAATAGGTACAAAAATAATATTGAATGAAATGGCGTGGATTGGCATTGTAATTTTACCATATCGTCATGGTTCAACAGAATTTCTCCAAGGAGTATTAGAAAAAACAGAATTAAAAAATAATATAAAACAACTAATCTCAGTCGGTAGACCACCTAGGTTTGCTACCGGTTCCAAACCACGATAAAAAGGGAGGGTCAAGCATGGGGTCAGCAAATCCACTCCGTAGTAAACAACCATGCTAAAAAAATACTAACCAGAAAAAGTCATTTTAACCGTCTAAACTCTGTCCTGGGAGTTTATTGATCTTCATTTAGAAGAATTACGACCCCTCACAGTGAAAGCCGAGATTTTTTGGAAGTCACAAAACCGATATTCCTTCTAGAAACCAGAGCAACAGTTAATGTAGATACTTGGAATGTCCAGACAGTGTGGAGGAGTAATTATATAGCTGCGGAATAAATAGAACCTATTTGATCTAATCTGGACAAAATCGATTAGATTTGAGAGAAGCTCTGTAGTACTCTGATCATGAAGAAGAAAATGCACTGATGCTGTTCAAAGAAACATGTAAAGCACTTATAAGATGTGAATCTTATGGATCCAGGATCATCAAAGTATCCTTCAAAATAGAGGAGGGAATTACAATGGACGTTATCCAGTGTTATGCACATATCAATGTAAGCAATGAAGACTATAAGGATCAGTTTTATAGGAGGCCGCAATCAATCGTAGGGAAGTGTCTAGGAAATGATCTGACCATTCTGATGGGAGACCTAAATGCAAAAGTCATAATGGACAACCCCGGGTACGAAAATATTATAGGATGAGATGGACTAGGAGAAAAGACCGAGAATGGTGAGAGTGGATAGGACATACATTGCGAAAATCACCAAACTGCATCACGAGGCAAGCGCTTATCTGGAACCCTACATACGCGGTAATAAGAGTAAGTAAGTCAACAAAATTCTTAATGTCTCTGTATTCCCCACAAACGCATACACAAAGATACGTGGGTCTCACCGCACCACACTACCGACAACAAGATCGATCATATTTGCATCTCTAAAATATTCAGGACAATGGAAGACGCAAGAACCAGAAAATGAGCTGACATAGATTCAGATTACAACTTGGTGGTTGCCAAGATCAAACTAAAGCTAACGAAACACTAGATAGCTGGGGAAACAGCGGTACAAATGTTCAATACAGTCTTCCTACGAAATTCTAACAAACTCAACGAATTCAAGATAACTCTCAACAACAGATTCCAAGCCTTACAGGATCTCCTGAAAAAGAATAAACTACGGTGGAGGACAACTGGAAAGGAATCAAAAGAGCACTAACTCCAACGTTTCAATAAGTGCTAGGTCGCAACAAACATTGTCTTAAGGTGTGAATCTCTATGGGAACCCTGGACAAGATTCAAGAAAGCAAGAACACGTAGATAGCAATTGACGACAGTAGAAAGTAAAAAGAGAAGGCCGAGGCACAAGGTGAGTACACAGAAGCAAACGAGCAAGTGAAGAAGAACAGCAGAACCGATAAGCAGAAACACGTGAAAGAGCTGGAAACAACAACCAAAAAAGCTTCAAGAGAAGGAAATATAAGAGAGCTATGAGACACAACGAAGAAACTAGCAGGGAAATATAGTAAACTAGAGAGACCGGTCAATGACAAAGAACGAGAGCCAATCACTGGAATTCAAGAACAAAGGAACAAATGGGTAGAATACTTCAAGGAACTGTTGAATAGACTGGCTCCACTGAATCCATCGGACATCGAAGCAGCGCCTAAAGACCTTTCTATAGATATCACTTCACCAAAAGTCGAAGAAATCAAGATGGCCATCAGACAAATCAAGGGCGGAAAAGCAGCTCGACCTGACAATATGCCAGCTGAAGCTCCGTAGTCGGACACAGTAGTAACTGCAAACATGCTTCACGTTCTATTCAGGAATATTTGGGATATCTTGATTGTGTTGCCTTTTATATTGGAGAAAAATCTCGTGAAATCTTGGTTCAAGCCACATAACATCTTAGATACACAAAACTTAGTAATCCTATAGAACTTGAAAGACTTCAAATTAGATCGGTAATAGCAATTCATGCCATAAAGTAGATATTAAAAATGCCAATATGACACAAAAAGGCTTCAAAGAAAGGGGAGTATCTGAAGCTTTCTATATAGTGCTAAATCATACCACTCTCAGTAGAATAGAAGGTCTTACTATCCATCCAACTTGAACCATCAGTTCGATCTACTGTTTGATTCTTTTCACAGTTCACACTATTATCATATATAGAAAATCCTTTCACGCTGTAAATAAAACACTTTTCAATCATTAACACACAAATATATTCAATACACAAGATTTCTCATATAAATCACCTTGACCGGAATGACGTGATATTAACTTAGTCAAGCCTGTTTTTTTGGTTGATCGAACTTGGGTTAATTCACTTTGTTTATCTATTCTCTGAAGAATTGGCATAAACTGAGTCATAAAATATAAGAAAATTTAATTTTTCTACTCCTTGGAATATCATAAATATTGTATTTTCATCAATAACAATCTACCTAATCCTTAGTTTCTTTGAAATTATCAAATCAAACCTTAGTAATGATTAACAGAACAGGAAGGGAAACAGAGAGCAATTTTAATCATAACAGAACTGAAAGAATTACCAGGCATGTAAAGAACAACTGGAGGAAGATGTGTAAATAAAGTATTCAATGTATGGTTTTCATGTTTTATGAAGGCACTCTGTAGCTTTGCATTAAACAGTAAATTGGTTTCCCTACCTGAGTTTTTGTTCACTACAAGAATACCTAAGAAATAACACGGTTTATCCTCAGAAAATGATCAGTGTTCATGAATATCCTAACCATTTGGTTATTTCTTTTTCATCCTGTTTCTTATATTTTGTATCAGCCACAAATTTTTTAGACGGACTGTTGCATAACATGTTTGTTCATACTATGATAACTTAAAAAGGGATTTGAATATATAATTGATTGGCGAAAAGTAAACTTTACTAACCGTTGTCAATTATTAACTATTTTTCCATCTGACTACTGTCTCTGTTTAACAACTCTTTAATAGAGGAGAAAAAGTTCTATACTACACTATAAAAAAATCGCAAAGAATGAATTATTGTCATTTAATAGCAAACGATATACAATATGAATAGAGACTACCAGTGCAGAGAAAAAATCCAGGTTGAATGGTTCCCGGCATTGATAATATTGTTTGTGAGTAATTTTCATTGATGAATGCTTGATCATTTCGTAAGGAAACGTATAAAACTCCAAATCCACCAAAAGTTCCATCAATTATTAACTGAATGATGAATGACGATGTGACTATGATCCAACCCCATCCACTATCTGTCTGAAATAAGACAAGATATTTTCCAGTGACTATAAACTGATATGATTAGTAAAAAATATTCTTTTTAAAATATAAAATTTTGATATAAATGAAAGAACAAATAAACGCGTATGTTGAATATGAATTCAGGTAGTTTGAGGATAAACGGAAGAAACTTATGACTCTCGGTTGGTGCCACCCAATTAAATCCAGACCAACAAGTCATTTTAGTTCATATTAGCAAATCAATATAAATACCAATATTGTTAAATGTTAGAGATAAAGGTGAGTTTTTCTAAGATTGAGTGGTTCTTCAATTATAAATCACTTCCAAAATGTACATAGTGTATGAATATATTGTGATTTTCTATGCGTGAATAACATTCTAACTGTCTTCATTATCTAATTAATAAATTTAGGAGCTAAATATTGTTTGTCATAAGCGAATTTTTATATATCAATAATACTTTTGTATAGTAGGTAGTGTGAAATTAATGAATTTGCTCATTTAATTTGGTTGATCAGTTTTCTCTGTTGAGATTATGAACCAATTTGTGTCGGATGACTATTGAAAACCTGTAAGCACTGAACAGTTTACTACTAAAGTTAATTTACTACATCTAATCAGGTGATAATTGATTCGAACTGTTAAAGTATTTTTTAACATTAGCGCTTACAGGATGTACTTGGATAATATTATTTAGTTTATACATTTCATCCACATATGAATTTTATAAAATAATTCATATTAAAATGAAAGCTTTTACCTAATCTAAGCGATATGAAACAGAATTCAGAAATGTAATACTCTTGGTGAGTTGATAAAAAAATACATCTTTTCTCTGTAATTAAACCATAAAACAACTACTCCTATGGTCTTTACCAACAGTTTGACATAATAACAATTTGACAGTAATACGATTTATATGTGCTGTTAGGAAGGAACAATCATATAACTCAATAATTTAATTACAATTGTTTGTTAGAGCAGTTCAGTCTTACGATATTGCTGAATATCACCAACCGCCTAAAATCTAAATCTAATGCATGCAATATTGAGTCATGTATACTACTAACCCGTTGTAAATTAATTGGGATAGTTCGATCAGCGCTAAATGACAACACAAACATGACACTAGATACTGTTCAATGATCAGTCAATTACAAAGAAATTGTCGAGATAATCCACTCAGAATGTATATATGACAACAGACGGTAATCATTTAGGGTTTTTAATATAAAAAACTAGAAAATTCTAACCTTATATATATAAACCTAATTTAAAAAAGGTAAAGATCCTACCATTCTGCTAAGAGATCTGATAGCAATCAAGAATAGATTTCAATAATTCAATGAGAAGACGAAGTTTATCAGAATTATGTGACATATTTGCTCAATGCATTTCGAACAATCTGATCACACATATATTTGTTAAGAACATTTATATATAAAAATTAAAAGGTAAACTAGACAGGTTAAGGGTAAGTCATAACAAAGGGAAAATATTTAAGTAAACAAAAACAAATGTGATTACCACTCTGGATAATAAATCAGTATTACCAGGGTAGGTTAAGTGTAAGGACAGATTGTTTTTGAACACATAAAAGGGGTTTAAATTTCCGTATAGCCAAGGCTTCAATAAACCTTAGTATACGTCCTTGAAGGCTTTTGTATAACACTACAAATGCTGATTTGATGTCAGCCTTATGACCCGTCTCAATCAAATGTTTCGCAATGGAGGATGATGTCTGTCTATCCTATGATCTTATTTGACCATTGGAATCCTTTTGTTTCTGCAACCATTTTGGTATGTGTTCACCCACCCTTAATTGCTAATCACGAATGCTCCTCCCTATGTACTTGTTTCAACACATACATGTAAATTGATAGACACAGTGGGATGTGACACAATCGTTTTCGTGCTGTTTGGGCTTTCGGTGAAACATAGACCTTGTCTTTTAGATAATGACAAGTTGGGCTGCATAACATGTCCAGCTGATAGCTAATTTAAGTCTCCGTTTCAACATGTGTGATCAGATTGGTCGAAATGTATTGCGCAAATATATCACATAATTCTGATCAACTTCGTCTTCTCATTGCATTATCGAAATTTATCAAAGGGACTAATTGTTTTAAATCAAGAATAGGTTTAAATAACAGTTACCTCCATTTGTTTGTAGTATTAAGTAAATGAACCAATTCATTTTTGAAGTTTATTTTCAACGAGAGGATCAATGAAATCCATGGATGACTGGGTAACTAGACAATCTTGATTTAAGACTCTTTGAAATTGCACACTGATGAAGTCACATCTGATCGAACTTGTGATTAATTGGCCCAGAAGAAAGTGTGGTACCACTTATGACAAAGAATTAGAATTTAGTTGGTCAACCTTTTCAACTCTCGATAATCTGTAACTTTATAGTAAAAATATTATTGACTAATTTACAAAAAATACAGTATCATTTTACTCCTCTGAAGAATCTCAGGTTTTCTAATCTTTTTACACATTATTAAAAGTTAGAGCCTATAGTTCATGAGCTTAATAAATGTTATTCATCAAAAGTGTCACATTTACAAATGTTGTCATGACTCTTATTACTGATTAGGTTTTGTTTTAAATATATCGACTGATTCTTATGTTATTATTATTACTACGGACAGATATAAGTAGAATGCATCAATAATTGGAAGGAAGATTTTTACTGACAGATGAGGAACATGAGAAGAAGGGAAAGAAAAAGGAAGCAGTCTGAGTAGTAACAGTAACAAAAGAACGATAGAGCTTGTAAGAGGCAATTCAAGGAAGATGTGCAAACTGTGCATTCAGTGTATTGTTTTACAAACGCAGTTTACTATACCCGAGTCTTCGTTCATTACGCTACTATACATTGTTACCAACCTTAAATAGTAAGTGTTGCTGTCTTACAGAGTTGATGAAATCAAATAAAACGTATTACAAGTTGCCACAACTTAGATTTTCGACTACATGAAATTTAAGGGTCAGTTTGAAGATATTGAGGTTTATGTATTAATCATCAGTTATAAATAACGATGAGATATTTATACTGGTTTCTAATGTTCTCACTGTTCATGTATATTAAATAAGTTGACTAAGATCTTCATTACTGCCCTTCACTGTATTAATATAAATATACCTAATAATTACTAGTGTGCATCTATCTTAATATCTAATATGATAATAGATAATCAAAATTTGCAAGGATATGTTTCGGGAGGAAATCACTGGTCATTTAAATAAAGGACTATAGTTTCATACTCCAATTAAGCATCTTTGACTTAGGCAACCTCTGAGAAACCCTATTTCTTATACAACATGGTTTGGCATAAAGTCAAGTATATGAAACTATATTTGATGGCAACAATAATTTGAAAGATATATGTGGAAGCAAAGTACTTGCTAATTCTTTTTTTGCGATCATAATTTGTATCGTGGTAAAAAGGAATTAATATGGATCCTTATTGATTCGTGCGGTTAACAAATCAAAGGTAGGCAAAGGTAATTAATCGACCCACGACCCCACACCTCGCGGGACTCGAACCCAGAACCCGCCGGCCTCGCGCGCGAGCACTTAACCATCAGACCACTGAGCCGGCATCCAACGGTGTTAATGTCTAACTTCAACCAATCCACGAAGTTGCGCCACCGTTAGGTGCCGGCTCAGTGGTCTAATGGTTAAGTGCTCGCGCGTGAAGCCGGCAGGTCCTGGGTTCGAGTCCCACGAGGTGCGGGTTCGTGGGTGCTCACTGCTGAGGAGTCCCATACCAGGACGAAACGGCCATCCAGTGCTTCCAGGTTTTCCATGATGGTCTAACTTCAATTGACTCATGATTTCAACTTGTGAAATTTCTAAAAATCTCCACAAAACACATTCTGATAATAATAATAATTAATTGATAACCTTTATGATAAATTAACACTAAATAAACTAGTTGATCTTAAAAGAAAACTAATATGATGAAAAGAACAGTCAAGATTCGATTGATTTACTCATCATGAGTTATTGTTCAAGATTATTTCCGTTTTGATTCAATGTGCTGATTACTCAAAGTAGTAGTTGTTTTCTTTTCTGGCATGATATTTTATTCTGTATAATATACGATATTCTTGTATTTCATTGACATGAACTATGCTCAGTCTTTGATTTGTTGTAACTCTAAGTATTTTTCATATATGTGATTTCATCCTAATTATTAATCAAAATGGGTGTGCAATGAATATATAAATGAGTGTATTCTCTACTCGAGTTGTCGTCGTCGTGTTTTGGGGTTAATAAATCATTACTTATACCAGTCTTTGTGTTCTCACTTTCGCGTCGTAGGAATTGCGGAGGTCCCTCGTTCTGAGAATAAGTGATAAGCGTTACCGACATAACAATCAGTGACGATCAGATATAACAAGAAGCATTAAATGACAAGCTATAAAAGTAATATATTGACAAATACTTTTTTTAAAAACATTGTCTTTCTAATAATTTAGGGAATGCCTTAATAAAACGTTATTCTTTATTTAATAATTGTTTCGTAATTAACTGAATTACTTGGTTAAAAAGTCTTACTGACTACTGATATAATAATAAAGGCATTTTTAAATGCATAAACTCAGTTCAATCTTAGTGACTTAACATTGTTCTCCTCTTTCTTTAATTCTATATAGTTGGATATAGTCAATAGGAAGTTCTGGATCGTGGTGATACATAGCAACTTGACCGGCAGAATTCATTTAGGACTGAAGGTTATACAACATTAGATTTAAATGTCAGGATAATTAAAAGCAGTCTTTATAATGAAGTAAATAAATTATGAAAACTACTTATTGATACTACTTGTTTCCGAGTGACCACAATGATAAACAAGAACGATTCCGTTTTATAGAATAGTTTACCCAAACAAATCACCATGTTCACCTATGCTTTGCCATGTGAAAGATGTTTGTATCTATTTCACATAAGATTAATCATATTTAATGAAGATAATCCGTAAAACGTGAAACTATGTCAAAAAATGTTAATTTTTACCTGTTATAAAGTACTTTAAAGTAAATTTGTAACATTTCACCGTAATACAATTCTATGTGATTAAGAGTTCAAAAACCATAACTCGGAATAAAATTAAATTATTTAAGTGTTTGATGTTCTCTAATGTAACTCAGTTATAAAAGTACAGAGTGATACATGCATAGGCTAATGATAAAATTCAAATAAAAATTGATTGAGAGGGTGTGAACTTGTAATTCAATGGTTGAAATTCAAGGGATGGATTATTTGTTAAATCATTTGAACTTGAATCAGTAGATCACATGTTCCAGATACACCTCACTTATATTGGTTCGGACGGCTATGTAGTATCATTAGTCCTCACAAACTATACTACTGAATGCCGAACCATCCAGTCAGTTCGTCAGTCAAACACAACATAGAACCTGGCACGTGTGTACATCTGTTCAAATTACTATACTTTAATTTGCACAACAATATGAAATGGTCAGAGAGAATCTCATAGTAGTAGACGTAATAACAGTATTAATGAATGCTGAATATATCAAACTGTGCTTGGTGCATGATTAACATTAGGCTGAAAGTTGAACAGTTTAAGCTGTAAGCTATCTTTCCACCTTGATAAAATGACTCACTCTTATCAGGTAGAAGATATTCGAATTTTTGGGTAATAAGTTAGTGTATCCATAAAACATCACAGATATCAATTGAATAAATATTTTTCTTAATTTTTGTATCATAAATTTATGAATATTAGCGGTTGATCACTTTAGGAACGACAATCTGAAAACAAATTATGGTATTTTCTGTAAGGTTGTTTAACGGAATTCTGTTATCAATAATTATTCACTATTAGTTAGCTATCATGTAGTCTATCAATCCTACTAAACGTTATAAAGAATACATACTATACAAATGTGGTAAATACACATCGATAAAATTATTTATTTTTGATTGAAATCATGAGTCAATTGAAGCTAGACCACCATGGAAAACCTGAAAGCACTGGATGGCCGTTTCGTCTTGGTATGGGACTCCTCAGCAGTGCGCATCCACGATCCCGCATCTCTCGGGATTCGGACCCAGAACCTACTGGTTTCGCGCGTGAGTACTTAACCATTAGACCACTGAATTACTTATCATAACACAACAAAATGATAGTTGAAAGATTTAGTGAAATCTCTAGGTAATAGATAGTACAACTGGTAAAACTTATCAGTTAAAACGTATTCTTTTACTGATAGTAGCAAAAATGTTACATTTGTAGATGCTAGTTAAAAAGGGACAATAATTCGATTAATAAATAGTAATTTGGTATGCTGAGAATCGGAAACTAATGTACAATACACATTAGATTTAATTCGTCGTAGAAAAAAACTATCGGTATATTAGTTCTATTGTTCAAGTTCTCTAAACAATAACATGAGGTAATATCATGGATATTTCTCTCCAACCATTGCATACTATCTAACTTGATTTCATTGTTATCGTGGTAGTTCAAAAATAACTGAAAGTCTATAAAATGGCCTAATTAATGATTTCAATTAGATGCTATGAAGCAGAGTGTAAATAAATAAATGGTTATGACTATATTATATTCAGAGAACAGATTGTAGAAATTTCGTCATATTTACTGATCTAACTGAATTAAAAAATATTGCTTGAAATCCTATTTCTCTAGTAATACATTATTATGAATATTGATAAATACATGTTGAAATTCATTTTTGTAAGCTCAATCAAATAGAAATACTTCATCAGTATAGGGTTGTGGAGATTATCAAAATTTTGATTGTGATCATAAACTGATTGATTTTAGACCACCAATGAAAACAAGGAAGCACTGGACGGCAGTTTCATTCTATTGTGAAACTTTTCAGCAGTACGCATCCACAATCTCGCTCGCGGGATTCCAACCCATGGCTGGTTGAGGTTAGACATTAACATCGTTGGATGCCGACTCAGTGATCTAGAGGTTAAGCATTCGCGCACGAGACTGAAGACCCTGGTTTCGAATCCTACGGGCGGAATTGTGTATGCGCGCTGCTGAGGAGCTTCACAATAGGATGAAACGACCGTCCAGTGCTTCCAGATTTTCAGTGGTCGTCTGACATCAATCAGTTCATTATCTCAATAGAAATACTTCACAATGAATCTTTGTATCGAATATGGTAAATCATGTATTGATTTCATTGTTATAGTCAGAAGATTGTACCAACAATTAGTGTATATGATACAATTTTTCACATTCTTTACTGATTCAAGTGATTCTTCACGAGATAATCATCGTGATTTCTTAAACTTTTGTGAATTTTTTTAAAATCCAATACACAAAGACAAACTCCTTTTGTAATATAAGAGAAAGAGAGAGATGGCTAAATTTGAAAAAAGACTTGATGGAGCACGTAGATTCAAGTCTGTTGGCTTTCGGATTTATTTATTTATTAACTTACTTCTGTTACTCCTCGTGGAGGAGCATAGGTTTCCCATCAGCACTCTCCATTCAACCCTATCCTGGGCAGCTTTCATATTACCATCATAATAATCATAATAATGATCTATTCGGAAAATAACTAATTATCACAAAGAGGATAAAGTATGAATAATTGATTCCCTTTTTAAGACTAAGCTAATTAATTAATTAATAGACTTGATGCAATTTATTATTATCAACTTACTTTTGATTGATAGATTTTCTTCTTCTTCTTCTTAATGTTAACTAATTCACAATTTAATTTCTTATTTAATAATTTTGAATCATTAAAATTAGTCATTTCAAATTTCCCTCTTAAAAAAAACAATAAAATTTAATATATCCTATAGAAAATTGATCTAACAAATATTGAACACTTGAAAGAACTATTGTTACGCTGTACCTTTAAATATTGTTCTGTTTACAGAATTTTAAAGGATAATTTAATCATTTAACCTTGACTAAATCAATAAATTCTGTAATTTGATTGGTTAATAAGTTAAGACATATTACAAGGTTAAATATGTATTTAGTAAAATAAATAATGATTTGATTAGAAATATTTAATTATAAGAGGTCAATTATAGGATCATTGGGAGTAATCATTGAGAATAATTTTAAAAGTAGATGAATTATTGTATGAATAGGATATATAATTCTATATATAATATAGATCATTATGTTAATTACAAATATTGAAGATTTTTCAAAGATAATTCATTTCTATATTAAAATAATGAATCAATTATGACTGTGTTCAATTATTTTGGATTGTTTATAAAGAGCATTTGATGAAATTTGTTAAGTTGCATTTACTTACCACAATTTTATTATAGTTTGTTCCATTTGTTTGTGTATAAACGATACTTCAGTGAGACGATAATTTATGAACAAATCAATCAGATTTACCATAACAGGTTGTAGATTTTGGCGGGAAATTCACTCACCTATTTGGCTAAATAAAGTTTTGGCATTATAGCTGATGTCAATTCATGATGAAAATCCTAAATCTAATCTCTAAACCTAACTATCAACTGTAAATCATAATCTTTGTTCTTCAAACTGCTTTATATAACCCTCGTGGTTATTCACTACTGAAGAGTTCCATACTAGGACGAAACGGCCGTCCAGTGCTTCCAGGTTTGCCATGATGGTCTGGTTTTATTCAACTCATGAATTCAACCATTAAAATTACCACAAATCTCCATTCTGATATTAAGTATTTGTAGGACAATTTTGTAACACTATTTTATACTTAATTGAAATAGTTCAATGTGGTGCGATTTTTTTAATATTGGAATTTCGGAATTGTAATCAGGACCAAGGTTCTGTACGATAACGTTTGGGTTCTAATTGTTGAACTAGGGTGTTTGCAATTCACTGTTCACGTCTCCATTGTGATTCGTGATCGTAGTAGGAAGAAATAGTGATATCATCTCATGTTATAACTGTTGATAATGGGGCTAGTTTCTATCTAGTCTTGTTTACTTTTAGATCTGTTGTTGGTGAATGACAAATTTTTCATCTGAAGACCTACCATATTCCATGTATCGAGCCGTATCACTCTTCGTCCACTTATATCAAGTAGGCATAGCATCTCATTTGTTAAGTTATAACTCCATAGCTTTTGTGATCGTCGTATTTAAAAAGCAACATAAGTGACGTATGTGTTGGCAATCAGTCATTGTTAGATGTTTTCCAGAACAAAATCAGCTAGTTTATAGTGATTCATTGAAATTTCCAACACACCCCACAGAGCAGACGAAACAGAATTTCATTAGGAAACTACAAGGAGACTTGGAAATTACTTTTGTTTGAAAATCAGTGTAATTTAATGTAATATACAATAATCAGCTGATTATTTATTACTTGATATCATTACCTGAATCTAATGAAAATAACGACTTTTCGTCTGTGTATGGGTAGATAACTAAGTATTTATAATTTTGTGTATTTGTAATAGTTACGTATTTCACACGTCGTATTTATGCCCCCAATTATCAGTCATTTTGTCTTTTGGAATCAGATTACAATAAGTTCATTCGTACGTGCGTGGACGATTAGTGAACATAATATCAGTTGTATCACAAGTTAGGTGGTTTAAAAATCGTCAAGCTCTCCATATTTATTACGAAATTGTGTTGCTCACCAGGCATCTAAGAATGATGTAAAACTCTCTGAAATAAATGGAGTGTCCAAAAGAATTCACAAAATGCACTTTCTACTGTCATACTACCAGTCGATGCATACCATACATGAAGTATCACTTTATAATGGTTAGAAGGAAAATGTATAACTGAAAAAATGGATTCCTTTCGGGGTTCTTCGCAATTTTATTTATTCACCAACTAAATGATTTTAAGATTCATTATTTTCCAGTCAAAATAAACAGTGAGTTTGTTCATTATCTTATAAAACCCTTAGTTTCTACTAGGGTGCATGCTATAAAAGATTGAGACATTATTCTACAATGCTACACTTACTACTTTTGGTAGTGTAGTATTCTTCAAGTTAGACGATTTAAGTACGATGCTTTTATTATCATACTAAGCATCATAATGTCCACAACGAAAACACTTTTTTGAGACGGAAATATCCCCCATCATTAGATTAATACTAATTACAATTAGTATATGGCATAATTTACCAGTAAACATTTATACAATGTCAGTCACTTACAATGGGCATGTTTCTGTAGATATATTGTAGTGAACAAGAACACGGGTGGGGACAAACGGATGTATTTATCACAATTAAAGACTATCTCAACAAAATCCGAATGCCATATAGTAAATCGTCAATTTGCAAAATATTCATGCATCAAATCAAACTGGGCTGTTTCTGTTGCAAACACCAATCCATTGTCTCCCATTCCATTTTTCATGCGTTTTCTTACAAATTCCATTGTGTTCTCGCTCTACCTCTCTTGATCTTCGCCATCTTCTGCTGCCAGACATTTCGTTCTTTTAACGCACGTTATATACTACTTATATCAATATAAGTAGCTCACACCACAATATTAGTTTTTAATAAATCTAGTTAAAAAGTATGTTTTTATCGAGCTTTTTGCTTGTCACATTTTACTTTTGTCTTATCGATTCAATCTATGTAATAAACGAGTGCATTGATGTATGAGACGGACAACAAAGCCATTCAGTAGTAGGAAAATGATCAACTAGATGTTCCAGGTTGTATAAATAGTCGATATCTTAAATTATCTTGAAACTTTAGTGAATGAAGATACCAGTCTTTTTATAGGCTATGAGGAAATTACTGCAAAAATAGTCATGAATTTGAAACCAAAGCCGTATAAATCCATTCACTTGAGTAACTGAAAAAAACGGTGGCTAAGAAAACACAAGTTCACGAACTAAGGTCACAGAAAAATTCTGTGTAGTTGGATGGATGATTTAATAAAATCTCAACGGGTATTTCTAGAACACTTACATCCACTCTGCCTTCTGCCCAGTAGATTTAGGTTTATTAATTGGAGTCAATAGACAACCTGATCAAATACTTAAATTGTTCGATTAAAAGTTTTCATGTGTTTGGTTAATCTATGTCTCTGTATATCATCGTTTGCATAATGCGGAACTACCCGAAATTTCGAAGTAAAATGCAGGTATATTAGACTGTACAGCCGTCATTAATATGCAATAAGTCGTATATTCTGCATACAAAAACTGTTCATTACCTAAAATTGGCATAGATCTCAAGCAATGTGTAGACTTAGAGAATTCATAATGATTGCATAAATCTAACGATCACAGATCATCCAGTTTTAATTGGTCAGATGGTTACATCGACTTATCAACAATAGTTTCTTAAATTTATGAGTTCATAATTTAAATCCATTTACTTTCCTTTTGAAGGGCAGGAAGAATTTCATTACCTAATATTACTTTAATGTTTGTTGATTTGCATAAATGTCTAATCACGCTATTTTCTTTGTTACACTGACACACTATCTGAGAAACTTTGTAATTTATTGATTTGCTTTAGCTAATAGACGATATTAAATTCCTAAGGTTACTTTTAACTGAGATCATGAACCGATCAATTTTAAACTACCAATGAAAACCTGGAAGCACTGGATGATTGTTTCGTCCTAGTATGGAACTAGTGAGCAGTGTGTATCTACGATCCTACATGCAGAATTCAAAGCCAGGATATTTGGTCTCACGCGCCAACACTTAACCTTTGGACCACTGAAGTCTAACTTCAACTACTCCACGATATTGTGCGAACATCTTCCATTGCCTTCGGTAGGTAAATGCCCCGACACGGATTAGCCTTATTGGATGTGGTTTCTCATTAGAACTCCGAGAATTACCTCTTGAAGCTAGTAATTAGTGAGTACATGATTTTACCCAAGTTTATAAATTAAACACAATTATATGATCTCAGAATTAAGTTTTTTCTATTCAACAGTAGCTTTAGAAAAACTAAACTGTAAAATGAGGAGGAACAATTAGGAATAGACCTTTCTAATTTTTCAGATGATCTTTTTATTTTTTTAATGTAAATAAGTAAAAAAAAATACTATTTACAAAAATTTCAAATATTCAAGAATGTCGTAAATTATTTTTTTCTATCAATTCCCGAATGGATCATGTATGGCACATACACAATCGAAATGATATTGCAAAGGGATTCCAGATCGAGTTTTTACATCCACTAATTGGTTACGACTATCACGTCTAATTAATCGTGCAAGCTATTCAAAAAGGAAGGAAATGGAAAAAATGATTAGACAGTTATTGGTACTTTATAGATGCTTTGCTATACAATAATTCTCCTAAGCATTATTATTTACATCCAGCGGTGAATTAGTAAGCAAAACACTTAGTTTTTAATTAGTAGGTTGTAAGTTCGAACTCCACTCCATTTGTTTTATTTTGGGTCATCCGGTACTGTTAGTTGGTCTTATAATAAATAGAAACGATCAAGGTCAAGTGGTTTTTATGACTATGGAAATAATCATTTCTTACATGTAAGGTGTTTTAGAATAGTGACATAGCAAAGTTTATGCTGATGATTAACAAGTGTACTTGGGACAATGGTTATCATTACACTGTTGAGTAATTTAATGAAATACTGTAACAATGTTTACGACCATGATTCAATTGAGGAATTTCAGAATATTTGTCATTTAAATGAATATAACTTTGTGGTATGAAACAAGAAATATACAATATGGATATTGGTAGATTTACAATTAAACTTAAGCAATAAATAGCGTAGAATAATAATCTATGATATGTTTAACAAAGCTACACGATAAAACAAAAGTGTGGACAGTATTTATTGGAAGTGAGTTATTTACCTAGGCCAAAATCGCTTTCCTACAAGTCCCTAGCTGAGTTATTATGGACACTAATACATTCTTGAACTGTAAGCATACTTATTAGAATTTTGGTAACAATAGGAGTGATCACGAAATTTCGTAACCGAATTGTCGTGTAACGTCCGTTAGTCAACAAATAATTTACTGAATTAAAGTCTTTTAAGATTTTCTAGTCTTGTTCTCGAAAGAAATACACAAGTATAGTCTAAAAGGACAGGTAAAGTGTAGACATATACACTGATTTAGACATATGTTTGCCAAAATATAATACTCACTAATAAACCTAATTCCTATGAAATATTTGTTATAGATTATAGACCTGTCATAATAATTTAACTCATCTACGAAGTAAAACTTAGTGTGCTAGGTCTTAAAGCACACCGTTGGCATGAAGCCTGGTGATATCATCTAGTTGCCTAAACGGGAGTAAGCGGGAAGGGGTTTGAATGCATTGCTTACTGATTGAATAGCAAACATTTTAACCAACAAACTACCGCTTTTTACCAAACTCCACCTGTGGCTCTTCTAAAGCTACTTCCGGTTTCAATCACACACAAAAGAAAAGGGTTGGGCATGGGGTCAGCAACCGTGTCCCGTAGAAAAAAACATTGCTAAAAAACGCTAACCAGAATCAAAAATTTAAAGCATTTAAACTCTGCCCTCCCAGTTAAAGGGAGAATTATGACGCCTCATGATGACAGCCGAAATTCTTTGGAAGTCACGAGGCCGATGCCCCTTCTAACAACCAGAGCAAAACTTTTAATAGGCACATGGAACGTCCAAACAATGTGGGAGACTGGGAGGACCAGTCAAATAGCAACGCAAATGAGAAGATACAACTTAGCAGTACTGGAAATCAGCGAAACCCATTCGACCCAAGCTGGACAACAAAGGCTGAATACGGGAGAGATATTGTTATATTCCGGTCACGAAGAGGAAAATGCTCTGCACACTCAGGGAGTTGCTCTAATACTGTCCAAAGTAGCACGAAATGCACTTGTAGGATGGGAATCTCACGGACCCAGAATCATCAAAGCATCATTCAAAATAAAGAAGGAGAGGATCACAATGAATATTATCCAATGTTATCCACCCAACAATGATAGCGACAACGACATTAAGGATCAATTCTATGAGCGGCTGCAAGCAATCATAGCGAATTGTCCGAGAAAGGACCTCACCACTCTGAAGGGAGATCTAAACGCCAAAGTCGCAACATACAACACCGGGTATGAAGATATCATGGGATAAAACAAACTGGGAGAGAGAAACGAAAATGGGGAAAGATTTGCCAATCTGTGTGCATTAAACAAATTGGTCATACGAGGCACAATAATTTCACACAATCGTATACACAAAGATACAAGGATCTCACCAGACCACACTACAGAGAACCAGATAGATCATATTTGCATCAATAAAAAATTCCGAAAGACAATTGAAGATGTGAGAACAGGAGAGGAGCTGACGTAGCTTCACATCATCACCTAGTTGTGGCCAATTTAAAACTGAAGCTAAGGAAGAACTGGACAACTGGACAAACAGCACTACAAAGCTTCAATACAGCCTTCAATGAATTTAAGATAGCCCTCAACAACTGTTACAAGCCTTACAGGATCTATTGAAGGAAGAAGAAACTACTATGGAGGAAAACTGTAAAAGTATCAAAGAAACATTAACCCCAACGTGTCAAGAGGTTCTGGGTCTAAACAAGAATCATCACAAGGAATGGATCTCTATAGAAACACTGAACAAGATCAAAGAAAGGAAGAACAAGAAGACAGCAATTAACAACAGCCGAACACAAACAGAGAAAGTTCAAGCACAAGCTGAATACATAGAAGCAAACAAGCAAGTGAAGAAAAGTATTAGAGCCGACAAGAAGAAATACGTGGAAGAACTAGCAACGACGGCCGAAAAAGCTGCAAGAGAAGGAAATATGAAACAACCTTACCATACAACGAAGAAACTAGCAGGGAAATATATAGTAAATCAGAGAGATCGGTCAAGGACAAAGAAGGCAGGCCAATCACTGAAATTCAACAACAGCGGAACAGATGGGTAGAATACTTCGAGGAAATCCTGAATAGGCCGGCTCCAATAAATCCACCAGACATCGAAGCAGCACACACAGACCTTCCTATAGATGTCAATCCACCAGCGACGGAAGAAATCAGAATGGCCATCAGACAAATAAGAGCGGGAAAGAAGCAGGACCCGACAACATACCGGCTGAAGCACTGAAGTCAGACATCAAAGTAACTACAAACATGCTTCACCTTCCATTCAAAAAGATTTGGGAGGAGGAACAAGTGCCGATGGACTGGAAAGAAGGACACGTCATCAAGATACCAAAGAAAGGAGATCTGAGCAAATGTAAAAACTACAGAGACATTACACTACTGTCAGTACCAGGGAAAGTCTTCAACAGAGTGTTGCTGAACCGGATGAAGGATGCAGTAGACACCCAACTTCCAGATCGACAAGCTGAATTCCGTAGGAATCGGTCGTGCACAGACCAAATTGCAACACTGCGGATCATCGTCGAGAAATCAATTGAGTAGAACTCGTTACTGTACATCAACTTCATTGGTTATGAAAAGGCATTTCACAGTGTAGATAAGAGAACGTTATGGAAACGTCTTGGACACTATGGAGTTCCTAAGAAGATTGTCAATGTTATCCGGAACTCATACGACGAACTAAAGTGCAAAATCGTGCATGGAGGACAGCTGACAGACGCATTCCAAGCGAGGATCGGAGTCAGACAAGACTGTCTACTCTCTCCCTTCCTCTATCTTCTGGTGGTTGACTGGATTATGAGGACCTCCACTTTTCGCTGAAATTACGGAATATAGTGGACAGGTTGTATGCAACTATACGATTTGGACTTCGCAGATGAACTGGCCCTTTTATACTATATGCAAGAACAAATGCAGATGAAGACAACTAGTGTAGCAGCAGTCTCTGCATCAGTAGGCCTCAATATACACAAGGGGAAAACCAAGGTCCTCAAATACAACACGGAGAACGCCAACACAATCACACTTGATGGAGAAGCTCTGGAAGATGTGAAATCTTTCACGTACTTTGGAAGCATCATCGATGAACAAGGAGGATCGGATGTAGACGTAAAGGCGAGGATTGGCAAAGCAAGAGCCACATTCCTACAATTGAACAACACAAGCAACTCAAAACAACTGCCAACCAATGTCGAAGTCACGATCGTCAATACGAACGTCAAAATAGTCCTAATGTATGGAGCTGAAACGTGTAGAACTGCTACGACCATCATCAAAGACGTTGGAAGTGGATAGGACATACATTACGCAAATCATCAAACTGCATCACGAGGCAAGCGCTAACATGGAATCCTGAAGGAAAACGGAAAAGAGAAAGGCCGAAGAACACATAACGTCAGAAATTGGAAGCAGACATGAATAGGATATAGCAACTGGAGAGAACTGCCTAGGACAGGGTTGGATGGACAGTGCTGGTGGGCAACCTATGCTCCTCCACGAGGGGTTACAGGCGTAAGTAAGTAAGTTTCTCAGTGACGGATGGATAGTTAAAAAAATATTTAGCAGATAAAACTCTAATACAAAGTACTGGAAGAATTAAAAAATTGTCATAACAATATTAAGTTACATTAAACTAGGATTTATTTCAAACTATTTGTAACATTTCTGTTGTACCTGATGAATAATGCAGTTACGAAATTTATAAAATTCATCATCTAAGAATGAGGATTGTAATATATCACATTCAATCGAAGTGAAGATAGAATCATTCAGCCACAAGATCACAGCTTACCGGTTAGAAAATTGTGCTTAGGTAGACGGTTTATAGCAATAATTTATGGTAGCTTTGTATATTTAGTTTAACCAAGAGCAAAAATCAGATAACAATAACTGCTAAAGATTACATAATGAACGGATTTTCTACGCTAAATTATGAAAGATAAGTGATGAAAAAGAATATGAAAAACACTACGTACCTGACCACTTCTTTCTCCGTTTACAATCATTAAAACTGAATTCGTTTCATGCGGTATAATTGTTTGTAAATACTTTATAGGAAGACCTACAAAAAGCATCACATTGAAAAGTAATAAAATATGCTTTGTTTAAAAATATACCTTCGATTATCTGACCAGATTTTGTTTTACAGCTGCACCGACTACCGTCAATAGAAATAATAATTAACTAGTTGTGAGAAAAAAAGAGAATACAATTAAATTTTATGAATATTGAAAGAATACCTTTTCTTTATTATATTTTCCACCACAATAATTTCGATCAAAGCATCGAACAATTAATTTCGGTCTTAACCACGATATACTACCAGATGGTCTATTTGGTTCACATCTACAGAAGCGGAAAGAAAACACCCGTATAAATCATATATATAAAGAAGAAGAATAACTATATTTTCGACAATCTAAGAAAACACTAAATGATATAATTACGAATAAGCAACTGAGTCGCCGAATCTAAGTAAGTTCGTGCACTTGAGTTCAAGTTCTTTGACGACTGATGATAATAACCAGCTAATTAAACTACAGTAATCAGTTAATTAAGAACGACGTAACACCTAGTAAAAATGTACATCAGCCCAAGTTTCTAAATCTCATGTCACTACAGTAAAAGGAAGTTCATAAGATGCAAAATAAAAGCAATGGAAATAATCGTATAGATGATTATTAAACATTAAGTTTAGTTATAATATTTCACAGTATACAACACAACCGCACCCCCCTATATGATTTTTATATTATTATTCTTACAGTCACTTTACGGTTGCTATAAGAAACGTACCTTCTAATAAAGAATTATCTTCAGCAAAGTGATGTGGAGATTTCTAGTTGTACATTACAAAAAATGTCGCTTGGGTTACGTACGATTCACTAACTAAACACAGATTTGCGTATCATGATATAATTTACATCAATTATGTATGAAATTAGTAATATGTAGATATTGATATTTAAGTAACTGGATAGGATTGCTGGAATGAGGTCAGAAAATGCTTTTAGATTTAACTAAAAATTAATCAAGATCTATGAAGTCATTAACTTTTGGATTGCGCCGTATTGATAGATGTAAGGCCTCAGGTTGGAGCCATCGCTAATGTCATAGCCAATGGTTGGAGACGTTGGGTTACACGGCTCAGAATTGATTGCAGTGGAGCAGACCAATTGATTGTCTTCTCAACGAATAAAACAATGGCAAACAAATTGAGTAATAGAATGATAGCTACTCATAAGTAATATAATTATATATGTAAAATTGTGTCTCATAGATAACAGCTAACAACACATGCTTGACCTCCACTCAAAATAATAAACCAAACTACTATTCACTTTCAGAATTAAAATTAGTGGGAACAATTATTATACAAATGTTTAAATTTTTGTTTGCCAGCTGTCTGTCGGTTAAATGTAAACCACTGACAGCGAATTTCAAATTCATTCCGTCAAAATCTGAATTCTTCAACTGGACAGCATTATCAGGAGCCCCTACATATGAGAAAAGTGCGGTTCAAAACCAAGCAAATGAACCTGTATTTCGTTACCGAGTTAAACTGAACTATTAATGAATGGTACATAAACCGCCATACAGCAGTGAAACAGAAATTTTAAACAAGCATGCTATGGCGAAACGGTTTTTCAACGCTTCCAGACAAGACCAGTTAGTGATTTCAAAGATATAAACTTATTTGGTTATTTTACACATGACGTTTTCCAACAGACCAATTAGTTCCTTGTGTGGTCAAATGTTTTTCCCCACCAACAGCAACCCTGACTGCGGTTAAAATTTAAATAATCATAATATGACATCAAAAAATATACAAACTAACAAGACTAGTGATTATGTAAAATGTAAATATTACTTTAGTGGTTTATCCTCTTTAGAGATATTCGATGTTTTACCATTAGAGTCACTAAGTGTCGATTGTTCATATCTAGTCGATTTTGATCCCGGCGGGTCAGAGTCGGAATTATGATTAGATTTCAGTAATAACTGTTCTGCTTCGCGTGCTTTATATTCATCAACTTGATTTTGGTCTAGAATTGATATTATCAAGAAAGTGTGTACGTTGAGCGTTGTTTCATGTAAGAGGAGGTTCAATTATTCACATATTTGCAAAAAAATAATCGATAAAGAAGGTCAAAATTTTGGAACGCAAAAATTTAAATTCAAAAATAGAAAGCAAAATGTATGATATATTCTAGTATAATTGTGCATATAAATCTATTAATTCACTGTATAACATCGATGGTATGTACTTTTACTTCAAATATTTGACCTTCACTATAGGGTTGTGTGGATAGTTGAGTTTTGACTGAGATCACGAACTGATCAATGTTAAACCACCATTGAAAACCTGGAGGTACTAGAAGGCCATTTTTTCCTAGTATGGGACCGCTAAGAAGTGCGCGTCCACGACCCCAAACGTGGGACTGGGATATGGGACCTTTGGTCTCGCGCAAACACTGAGCCGACATTCAACGGTGTTAATGTTTAGCTTCAACCAGTCCACGGTATTGCGCGACCATCTTTGATTGTCTTCGGTAGGTGACTGCGTCACATCCGACACGGTTGAACTTCACTGGTCACAGCTTCTCACTAGAATAAAATGTCTGTTTAGTGCTTCCAGGTTATCAATGATGGCCTAAAATTGGTCGGTTTATGATCTCATATAAATCTTTGAGTTTATTGAAGCAATAAAAATAGATCTTATATACCTTTATCCAATCAATACAACAAATTGCCATAAGTTAAGCATTTCGTTCATTAATTTCTATTTCTACATCATTCTATATGTCATAGAGATAATCTCGATATATCATGGCTTTACTTCCTTTTTATAACCTACAAAAGTTATACACAGAGTTCTACTTTAACTCAATATTCATTCTAATTCAAGAATACATTTGAAATGAACTTCAGCATGCTTGGGATTCCAACAGCAGTGAAATTAACGAATTTAATGGTTAATGCAATTTAGTGGCCGAATACAAATGTATGCACTTAACTAAGGGTCTAGCGACTAAGTGAAAGTTTGAGAGCGGGATTTACACTAACAAACTAGTGGCTGAAAGTTAAGTATTGCAACTAGCAAGTTAGTTTTTGAACAGAGGGCAACCACATATGAAATTATCAATACACAAAAGATTAGAGAAAAATTGTTGTGAATAATTAGATAGTATCACAGTACTTACTTACTTACGCCTGTTACTCCAAATGGAGCATAGGCCGCCGACCACCATTCTCCAACCCACTCTGTCCTGGACTTTCTTCTTTAGTTCCATCCAATTCTTGTTCATTTTTCTCATGTCTATCTCCATTTTCCGGCGTAATGTGTTCTTTGATCTTCCTCTTTTCCTTTGGCCTTGAGGATTCCATGTGAGGGCTTCTCTTGCAATGTAGTTTGGTGCTTTCCTCAATGTGTGTAATATTCACTTCCGGCGCTTCTTCCCGATTTCTTCCCTCAATGGAATCTGGTTTGATTTCTCCCCAAATGCCCTGGTACGGCCGAGAGTAGGGAGAGTCCGCTCTCTAAATGCTCTCACATGGTCACGCGTATACAGATACTGCCAGGGAAGTCCTATTCACTGCCTCCTCGCAGCTGGGTGTTGTTTACGAAATTAAGAGGACAAACAATTGTCCGACGCTTTAACCGGGTTGGTGGGTACGGAGGATCCACCTCCGGGAGTTGGAAAACCCTGATTCCAAACCAATGGTGCACGCGGGCTCTAGTATCCTAAGGAAAAAAGGTGTATAAACCAATCGTTGGTCACCGGCTACCATGGGACTGCATCTCCTTACGATGCTCCACTGACTCGTAAATTAGACTTTCAGGTCAAAGGCTCGGGGTGTGGCCCTCTAAGAAAACCACCTGCTTCGGTTTGGGCACCCGGGCAGTATCACAGCCGTCACACATATCAAATGAGATATGTGTGGCGCATATGTATTTGGTGCCTCCTTGTACCAATATCTATGTGTTAAAATAAATAAATAATCTCCCACAGTAGGTTGTTGCTAATAGTGTCCGGCCAACGGATCCGAAGTATTTTGCATAGACAACTGTTAATAAACACCTGTTTCTTCTGGATGATGGCTTTCGTAGTTCTCCAGGTTTCCGCCCCATATAGTAAAGCTTTCTTGACATTTGTATAGAAAATATTGACCTTGGTGTTGGTTGACAGTTGTTTTGAGTTCCAGATGTTCTTCAGTTGTAAATATGCTGCCCTTGCTTTTCCGATCCGCGCTTTCACATCTGCATGATATCCACCGTGTTCATCAATGATGCTGCCCAAATATGTAAAGGTTTTTACATCTTCCCAATCTTCTCCGTCAATTGTGATTAAATTGATAGTATCACAGTAGCAAATAGTTATGTGCAAAGCAGTTAAATAAATGAACACTTTAATGACGATTGCTTCACACTTTAACCTAATTTATTCAATGTGACGATGCATTTGTTTATATGATGATAATACAATACACTTTCAAAAGATTTCACCGATTTTAAGCTTACTGGATAAGTCAGTAGTGTTAAAATTTTCACATAAAATCTAATAGACTGTAAAATGTTGATACTTTTAGAATATTCATAAGTTTAATTATGTGAGAAGTTATGGGTGATGGTAGATATTTACACGAGAAATAAGGGTTTATAAATAAATCACAAACAAGTAATGGTTTTATTGAAATGATACAGTCAGGAAATATATGAAACAGGATAGTTGAAATACATAGATGGATCAAAAATACAAACTTACTTATACAATTTGAGTACGCAGTATATTCTTTGATAGGAACCAAACGGACAGTATGTTGAAGTACAGTGACTGCTTCTTTCGAAACTTTTAATCTAATAATCACACGACCAGTGTCTCCATCTAGTCCTTCTAACTAGACATTTAGAAAGGAATGGAAATATCCTCTTAAAAAACAGAAAATAGATTTTCAAGATATTAGAATACAAAAGGTTTCCTCTAATAATAATTATATTCGTCTTAAATGAACGATCTCGTGACAAGTAATGTCTGACATCTTTACATAGTTTGTCCCAGACCGAATAACTGACAAATATGATCATCCTTTAAGGAAATTTTACATAAATTAAAAATAGGTTGTTTCACCTTAACGGAAAAACCTTGACTACTAATCGTCACAACCTCTGGAAAGATACGATTATAGGTACAATTAACTTCCTGAAAAGTATATTCAAAGACATCAAATTGGAGAAAACTGGTGAGAAAGCAAAAAAAATTTTAACAGTGGTTAGATTTAGGAAATCTAGTCTAAAACAAAATAAGGATTTATAAGAATGGTGTGAGTGATTTTTATCTACTTATATGTTGGTCAGTAAGACTTATACAACACATTTCATGGAGGAGCGTGAAAATAAAGGTAATCTCGAGTAGTGGTAAAGGCACGGTAGTGGTTATTACTATTCGCCAAAAATATGGGACACATTCTTTTAAGGGTTCTGAAGAAGAAGCTGGATTAGAAGTGGTTTTGAAGACCTAGTAGCGTGATTACAACTCCAAGAGAAAAACTGTGCTAGTACCCTTAGGATACTAGAGTCCACGTGCACCATTGGTTTGGAATCAGGGTTTTCCAACTCCCGGAGGTGGATCCTCCGTACCCACCAACCCGGTTAAAGCGTCGGACAATTGTTTGTCCTCTTAATTTCGTAAACAACACCCAGCTGCGAGGAGGCAGTGAATAGGACTTCCCTGGCAGTATCTGTATACGCGTGACCACGTGAGAGCATTTAGAGAGCAAGCTTCCCTTACCCTCGACCGCACCAGGGTATTTAGGGGCCATTAGGACTGTAAGTAATCATGATACATGCCCGTTACAGGTTAAAACTGAAACATTGACTGCTCTACAAATAAGATGACTGAAGGGTTGAAAATGTGTTTAGGCTTTCATAATCCGATACTCAAGTTGTGAATTATGATTGATAACATTTTGTGTGTCTTTTACATCAATCACGCTAAAGTAAATGTTTAGAGGGAAGCAACAAGTATCTATGTGTACTACAGTTATACGATTTTACAAAACTGTTAAGTCACTGGAAAAGTTTGAGATTCCCACTTTCAAACTTGGAATCTAACTACGACTTCAAGTGGACAAAGGATGGCTACTGATTCTGGCTAGCACTAACTTTCGGCACAGTCATCGCCGATGTGCCACCTGGCGTCCTCCCTCTGCATCTCAAGCCTGGACTCAGATTGATCACATCGCGATCAGCTACCGTTGGCGTGGTTGTGTACAAGACTGCCGCTCCTTTTTGGAGTACCTACCTGGACTCTGACCATGCTTTGGTCTGCGCCAATCTTGCCTTACTTTTCAGTGGCCAACGAAGTGACCGCCACCAACGGATTGATGTTAGCAAGTTGGTTGCAACTTCTGTTGCAAGTAAGTATCAAACCGAGCTAGCTTCTAGGCTAGCTACCATTCCACCGAAAAGTATAGATGAGCATTGGTTGCAATTGCATGACACCATGAAAATGGCGGGTACAGTCAGTTGTGGGTTTGCGAAACGTCCCGCTTATAAGCACTGGGTTTCTTCAGGCTCCTTACAACTCATTGAAGCCCGTCGGTCTACCCCGGGTGACCGTGAGTTTGACCACAAACGAAGGTTGTTATGTAGCGAAATTGGGCAAAGCTTGCGTAAGGACCGAGAAGCCTGGTGGTCGGAGCGTGCTAATGAGCTGGAAGCAGCAGCTGCATCTGGTAATTACCGGAAGCTCTTCCAACTCATCCGAGCCACTGGCAGCAAGAAGTCTGGTGTGAGCGAAACAATCTGTGAGGATGACGGGATGCCAATCACTAACACCCATCGACGTCTTGGACGGTGGGCAGAATTCGTCGAAGGGCAGTTCAACTGGTCTGCCGCTCCGGCAGCATCGGTCAGACTGTCCTGCCCCCCCCATGGCAGGTGACGACTGATCCACCAAACGAGGAGGAAGTCCGCAAGGAACTCCAACTCTTGAAGCGCTACAAATCACCTGGCCCAGACGACTTGCCTCCGGCTCTTTTTAAAAATGGTGGTGACTTTCTGACTAAGGAACTGACGACTTTGTTTACAAAGGTGTGGGAGCTAGAGAGTGTATCAACGTCATGGAATGAGTCGATAGTTGTCCCTATCTTTAAAAAGGGTTCACGTTGTTCCTGTAACAACTATCGGGGGATAAGTCTACTTCCGATTGCGTCCAAGCTATTGGCTTTCGTCATACTTCATAAGTTTTTTAAAACCCGAGAAAGATTGACTCGCGAGGAGCAGGCTGGGTTTCGTTCTGGTCGAGGATGTATTGATCATATCTCCACCCTCCGCCAAACGTTAGAACACCGCCATACTTTTCAAAGGCCAACAATCGTAGTGTTTCTTGATATCAGGGCTGCCTTCGATTCGTTGGATAGGACTGTTCTCTGGGATTGTCTATTGAAGAAGGGTATGCCTGAGAAGTTTATTAACATCCTAAAAGCCCTATATACAAACACCTCAGGCAGAGTGAGGGCATACAACCACCTTTCTTCACCTTCGAGCAGTGGGGTTAGACAGGGTTGCCCAATCTCACAATTCCTCTTCAACTTTGCCATCGATGACATTCTGGAAACAGCTCTGATGGATGTAAGTAATGGTGGTGTGGATCTATTGCCTGGAGAAAGACTTTTCGACCTTGAGTATGCGGACGATATTGTCTTACTGTGCGATAATGCCCAAGACATGCAATTCGCGCTTAATCAGTTGGCAATCAGTGTCCGTAGGTATGATATGTGCTTTGCACCTTTGAAGTGCAAAGTACTTCTACGAGACTGGCAGGATTCTAATCCTGTACTCATCCTGGATGGTGATCAGATAGAAGTAGTCGAGAAGTTCGTGTATCTAGGTAGCTGCATAAGTGCTGGTGGTGGTGTGAGTGATGAGATCAATGCACGTATGGTGAAAGCTAGAGCGGCTTATGCCAATCTGGGCCATCTTTGGCGCCTTCGTGATGTTAGTCTGGCTGTAAAAGGTCGGATTTACAACGCGTCGGTGAGAGCAGTTTTGCTCTATGTTTGTGAAACCTGGCCTCTCCGAGTTGAGGACGTTAGACGACTTTCTGTATTCGATCATCGATGTCTCTGAAGGGTTGCTGACATCTAGTGGCAACACCATGTTAGTAATGCAGAGGTTCGGCATCGTGTGTTCGGGCACAGAGAAGATAATGCAATTGGTGTCACCATCTTGAAACACCGACTTCGGTGGCTTGGACATGTTCTACGAATGTCGTCCCAGAGAATTCCACGTCGTGCATTGTTTGCCGACTTTGTGACTGGTTGGAGAAAGCGGAGAGGTGGTCAGTATATGACATGGTGTTGTGGTATGAAAGAAAGCTGCAAAGAGCTGGCTTGTGTCGGTCCTTCTCGACTCCCTGGTTGGGGTCCGAGAGATGGTGCTACACAGTGGCTAGAGACGTTATTAGATATGGCTCAGAATAGAAGCCAGTGGCGATCCTGCTGTAACCTTCTTTTACTTTCTTCATAAAAGTGGTTGTTTCCTCCTTAACTGAAAGATTTCTTCTGCTTATACCTTTCCGTTCCCTTATTATGACTATGATTATTACTACATTCCCTTACACCAATCTCTTCATTATTGTTTTTTACGTCCCTTTTTTTTCTTCTTAAATTTTCATTGTTTTGTGTGGCGCATATATATTTGGCGCACTGCAGTACCAATATATGTGTTCAGATAAATAAATAAAAACTGATTCGAGAAGACTGAAAGCTGAGTTAAGTACATCATAATGAACGCAATAAAAGATTGATTAGTACAATTAGATCCTGCTCGGGGATTAATGGCATTATGTAAGGTGGAAAATACCATTGTATCGATGGAGCTATTCTCATTATTATTAAAAGATATAGCCGAAATCAGCTACACAAGTTTTTTATTTTTAGTTATAACTTTTACAAGAATCAACTAAACTTACCCACTGTGCACAATGCTATTACACCATGCTCTGAGATGTTGCCTATTTAAAAACTTACAACTACTTATTTAAAAGTACAACTACTAAAGTGAACTTATGTAACTGAGATTCAGTATGTAAAAATCAGTTATCTGACGAAATAACATTAATCAGAAACATTTTTTCACTAACCGTGCCATAAAGACCCTTGTTTTTTCCTAATACGATCTGACAACGCGCTCCGGGGTCCCATGTTAGTTTTTCTATTTTAGATTTCAGTAATTCTTGTTTAGCATCTTGAACTGCAGTTGGGTCTGCGCCTAGCCCGAGTCCCTTTGGTCGCTGAGGTAGTAAAACCTCTCTGTGAAGTAATATACTAAGAAACAAAGAATACCTCTTAGAGCTATCGAGAGATTTCGGGTCAAAACCCATTCCAGCCAAGAGAGCCACACCAAACTTTTCAATAGGGATAGCATCATAGTTTGCATTCTCAGTCTAATTGCTGGTAAAAATATTAAAGGATCATACTTCCTCGGTGGTTTCAGAACTATTGGCAATTATTTTAAGATCATAATTTACATGAACATTGTGTGAATCACTTGAAAATGCTTGGCTCTCTAAATATTTAAAAGTACTGAGGAACAATAAAATACCTTCTTTAATTTCTTGCAACGCCTGAAGCGTAAGAGGGTCTAAGGACTCAGCTGGCAAGAAATTCTTTTTCATCCGCTCCTGGAAGCTGCTTTTACTACGCTTTAATGGTATGACAAGTTGCTCTTCTTTTTTTGCAGTTGAACAGCTAAAGTGATAAATTAACAACACACATATACATGCATTATTTTGTCTTCAATTGATGTGATGAATTCCTTTTTATCTTCAATAGTAACTTCGCCATTATTTGCATCCAAAGATGTAACTTTAGGATTATAAACTAGTTGCTTTTTTCGCTGCAGAAATGAGAAGGCAAGCTTGGGCTTTAAGTCACTCATATTACCCGCCAAGGACATCTGCAAATTGAAACACTACGTCTTATTATAGACCACTAACGACTGTTTAATGTTAGGAAGCGGTTCGAGGTCTTTATGAGCATGCAGTTAAACTAGATTTACCACCTGGTTCTAATATTTCAATGGAAATCAACGGATATTGTTAGTTTACTTTTATTTTGGAAAGGTTGTGGTTAGTCAAATGGTTCAAATGGTTGTGGACGGAATAGGAGAAGCTTTTGCTTGACATGCTTCTAGTAGCAGGGGATCACCAAATCCTTAACGCAAGAACCTAGATATGTTAACAATAAAAGATGAAAAGAAATAAGTAAATCATAGTGTGATCCTATCCTTAGTCCTTAAGAATAGATCAAGTTGCCTCTTAAAGGACTCCTGGGAAGTCGCTTGGACTAGCGAATTCCAGCATTTGACAACTCTTAAGGGGTAGAAGTTGTGTCTACAGTCCGTTCTACTCTGTTGTGTCCCCAGTTTTCGGGTGTTATCCCTTAGGTTAGTAATGGAACTAAGCTTAAGTAGGTGTTTGAGAAGATGTACAGAAGTGTTAAGGCTACTATAAGCCATAAGAAAAGCCACCTCTAAGACGTCTATGCTTTAATGGGTAATGGTTAAGTGAGTGGAGGCGCTCTTCGTAAGATCTAAATTTGAGTCCTCGAACCCATTTCGTGGCTCACCGTTGGATACGCTCCAGAGTGTCCTTATACTTTTGGAGTGAGGGGGGAAATACTATGTTTCCGTACTCTAAATAGGGACGGATAAAACTGTTGAAGATTATATGGAAAGTTCAGACTGGCCAAAAATGCGCTTCAACGTTATCAGTGCAAGGTTGCTCGGAAGGCATTTTTGTCACAATTAGCGTAAGACTTTGAATCGTAGGGCACCAGGAAGCCAAAATCTTTTTCGACCTGGGATACTACTAGAGAGGATGTACCTAAGTTATAACTGTAGTCTGCGACATGTCGCATATGGATTACTTTACACTTTGAAGTGTTAAAGGTAAGTCCGTTATTGTCTGCCTAACCTTGAAGTCGAGTCAGATCCTTCTGAAATGCCTGTATATCGTCTTGGTTGCGTACCTCTCCCCAAAGTTTCACGTCATTGGCAAGAAGTAATAAATCTGACGTTACCATTTGAGGAAGGTCATTTGTATAAACCGAGAATAGAGGTCCTAGTACTGAGCCCTGAGAGACGCCACTAGGACATTCCATAGCCTGAGATAAAGTGAAATTAACCCTGACCTTAAAATGTCGATTGTTCAGGTATGAAGTGAGCCAATCGATTAGAGGTGGTCTGATACCCAATCGTTTGAGCTTATTGATAAGACATGTATGGTTAACCTTATCAAAAGGTTTTGAGAAATCTAGGTAGATGATATCAACCTTCCCCTTGTAATCAAGGATGCTTGTCCATCTGTCCACCTCAGTCAGCAGGTTGGTAATACAACAGTAACCCTTCCTGAAACCACGCTGTTGGGGTGAGAAGAAATTTAAGGACAGTAATAGTCATGTAAACCATCTCATATCAGGGACTCCATGATTTTTGAAGGTATAGAGAGAAGAGCCACCAGTCGGTAACTTAAAGGTTCGCTGCGTCGACCTTCTTTGAAAATTGATGTGATGTGGGTCAGTTTCTAATTTTCCGGTAGTTTTTCTCGGTTTAGTGAGTGTGAGAACATCACGCTAAGCGGTGCTGCCAGGATTGAGGTTGCTTCTTTCAGTATGGTAGAATGGCCCATGTCCGGGCCAGGAGAAGTTTCTTATCTTAAGTGCTGAAGTTTCCGGAACACCAATTCAGCGCTCAGGTTCGCTACGGAAAGTTCTCTTGCAGCTGCAGATGAAGCTGTCATCAGTATAGTTCATGTGTGTCGTTTGAAATGTCCGGGAGTATTGTTCAGTGAAAAGGTTGGAGGCGTCGACGCCGTTATTGGTCAGGCAGTTAGGACCTAGCAGTTGGGAAACTTCAGTTTTGGCTTGACGAAGAGAGGCTGCATAACGGAATAAGGTTTTCGGATCGGAGACAAATTTATCCATAAACTTTATCTGGCACTGAAGCCTGTCTTCACTTATTGCTTTTGCGTATATGTTCCTTATATGTTTGTGATGTTTGTATGCGCCGTTGTCATCAGTTCGTTTGTATTCTGCCAAACAGTGAATTTTGCGGAACGCACCACAAGGGGTCATAAGATTAAGGTATAAACTCTGTGAAGCCGATTACACCATCAAGGATTGTTTTCACCAAGCTAAAGGAGAGAATAAGACAACTTGTTAATGAATCACTGCACACTAAAAACGCCTGGTCATCTGAATAAAAACATCACACTCGAGCCTCACTACTGCACCTCGCGACGCAATCCACGACCAATAAAACATGAAATCCAGCACCCTGATAAAACCACATCTCTCTCCATTAAGGATCAACTCTGTCTGAAACGCCCTCTCAGTCAACGTGACCATAGCTCCTTGGATAGATGACTTTATGAGAAAACTTATTATCCATGTACGCGTCCATATCTTACCGTTTTTCGTCTGGAATTGCTGTAATCGATGCATGTCTTGTGCCTTTTCATTACCACAGCTACTAGTTCTATTATTATTACCAGTATCACTGTCACCAAAGTTGCTACATTAGCCCATCTCTTTTGTTCACATTATTTGCATAAGAGTTTAAATTACTATTCATTACCATTATCTTCTCTCTCTTTTCTACACTCTGAGTTATAACCCTTCATACTGAGAAAAACTAATTTCCTCCCTGGTGATGTGACCACTCCTGGTCATTTCAATCTCTTTACCAAAGATCAAAGGCAATCACTTATATCCAAAAAAAATAACCTCTGATTAACCATCACACCCAATAGGCTGAGCACAACCAAGTGGGAAGATTATCCAAATTGGACGATGTCAGTGACTTGGAACCGTACCGCAAAATCAGGAAGCGAGCGCAAAGAAATCAATTGATTTATACAAGCATATCACACAGATATTGGATATTGGAATGTTGTCATAGACACTAGTTTCTAATGAGCGGCCAAGTCGACATAAAATATTGCATTAAAATTTTTATTAATCTCCTGAATTCTGTTGGATTCTCAGAACTGGAAGCTGAAAGTGTCCGGTTGGCTAAGTTTGATGACATACGTGCATTACATCCGATCAAGCGGCTTGTATTTGAACTTATATATTTTATCAAATATGGGTGTGTAGATGAATTGTGTTCTGAGGGTTTCGAAAAATTTTCGGACAATGAAATCCATCGGTTCATATTTCAAAGTTTGTTGACATATGGATTTCCTTTAATACGCAAAAATGTTGATGAGAGCTTCACATCAAGGCAATTGCTTCTGGGATCTATATGGATCCTAGTTTCTTTTGATGTCCTGCAAAAAGTTGAACAAATTTTGATTTCTACTGCGTTCGGAATGACAGAGAAAATTTTCGTTCATCAAAATGAACAGATCTTCACTTGTCCGGGAAGTAATGTGTCTATACCTCGACTCATTTGGCTGCTTGGTCGTTTGCGCATTCATTTGAAAAAATTGTACCACTTGAAGAGTGAAACTATGAGAGACTTTCTTAAATTATCTATAGAAAGACCGAAATTGCTCCCACCCTCTCACTATTGGGTCCTTTTAGATCCGAATGCTCTCCGTCAGCATATTCATAACGTACAGAAGAGTGTCTCAAAATTACATTTATTATTGTCCTGGAGAGATGTAAACCACAGATTTTGGCAATGGGTTCGTAGTATTTTAGTTGTTCATAAAGATGATTCGGCCGAAACCCTTCCAAATGAGTGGGTATCTGACTCTGCTTGTGATTTTATTGAACTTGTTACAAGACTGTCTAGCTCTATGAGTCATTTTAATGTCGAATACTCCCATCTTTTGGATGATGCTAAGTCAAGTCTGTGTAAAAATCTTAAATTGAATGAGAGTTTTAATTCTACTGAGGATATTTTGTCATGTTTACACAAAGAATTGCTTATTCTCACAGATCTTGTAATGTGTGAAAATTTTCCCACTGATACTGGATTAATGCCATATAATTTTCGGTATAATATTGTAAATGATGAAAAAGAACTTTCGGAAAAGGAAGAAAAGTTTGGCCTAAACTTTACTTTGGAGGATGAATGTGCTAAATTAAAGTTAATGGTAGATAAACTGAAAACAGAATATGAAAGCGTCAAATACAATTTAGCTCAAGAATTGCAAAAAGCAGGTGCGGATATTTTACCTGAGGCTGTTTTTCTATATAACAACTGATTAATGAGACCTTTAGGATGCCTTCTCAGCTCTTATAACCTGTATCCAAAGTTGTTAACCAATACAATTTGTAAATATACTAGTTCTGTTACTTGTATTAATTTTTGAAGCACGCTTATTGTCTGCTATCAATGATAAATCTGATGATCTTAGTCGTGTTTTGATTTTTGATTGCTATCTGTATTGTTTAACTTCTATTTTTATGAACTTATTTTAAATTTAAGCTTTATTATGAATTCCACTCTGGCTACTAGTATTTACATTTTATAGTTCGGAATATTTTATCGACGTAATTGGACCACGTAATATGAACATACATTCTAGTATAAAGTTTTTCCTCGTAAATATTAACCATATTATGTGGAACTTGAATGATCATTTGCAACAATCCGTCATTTCAAGGAATTCACCCTCGTTGGGTGTTTCTTATGTACTGTATAATGAGTTACTATCATAATTATTATGGTTTTATGTTTCACCTATGTAGCATTCTATGTCTGCACCCTTTCATGGATTGTAAGGAACTCTGTTAGTAGATTTGCATGTATCTTAGTTATAAATTATTATACTAAGCTATAATTTAATGTTTGTGGGCAGGATAGTAAAAAATGTATTGATTTTACACGGTAAAAATATGAATATAAGGTATTTCACATGTTGAGTCTATTTGATTAGACTCTATTAGCATATATTTTGTCAGTTCTGAGTTCCTAGATGATCATAAAACCTAAGGATTATTGATTTTGATGAAGATTTTCACCAAAATCGTCCCAGGTTTTCTAAGATAAGGTATTGCAGGATAGGTATTAAGTCAGTGAGTATACAGCTTTGATTTATCTGCTTTAGATCAATATCGATTTATCTAGAAGTTCATATGATAAACTTCGTACTTCCTGTTTTTATGTAAAGAACAACTTCAAACTAAATCGCCAATCTGACTTTGAGAGCACGAGATGTCTCAACGTTTGGTCAATGAAATTACCAATCCCTAGAGAACGATTTTGCACCATCCACTGACTTTAAACCAGTTGTTCATGCAACTTGGTACTAGCAGTAGGAATAGTAACAACAATAATAATGAACCCGTTTGACTCCTAATGTATATATTTATAATTAAATGATCAGTATTGTTCCATTAAGTATAATAGATACAAGTTATACGAAACATTTTAACATGGAAGAGGTTGGTAATTTTTGCTTGATGGCTGATTTTTCTTAATGTTTTCACAACAGTTATTGATATTTTTCTCATTAATCAAGGTTATGGAAATTTTAACTGAGAATAATCTGAGAAAAAGCATCTATATACCACACTAGTTATTCCTAACACTGTCCAACAACAAAAAATAAAGGGTTTTTCATGTTCCGGTATTTCTTTTAAGATTGTTTAATTTGTTTTAGAAACCGATTTCTACTTCAAGTGATTTTTCTATCGAAATTTCTGACTGCATTCTAAGTGTTAATAACTGGCTTGTTGCTTAATATTCAGCTCGTCTTTACTATTTATATTTTTACTTCACAAAAATTCCAGAATAATGTGTCGTTAGGAATGAAAGAATCTGGTGGGTTTCAGTATATTGATCGTGATCGGTTACTTTTGGCTGTTCAAATAGCAAAACGGGATGCTAGATACTTATCATCTAGTAAAATTGAAGACGATGAATACATTCATGAAACAGCTCAAAATTTCAACAACAGTTCCCTTTTGTCTCCAGTTGACAATCGTCCTGTCCAAAAACCAACCCAAGTAATTTTCAATTAGAAAAAATATTTTCTGATTCATAATCTTCATATATGAATAAATTTTCTTGATTGCAGCCTAAGGTATAATGGAGTGTAGCATATATATAGACTCAACCATGTACTGTATTCATCAATCACTAAATAATAATATATGTTATGTTGTTTTGTTTTAGTTCTGATAGGGTTGCATCGACTTAGTTTCAAGTGTGTTACTTAAACTAGGTGACCCGATATCCCAATAATTTTCATTTACTATGAGAGGTAATTAATAAAAAGTCTTTTATCCAGGATTCATCTTTACGTTCATTAGAGGTAAGCATTTATAACTTAGAGGCTCTACTAGAAAATGACCGAAAAAATTTGATCAGCACTAAAGAATAAACAACCTATTGCATCTTGTTAAATGTTGGGAAGTATGATACTTGAACTAAGGGTTCTTATCGTATTCCTCGCATTTATTTAACATATCACCTTCCAAGTTTGTTTTTCTACAGGTCAACCTTTTGAAGTCAGTTTAAATGTCATGTTCTTGCATGTTCGATTCTTAGTTGACGTCTTTTAGTAGTCCTCTCTAGGTTAAATTCAAACGTTTCCCCATAAAATAGTTAGAGATAGTATAAACGATTTTTATTAAAAATATTCTAAAATATTGAATAATGTTTCTTAAATCTTAACTAGAGTGGTTGCATGAATAAGCATTCATTCTTGGGTAGGTTCAGTTGAGGTATCTTGCTAGTACTATGCATTTAAGGTTGCACGATTGTTGAGAAAGACAACCGAAAAGTTAGACTATCTGTTGATCTGTCGATAAAAAGCAGTATGGTGATTTCAGCAGATTAACCAATAATTTGGAATACTGTAACTTTATAAACCATAGTACCATACAAAATCCTTGTACAATAATTGATGAGTACAGATGTGTATTGTCAAAGTCCATGTGCATATCATCTGTTCTAATAATGTGACATTTTTACTGGAATGAATAACACTCAGTTTATTACTGGTACCTAACCGTCAACTAAAGTATGTATTTTTGAGGATTAAATTTTCTCAAAATTTTAATACTGTTATTTTGACTAGGTTATTAGAAGTACTGATCAGAAGTATAAATCAATCTTGAGTAAACCTAGAATACTTCCCTCAAGAAATGACTTCTATCAGACTACACGCAAACTTGCAACTAATACGCATTATCAAACATTTGACGACAAGGCACCAGCTTGTAGTGATTCTCCTCCAATACGGGATACAGATACCTGGACTCCGAATCGTAAACGTGCTCTTCATGAACCAACTGAAAAGCAGCTCAGAAATTCACAGGTATATTCTCTAACTTTATACTGCAATTATCGGCGGAAAAGCTTTTTAGTAGTTACTACATTGCAACAATTGTTTTTAGAACAGCGCTAACTTAGTGGTCAATATTAATTAGTCAAAATACAAAAAAATGTTTTTTAAGTTGTAGTTTTGAAGGGAAAATAAAAAAAATATGAGCACTTAGTTGAATAAATGTTACTTTTTATGTTCAAATTACTGAGCGTTCTCTTTTTAAATAATGTACTGTTGAAATATAACTAAATAGTGAATATTACTCCATTGCTTTACTTTACCACTGAAGAAATCTAATAACGCTACACAACCAATATTTTTATTTAAGTAAATTAGAGTTTATTTGCTAATCAGATGGTAGTTTTATTGCTTACGTATTGGTTTCCTCAGCGTCGTACTTGGATAGATGAATTTTATGGTTAGATTGTTTAAACCACATTGCCCATTCGTTTTTTAATGCTAATTAAGTTAGTAAAACCTTGTTTATTTTTTACTAATTGTTTATCCTGACATAAGAGTGAGCCACAAAAGGACCCAAGATATACTCCATATAAATAGTTTTGGTAAAAAAAATAAAAGGAAAAAATTGTACCAACAATATAAAAAGAAGGTAGCCCTAATAAGAGGAAAACTAAAAGGAATTCTATTCTTCTCAAAGTAGTAATCTAGTTTAGGATTATCTCTTTCTTTAATTTTGAGCCATGTTTGATAAGTTGTTCAGGTCACTGTGTTATGTATTATCTAGAATTTCCACAAAGAAGTGATAATAAGCTAACAAAAATATTCTTGGTAGTACAATGTCACATCTTAATACTTTCTTCATTTGTCCTTAGCGTCAGAAGATACTGCTAGTATGGTAGCTGTTGAAGTGAAACTCATGATATTTATAAATGTCACCAAATATACAAACGAATAACAATATCGTGCAACTCTGTATAACCTTGTTACTGGTTTGGATCAATCGACAGATGCCGTTGTATGCTATCATTCTACCTGAATATCTCTGTATAGAGTTTTCCTTCAGAGGAGTTCTGCTTATCACATTTGCCTAGCTGAGACATTTTCACAAAATAAAAAGACTGAAATCGTGTTGGTATTGCAGAAAGTCCATTTGGACCAGTTTTAAAACCTTGATTTTCAAAGTGCTGCTTTTAAATCCCAGTATTCCGAAAGAAAGATTAGTGCATGGTCACTAGCAACTCTGTGAATACGTCTTTTGTCGCTCCTCAAATACATTCTACATTAAGCAGGTTGTATATGCCGGCCTCCTGAAAAACACCTGTGTTGGCTTGAGTACTCTAGCGGTATAATAGTGCTTAAATAATCCATGATGAATAAAATCAAAGAATATATACAACCGGTCATTCGACTTTTAAAATTTTCTAGTACGTTAACCAAGTCTATTGCTGACCTATGAAAAAAAAATTTTCTGAAAATTTTGAATAATCAAATGATCCGGATAGTATTTCCTTTTTTGTTTCGAAATCTTTTTTATGTAATAATATTTACTATTGTTGCTGTACTTCAATCACATATTCTTGGTTTTTATTATTTGAAATACTTAGGAATCTAGAATACGTCAACTACAAGCCAAGTTATCTCAATATTCAGATGCATTAGAAGATCTTCGGGCAAAGTGTTTGTCAAATAATGCTCAATCTCAAGAATTAGGATCAACTTGTAAAGTAAAAAAGAAGTCACTTTTAAAAATCCCTGCAAATCCTTCAAAATCAGTAATCTCATCTATTATACGTCCAAAATCATCAGCTTTACGTTCTCACTTAGTTTGTAGACCGAATACACGAAATTCTAGTAAAATAATAAAATCTCATTCATTTAATGGTGTCAACCTAACTCATGATGATTGTCCAATGTCTCCAACGTCCATTTCAACCAATGCTAGAGATCATTATGATTCAAAAGTATCTTCACTTTGGGAACAAGCTATTAATTCACTGAACTTAGGTGGGTCTAGTGCTGTTACTTGTCAACCTGGAGAATATCTAAAGGTAATAAAAACCCGTTTTTATACATTTATCCTTCGAACTATATCCATTCATTTAAAATTTGGACCGCATACTGTGTTTGATAAGAACGCTCGTTATTAAATTTAAGTTTATTTGTTTGGGAATGTTTATTTTAACTGAAAAATATATAGAACAAGATTCATAGGTTGACCATTGGGGGTTTAATAATAAATAGGAAGAAGCGATATAGAATATGAGTTTGTTGTACGGATTATTTAAAATATCTCTGACTCCATTCTGAAATAAGGGGCTAAGCAGTGTCGTAATCGGATATGTTACCACTGAGCTATTCCGGCACAAAAATTTTTTGTCATGGCGCATATTTACCCAATTTTTAACCCTGTTTTCTGTTTCTGTTTACTGAACCATTTTTTATCAATCAGAACCAGAGTCCAGTGAAATCCTTGTGTGGAATTACTGATGACCAACATATTCAGAACTCATCTAACCAGCTTACCATCAACACGATAAAATCAGGTAATTCATTTCCTATATATATATATATATATATATATATATATATATATATATATATATATATATATATATATATATATATATATATATATATACTCAAACCTATTAATTTTAATCACAGTATTGTTTTTTCAGAAATTGTTCCTTGAAAAAGTGCTTTAACTTTTGTTTGTGACTTGAGAGGTGCTTGAGAGGTCAAATGTACTTATTATCGTTGAGTCTTAGAATTATGATAAAGTAGCCGTCTAGTCCTTAACCATCTTTATTAGCTCTTCAATTCAATTGAATTTCCAAAACTATAAACTTTTATTTAAAGCTTTCAGCTAATATGTTGAAGGTTAGCAGACAATCGGCTCCATCTACCTTGTTTTACTCAGCCAAATAATATTACAAACCTCGTCATCCCCTCAAACAGTATAGTTCAAGGCTGAGTATTCAAACCTGTAGTTAGTAAGAGATTTTCGATTAACTAAATTAAAACTAAACTTGAACTTTATACACAGTCATATTTTATAATTGATTGATTAGTGAGCAGTGACCAATGAAATGTTTGTCTAATCCTTTGATACTGGATGAATCCTATCAATCAAATTCTAATACAGCCACAAGTTAAAGTGTCTAGACATCACATTCACTATGTTGGGATGTTTAGGGGTTGGAATTCGTCGGCAAGAAACCATGGATCCAGCTTATCTCCTAGTTGACACTCGTCATAAAGCTAGGTGATGTGGGTCCGAATCCTATAAGTCGCAAGTAAGCTTTGCTGCCGTATACTAACTAGGACAATACCTAGGTCCAGAAATTCCTTCTGAATACCTCCAAATACTGGACATAAGCTTTGACTTTCCAGAATAACAGTGAAAGCTCAGCAAATAAACCATCCACTTCAGAGAACTGTTGCGTTTAGTATTGTTACACCACTATACGATTTATCCTCATTTTTTGATAGGTAAACTACTTTAGTCGTTCCACTCGTTTCGTCATTTACACATGTGACCTTAAGATGTGTGCATGATAGTATGCTTCTATATACTTCCTTGTGTCTATCATACCTACAAATGTTGAGTCATATTTTAACCAAATCGAGCAGTCACGTTTGTCATCTCGGCTTCACATTTCCCATCGTTTTTCTGGATAAAAGAGTGCTTAAAATCAGTTCTTCCAGCCTAGTTCGTATTCAGCTTTTTATTACTGCCATCACCTAAACGGGGTTAGCTTAAGTAAAATATACGAGACCGAACAGAGAATTTATGTTCACGGTTCATTCCTTCGATAATGTTATGCAGTCAGATCGTTACCATAGAGCTCAATAACACCTAATATTAGTCTTCAGACGGATCTCTTTAGATCTTTCTTTAGTTATTATGTCAAAAATTATTGCCATTGTGGTAACATTCATGACATTTATAGATGTTAAGTTATTTCTACTTGAGGTATATACCGATAATGTTGTCCATAAGAACAATGAAAACTCCACGTCTTAATCATTTAGGTCAGTGGACAAAACTCCAACAAAACCATCCACTTGGGCTACAAATCTTCTGTATAAATCTTGGTTATAGGTTAGATACTAACAATAGTATAGTTAAAAATAGTTACCTTATTGTTTTTCGAAAATAGCACATATATTTTATGATTGAATTGTATTCTTATAAAATACCTGCTATTATGTATACTCATATTACATAGATCTTGATGATTGTCGCGTACTTTGTTCTGCTGCTCAAGAACTTTTAAAACAAATTGATGAAGCTGAATTAGAAGAGAATGCTATTCGTCAACGATGGGCTAATAAATTAACTTGTATTCATGATGACAGAAGATTGCTGAATAATTTTCCTCTTACCAAGAAAGATGATTCAGTATGCAAACATTATAAATCAGATGTGCTTTCATTGTAAGTTATATATATATATATATATATATATATATATATATATATATACCCTTAGATGAAGAATAATGTAAAAATTCAGTTCATTAATTTAAACACTCTACTTTCATTCGATAATACATCTCAAATTCAAACTACACTTGATCTACTTTGTTTATTTAACTTTGTAATACTTTAAACTCTTATTAAATTAGAACTAAAAACTTAGTAAGTATATCAAACTATAATTAATTACTGATCTACATGAAACTATTTCTCATTAAATTTAATTTGCCTAGGAAATAATAGATTGAGCGTTATAATTGAAAGGAGTTTAATGATTACTCATTATTTATGTCCATTAATTGCAAAATAATCGATGATGTGTATGTATATCTGTACTACTTTACTGTTGAAAACATTTATCAAGTGAGTTATTTGCAAGGTGTAAAATATTTTCAATATTTTCTTTATTTAGTAAAGCATGTAGAGGGAATTAAGAGTAAATATTACTAAGGTTAAACAAATACTTCTCGAATTATTTATAAATCCTACTGTTCGAATCAATATTTCTCACAACTGAATATTTCCTCAACCAATCAGCTGCCATGTCGACATAGTTTTTATTGAAAACCACACAGGTAATAGCACGATTTATAATCTATGGCATATTTGATAGAGTTAAACATTTATATCATTCGCTTAGCTAACCATATCTACGAATTGGTAAGGGTACTACATGATTACTATTCACTCCTTCCAGTATTCTATACACGAAAGGTTTATTTGAGGCCAAACTTTGAAAAAGTCAATGAAGACGTTCTTTGTTGATTTCAGTGATTAGTTTTGCCAAAATTTCTTGAACTATGTTGTTAGTGTTTTCGGTGAGTTGGTTTTATTGGATGACCATATTGATGTTCATATATTAGACTGTTATCATACATGTAGTGTGCAAGTGAACAACACTGAACTTTTTCTAACCCCGGATGTAGAAATTAATATTTAGATGAATGACAAAGTGACCAATAATCATATATTTAAAGTGCTCATCTACAGATGTACTCAAAATAAAAACTAGTACTTGTGAGTTGAAACTACTGACTAAAATAAATTCGCAATGTCCTTGGAAGTAGGGTGAAGAAGTGGCATATTAAAAAAGCAACGAACGAATAGGTAAGACGGGGTCTTTGTTCACATTAATGTGAAGAATGGCTCCAGTGGTGAATATCTTAAACGAGAACTTGAATTTTCGTGAAGCAAAATAACAAGATGGTGGGTAAATAAGTGGTTTTTGGAGAATTTAAACATTTCTCATAGTTTATTAAATCCAAGGATTCGAATGGATTATTGCAGGTGAGGTTATCTGCAACTTTTTGTGTGTCCAGTAGCAGAGCCTGATATAGCTAAGGAATAGCCTAAATATAGTGAATGTTGGGGCTTAAAAAGGAGTCTTTAATGAAGTATGCACTGCAGTATGCAGTACCCACTTACTTAATGAATGAGAATATGACTAAGAATGCTGGCTACGACGTAATTTGCGAACATCGAAACGTTGCAAATAACCTCAGTCATTACTTTTCACTGTTAATTTTAATAAGTACTAAATTGTGCTTTTTGATGTTTTTTCTTTTCTTCGATTTCTCGAAAGGTCGAATGATAGATCTCAATTTCAACAAAACGATAAGTCACTTATCCATCCTGATACTTCAACGTTTCAATTTCCAAAAGTAATTGTCTGATTATTTTAAATTGAAATTCAATTTTATCATAGATATGATCCAGAATGTGATTATTTACACTGATTGATCACTGAATATTAACGATTGACACGTATTTAGTTCTTGATACTAATCAAGTTCTGTCAATTATGTTCGAATGTGGTCACTAGCGATTTGGTACCCTGTGTCCTATGTTTTCATGTTCTTTGGTTGAAGGCAATCAGAGAGAAGCTTTGAGGTGTAGACCCCGGGCTATTTGGTACTTGTCAGTGAGGCGTACCTGTAGCATTGATGGAACTGATGCTGCCTGCGGAATTAAAAACCGTGGCATTCACTGTTAAAATCACTCAAAAACTAGTCTCCAAAGTAAAACTTGATAGCCTGATCAGCACTAAGAACTGGAGATCTATGAAATTTGATACTACTTAGTTACCAATCAGTTTAAAAAATCTCAATCCTACTGGAGATTAGTCGCAACCCGAATAGTTCAACGTTATCATCCTTGACTATGGTGGGATGTGATATAACATTTCATGAGGAGCATCATTTTCACGAAGATTGTATACTCAATCTGTTGATTAGTACCAAATAGTATGAAACCTAGATCTACCAGAGCTTCCATCTGATTCTCTTCAACTACCTAACACCTAGATCGAGATGTTAAAAATAAAGTTAAATTTTTATTTGATTTCGATTCGACGTCAAGTTAACCCATCAAAAAATAGATCATTGCATAACTTACGCACGTTGCGTAACACGAAGATAATACATAAAGTAGTACATGTGTTCTATTTATAAATTACTCACTTTGAAATGCTTAAATAAATAAGCTTTCTGTTTTTATTTACATTTAAAAAAATGAATATTTATATTTATTCAATTCATGCATGCTGAGGGTCTAGGGTCAAACTGACATCCACTCCAACGTCAAGTGTTATAACTCATTAGTCGATGGTACACCCAATTCCTTATCCACAGTTTGTCAGTTCAAATCCAATTATAGTTAAGATTTCTTTTCACTTTTAACAAACTTAAACAAACATGATGTAAACCAATGAATAATGGCTTTTAAATATTTCTTCGAAATGTTGTATTAATAGACTATACAATTATTTATTCCATATCTATACATGTTAAGTAATTTCGTACTCACTCTTGACTAAGTCTTCTTTGTCACAATTGTGTTGATTTACAAATTACATTGTGTGATCAACTCTCAATGTTATTCAAATATCATTTACTTAGTATGTTTTCAAAGTAAAATATTTTTTGTAGAGTAATGTACCTCCATACTAGGTCTAATATTATGTTTTGTCAAAAAGATAAATACTAAATTATTCTACGAGACTATAATTTATGGACTAACTAATCAGATTTAGGATAACAAGTATTGGATTTTTGCATGTTATTCATTCACCCATTTGTCTAAATAGGGTTTTGATATTTTAGCTTATGTCAATTCGTGATGAAAACCATGAACCTAATTCCTAACCCTAACCATCTATTTTAAATCATAATCCTTATTCATCAAACTGTTTTATAACCTTTATTTAGCCCTAATAAGTAGATAGACGTTCTCACTGTCACTAAGGCGTCTCTCAAAGGTCGTCCATAGATTATAGTCTCACGAATTATTCCATATCATTTCATATATTAAGAGATAATTTATTGAGCTAGAATATTATTCTAATTACAGTTGTATAAAAAAGTTTGAAACAAAGATAATCGGGATTTCAAAGTATTTGTTAGTTTTTCTTATGATTATTTTTTCCATGTACTAAATTGAAGTGTCTAGTCTTATATCAAGCCCGCACAGGTCATCGTAACTTCCGGACAGACTGATTTATTGACTCTTTTCATGTCACATTTTGACTTTGCTAATTATTCGCTTATTAACCATGACTGTTTTTAAATGAGCGTGTGTGTGTTAATTGCTTACCCTATTCATTACCTGTCTTTAGCTTATCTTTGCTTGACTATGGACATTGAGTCGCGCTAGATCAGGTTGAGTTGGCTCCCTCACCTTCTCTTCTCCCCATCGCTTCGTTTCTCATATTTCCGACGACATTCTTTGTTTCGTTCTCCCTTCGCCTTCTCCATTTTGTTTCTTTGGTTGTCTGTCCGGCTCAGCTAGTGTACGAAACATACGTATTCAAAATACATTATCGTATTTAATTTATTCCGTTACTCTCTAAGGTCCATTACTTACTTACGCCTGTTACTCCTCGTGAAGGAACATAGGCCGCTCACCAGCATTTGCCATCCAACCCTGTCCTGGGCAACCCTTTCCAGCTGTTCCCAGTTGTTATTCATTCTTTCCATATCTGCTTCTATTTCCCGACGTAATGTGTTCTTTGGCCTTCCTCTTTTCCGCTTCCCTTCAGGATTCCAAGTTAGGGCTTGCCTCGTGATGTAGTTTGATGATTTGCGTAATGTAAGTTCTATCCACCTCAGACGTCTTTTCCTAATTTCTTCTTCACCTGGAAGCTGGTTTGTTCTCTCCCAGAGAAGGCTGTTGCTGATGGTACCCGATCAATGGATGTCGAGTATCTTACGTAGACAACCATTTATAAATACTTTTACCTTCTTCATGGTGGTCGTCGTAGTTTTCCAAGTTTCAGCTCCGTACAATAGAACTGCCTTGACGTTGGTATTGAAGATTCTGACCTTGATAGTGGTTGACGGTTGTTTTAAGTTCCATATGTTCTTCAATAGTACTAATGCGGCCCTTGCTTTGCCAATCCTTGCCTTTACGTCTATATCCAATCATCCTTGTTCACCGATGATGCTTCCCAGATATGTGAAGGATTCTACATCTTCCAGAGTTTCGCCATCAAGAGTGATTGAATTGCTGTTCTCCGCTTTGAATTTGAGGACCTTGGTTTTACCCTCGTGTATGCAGAGGCCTATTGATGCAGAGACTGCTGCTACACTGGCTATCTTTATCTGCATTTGTTCGTGTTAATACGATAGGAGGGCTAGGTCATCTGCGAAGTCCAAATCGTCTAATTGATTCCAGCTTGTCTATCTGAAAGTTGGGCGTCTACTGCGTCTTTTGTCCGGTTCAGTAACACTCTTTTAAAGACTTTCCCTGGTACTGACAGTAGTGTAATGTCTCTGTAGTTTTTACATCTGCTCAGATCTCCTTTCTTTGGTATCTTGATGACGTGTCCTTCTTTCCAGTCCATCGGTACTTGTTCCTCCTCCCAAATCTTTTTGAATGGAAGGTGAAGCATGTTTGTAGTTACTTTGATGTCTGACTTCAGTGCTTCAGCCGGTATGTTGTCGGGTCCTGCTTCTTTCCCGCTCTTATTTGTCTGATGGCCATTCTGATTTCTTCCGTCGCTGGTGGATTGACATCTATAGGAAGGTCTGTGTGTGCTGCTTCGATGTCTGGTGGATTTATTGGAGCCGGCCTATTCAGGATTTCCTCGAAGTATTCTACCCATCTGTTCCGCTGTTGTTGAATTTCAGTGATTGGCCTGCCTTCTTTGTCCTTGACCGATCTCTCTGATTTACTATATATTTCCCTGCTAGTTTCTTCGTTGTATGGTAAGGTTGTTTCATATTTCCTTCTCTTGCAGCTTTTTCGGCCGTCGTTGCTAGTTCTTCCACGTATTTCTTCTTGTCGGCTCTAATACTTTTCTTCACTTGCTTGTTTGCTTCTATGTATTCAGCTTGTGTTTGGACTTTCTCTGTTTGTGTTCGGCTGTTGTTAATTGCTGTCTTCTTGTTCTTCCTTTCTTTGATCTTGTTCAGTGTTTCTATAGAGATCCATTCCTTTTGATGATTCTTGTTTAGACCCAGAACCTCTTGACAGGTTGGAGTTAATGCTTCTTTGATACTTTTCCAGTTGTCCTCCATAGTAGTTTCTTCTTCCTTCAATAGATCCTGTAAGGCTTGTAACAGTTGTTGAGGGCTATCTTAAATTCATTGAAGGCTGTATTGAAGCTTTGTAGTGCTGTTTGTCCAGTTGTCCAGTTCTTCTTTAGCTTCAGTTTTAAATTGGCCACAACTAGGTGATGATGTGAAGCTACGTCAGCTTCTCTCCTGGTTCTCACATCTTCAATTGTCTTTCGGAATTTTTTATTGATGCAAATATGATCTATCTGGTTCTCTGTAGTGTGGTCCGGTGAGATCCATGTAGCTTTGTGTATACGATTGTGTGAAATTATTGTGCCTCGTATGATCAATTTGTTTAATGCACACAGATTGGCAAATCTTTCCCCATTTTCGTTTCTCTCTCCCAGTTTGTTTTATTCCATGATATCTTCATACCCGGTGTTGTATGTTGCGACTTTGGCGTTTAGATCTCCCTTCAGAGTGGTGAGGTCGTTTCTCGGACAATTCGCTATGATTGCTTGCAGCCGCTCATAGAATTGATCCTTAATGTCGTCGTCGCTATCATTGTTGGGTGCATAACATTGGATAATATTCATTGTGATCCTCTCCTTCTTTATTTTGAATGATGCTTTGATGATTCTGGGTCCGTGAGATTCCTATCCTACAAGTACATTTCGTGCTAGTTTGGACAGTATTAGAGCAACTCCCTGAGTGTGCAGATCATTTTCCTCTTCGTGACCGGAGTATAACAGTATCTCTCCCGTATTCAGCCTTTGTTGTCCAGCTTGGGTCGAATGGGTTTCGCTGATTTCCAGTACTGCTAAGTTGTATCTTCTCATTTTCGTTGCTATTTGACTGGTCTTCCCGGTCTCTCTCATTGTTCGGACGTTCCTTGTGCCTATAATAATTTTTGCTCTGGTTGTTAGAAGGAGCATCGGCCTCGTGGCTTCCGAAGGAACTCGGCTTTCACCATGAGGTGTCATAATTCTTCTAAATAAAGACATTCTAACTCTCAGGGCACAGTTTAAACGGTTTGAAGCATTTTTTTCTGGTAGGCGTTTTTTAGCGAGTTAGTTTTCTACGGGATGGGGTCGCTAACCCCATACTCAACCCAACTCCTTTACTCGGGCTTGGGACCGGCAGTAACTCTGCAAGAGCTACAGGCGGAATTCTAAGGTCGATTAAATTGATAATCATGTATGAACGTAGTCAGGATGTGTGTTTCAATAACATCATTCGTACGTTCACACCTCAGTCAGATACTGGGCCTCAAAAAGTAACTAATATTCTTCAGCAAGATGTGAAAAATTTTTTTACTGTATACTTTTTTTGTAAAAATCGGTACAAGCAAATAGTAAAATTTTTAAGTTTCATTTCATAAGGGTGATCAATAAATGAACGTTGCCTAACAACTGTTAAACATATAAACTTGTGCTTGGAGAATGAGATATATTACTATTAATTACTTTAATCAATCAGTTAGTTGTAAGTAACATAGATTATGTTTTCCTCAGTTCAAGTTACCACAACAAGATGGAGTTTTAGAAATACTATTGTGGTATATACTACTTATACTGGCAGATATAAGTGTGTACCACCAGTCGGAAGTAGAGTACCTCCCAGGAGAGAGAGCAACTGTAATAACAACAGAATTTGAAGAACCATGAAGCATGTGAAGGACAACTGTAGGAAGATATGCAAATAATGTATTTAGTATATGGTTCCCATATTTTATGAAGGCTTTATGTAGTTTTGCATTACGCATTAAATTGGTTTTCGCCATCAAGTCTTCATTCACTATAACAGTAGTGTGAGAAATAGTAGGAATCATTAGACGTAAACATTCTGATTCAGGGAGACCAAATGAAGTGTTAATAGTTTTAAAATACAACATCTAAAGGTAAAGAAAGAGCAACTGCATCTAAGCTATATCATTCAGCGTCTCTAATTGTTGGTTACAATAATCTTGTGAACCCAAAAACTGGTCGTCTACACCTTCATATTATGACTGTCTAACAATCGTTAAATCCATGACATATTTTGTCTTGGTCATACCTAATTCTCATCCAACCGGCAAACATCATATGTCGAGATAAGTGTTGGTTATGTATATATAATACATTTCTCAATCATATGAGTCAATAAAGATTAATCAACTCATCAACTAATTTACCACAATTACATCAATCATTGTGTTGAACTAAAAATAATTACTACAAACTAAAACTGTTTAATAGTTATTTAATATCAGAATCATTGATATAAAATCTTTAAGTTTCTCTTCATGAAATATCTTTAAAACAAAAAAATGAAAAGAATATTATCATCAATCAATACTTTATTTTGTATTGAAACTTATGAAGAACAATTTTGAAATATTTACCTTCATTCTATTTTCTTTTAACGTTTTTCTTAATGTCTCTTCTTTTCTTTTTCATTAAAATTTTTCAAGTTTGTTTTTTTTTTTTAAATTTTTTTTTATTAAAGTGTGAAACCAACCAACATTATTTTCTTATTTTGTTTTATCTTTAGATTTTTAATTATCCTATCTACATTCGGAGTATGTACAAATATTATCCATATATAATATACAATGTATAAATTTATGTAAAAATGAATCTTTTTTTTTTCTCTCTATTCTTATTATTCATACTACATATATTTACAATTTATTATTATTATTATTTAATATGTTGTTACCATATTCATTAACTAATTGTATAAAAAATTAGTGTTTGATTATTGAAATATAATTTGCTTTATAATACTTTTACTCTTGTAATTTCCAAGTTTTAGTCTATTTTTTTTTCTCTTTTGTTCTTGTTAGATCGTTTATAACATTTTGCTTTAAATACTACTACTACTAATAATAATAATAATAATAATAGTAATAGTAATAATAATAATAGACATTGTGTATTCTTTTTAAAATGATCATTGTAAAATACTACTAATAAAAATTATATATAATTGAATGATCTAATTTAATTTATACAAATGAACATTGAATATCAGTTTTGATAAGAATAAATATTTCATAATTGTTTATTAAATTGATAAAATTAATTTATCAATTCATTTGTACCATTAAAATTTATATATTAACATGTTTTTTCTTTTAAATTTCACTAATAATTAGTGAAATAGAATTTTTAGTTGACTGGGTGTTCAAGTATAAAACTCCTAACTGCTTTCTTTTCACCCTTATAAAACCAAGCTGGGATATGTTCTCGTAGCAAGCGGTCGCTTTCAACTCGGATACGGGGACATATCCCAGCTTGATAATACAATTTGTTTATTTATTATTTTCTTTTTTAAAAGAAGATATGTACTTTATATTTGAATTTTTGCCTACCATTCATGATAGAAATATACTTTTTCCAATTATCATTATTTATTTGAATAAAATTATTAATCACGATGATTAATTTTGTTTATTTAAATGATTATTTTTATTGAGAATAAAAAAACAAAATATAATTGACTGATTTCAATTCATATTTTCTTTCTTTATTACTATTAATTTATTTCCATGAGTTCTAACCACCATTTCAATGTTCCGGAACTTCCCCTCTCAAACTTTATTTATTCGAGACAAAAAATTTTTATGACCTCATTAACTCTATCGGAATCTTTGCTATACCATGATACATTTATTCATCCTTAATCACCCTCTTATGTATAAGTATGTCAATATCTGTAATAATGTTGAATTTTAAATATTTTAGATTGTAAGCAGCTGATGAGAACCTAACGAAATAAAATGAATTCATATTATTCTACACCAATCTTTGTTCTTGCTCTCTTTGTTGTAAAAGAATTTTGTAATAAAGCTTATATGGTGGAGGGGAACGTACTACATCACAAATGGACGTAGATATATATATATATATATATATATATATATATATATATATATATCGTTAGTTATTTTGAATTAATTATTTTGATGTTCCATGGAAATTCAAATCATTTGTAAAACTCTTAACAAAAAGTCAATTCAAGTATTGGACACATGATAATCTTAAATAAGTAATCATTCATCCTACAAGCTGATTTCAACTAATTAAATTTTGACGCTATATAACGAAATAAAATGAATTCATATTATTCTGCACCAATCTTTGTTCTTGCTCTATTTAAGATAATAAAGGGAATTATGTATATGAAAAAAACTTTTTTTTTACTGCACTTAGAAATTATTTTCAAATTCATCACATAATGTTTCGTAATAATTTCGAATTTGTTACGACAACAACAAAAAAATTTGTTTTTCTGTTCTACACATTGACTTGAAATTTTTTTTGTAAAACGTTGCTAGCGCATTTAAGTTTGCTTTTTTTTTTAAAAAAAAATTATTTTTCTTAATTTTAGAATTTATTTTAATGCAAACAAATTAATCTTCAATATGATATGACTTATTTATTTATTTACTTTTGTTGTCATGACAACTAATAGAAGCTGATTTTTTTCTTCCTAGTGATAATGTTTAATTTTGATTGAAAATATTTTGTGATTTTTAATTGAATTTTTGTTTGATTATCAGCTTATTTCTTAAATATCTAAGTTATTTAAAAATTACATTTTAATTAAGTATAAATTTATAATATTTTAAATAAAGCTTAAGTTTTGTTCAATAGTTTCAATGTTTTATGATTCTAGAAATAATTTAACATGACTATAGATGAAACAAAGCGGGGAATATTGTAAACTTAATCTTTTTATTACTCAAATACAACCCTTGAAGCTAAGTGATTTATGACGGGAATATTTTAGTTTATAAAATATTCACAATTTTATTGTTTTACTAATGTGAACATTGAATAAATGATAAATTATGTACACAGTTTGTGATGTACTGTATTAAAAAAATATGCTCATTATGTGATTATCAGTTCTGTTGCCAAACCAAATCATACACTAATTGCAATCTCAGGATTGCACTATGTTATCAGGATGGGGTTGTGGAGATTATTATGTTTTTGATTGAGATCATGATCTGATCGATGTTGCATTGGACGTCTATTTCGTCCTATTGTGAGACTCATCAACAATGTACATCCACGAAACCAGGACCTTCTGTCACGCGCGCAAACGCTTAACTTCTAGGCCACTGAGTCGGTATCCAACGGTGTTAATGCCTAACCTTAACCAATCCACGATATTAGTCTGGATTTGGTATTAACTACCTGATATTTAATAAATTAATGAAAGAAGTTCACGATTTTGAAGCACATTTAAGTATCATAAACATGGTTCATAAATGTTACTTGGCCAGATTTCACATGGCATACCATGTTTTACTCTAGGTCTGGTTGGAAAAGTGGAGAAGCGATTAGTTTATAACATGGCCTAAAAGTTTGAAAGCTAGTTGTATAAAACTATCAATTATTTGTCCTTTAGTTGAGGTCTCATAGACCATGCAACTCAGCAGTAAGTTGTGATGTTATCATAAATAACTCAGAACATTGGTTCTTGGCGATCATATTGTATTTTTTTATTACAGTTTTTATAAAATTAGGATAAACTATCTGTAAGTTTCACTACCAAGATTTGGAATGACCATTCCAAATAAATTGTACATTAAGTAGATTAGTTAGACTAAATCTCTAACCTTTCTCTACTTAGTGAGTTTTGTATTTTCCTGAATAGGTAATTTATAAACCTATATTTTCAAATTTCTTCTTATAGAATGAAGTTTACTCGAAGGTGAAATCAGATTGTAATCATGTTGATAAGAAATCCAGTCCTCTTGCTCACTTTCATCCACTTATTCTTCCGGTTAAATTACATCGTCAGTTATTGCAGTCAAAAATCAAACGAGATGTACATGCTAAAAACATTTGGTTTTATTTACTTCCTACCACAACTTTTAACAATTTACCAGATATTCCCGTTATTCGTGTCTGTGAAGACCTTACCAATGATTTAATTCAAGAAGCAGTTGATGAACTATATCAGACTATTGATCGTGCAGCTTCTGAATTAGTCAATGAATTAATTAAAGCGGAACTTTTCCCAGAAGCACCTGATATAACCTTATCATTTGACAAGTGTGATGATGATCCACATGGTTCGTCTACACCTGCATTGTTTCATCAATCAGATTTAATGGTTCATGAGTTCGATGCTCCGGTGGTATATAAAAACTGTAGTGAAAACCAAACGACCTCTAATGTTACGTCGATACTTGAAATTGAACATGAAGCTAGCATTTCTAATGACGAATCAGTAAAAAGTCTGTCAAATTCTGAACATACTTGTAGTATTAGTGAAGATATCAGCGAAAAATATACTTCAGAATTCGAAGATGATACTGTTTCTTAATTATAAAATTTTAGGTACATTGAAGTGACTTTAAAATATGTTCCTCAAGGACTGTATTTCTCATTACTTGAAATTATCTACAATTTCCTCTTTTATGCTAAGAAAAAATACATTTCATTTTTGTATCCACATGTAGTATTTTTTTAAAAACGTTTTAACTACTCGTAAGTAACCAAGTACATTTAGTAAAATTTTCTCATTCTGACAGTCGGGATTCAGGATTGTATCAGATTAAGGGAGTATTTATGGTAACTTTCATAAGAATCGTTTTAGACAAAGATAGGTGGTTCTATATCATTTTAGACGCTTTTGCTACACGAAAAGATCTTGAATTTACCTTATGGTTATCTATGTTTGCATATTTTTATGTGATTTTCGGGATTGCACTCTCTACCTATTGAGCTTTGGTAGAGAATATGTTAGCCAAGTAGTATTCTCAGTGGATCAATAAAACTTCAAGTATTCAGTTTCAATCTATATCTTATGTAATTTCTGAAATTTATTGTTCCCTATTCATTGATTATTCATTAAATATTCTGTAGTAGTTATAAAGCTTTCAATATATACATACTGAAAACCTGTTGGATTTATATGAAATCAAGTCAGTTCTCGTATAACCTGAGTATACTGATCAGGACATATTGGATAGCAGTTTGTAGTGAAATACGGTGGTCTGTTTCACTGTTAGTGGAATAGTTTACCTATGGGTGATAGGGATTGTATAAATTCACACAAAGATCGTCAACAGTATCTTGTGCAAATTAACATTAAGTTTGAATCATGAAATCTCATGTTGGTTATATTTTGAATAAAGGCTAGGAGTAGCGTATGACATACTTTCCATCTTTTTTAGATCTGCCAGCTGAATATGCTTGCATATGTGTTTATGTCCACATTAATAGTATCGAACTGTTTAGAATACTGAGACATTGACTTGTTCACTTAGCTCAATGTTTATCATCAATATAAATGGTTTGTACTTTGAAGCTGCAATTGATCACATTCTCTGTCTCTTCTTGAGCAGTGGCTTTTAAATTGCTTGTACTGATGATCATTAGTTTATATTTTAGAAAAGATAAGCTCTTGCAAAAAACTAGTATTCTTGGTAAGGAGAATGACTTATTAAAAGTTTTATGTTTCTCTTGTTAACAAATCTAAAATCCAGATTCGTACATTCATTTTAACTCCTTGTAATCATCCTGAGTGATCTTCTGTAATGAAGTCAATAGGGAAGTTTGTTAGGGTATGTTTATGCGTATACTAATTCTCTGGATGAATACAAGACAAATCTGTACTTCATATAAAGCAAATTTCTAGATATATTGTTACTTCGGAATAGATTGATTTCGGTTAACAGTGGAATCTAGGGATCTTTATCTATAAGAATTCATTGATCGATTGTTTCCTAAAGTTTAATTAACTAGCAAATGAATAAGAGATATTGATTTTTTCTCGATTGTGACAAAATACAAAATTATCATTATTTAAACACTAGAATTCTATTTACAAAATTAGATTGCATTAAAGTATACGTTTTCTTTTGTTTAGTGAATGTCATGTACTCTAATTTAAACGATTTAATTGTAGGAAATGTGATTATTATTTTGTGAAAGTTTTGCTTCTTAAGGAATTCCTCATTTTTGAACAGCTAGAAGCTTATTACACTCATATTGATTTACAACAAGATAGAGAATACTTGTAGTTCAAAATGAATTAAACCATTCAATTTGGAGAATATCTCCAAAATCTTCAATTTGAATTACAAATATTCTACATCATCTTAAAAGTTTTCTCAAGAAATTTTACATTTTCTTATTTTTTTTTTCTTTTTATAAAAATAAATTATGGAAATATTAAGATAATTGACCTTTTCACTCAATTTACAAATTAATAATATTCATCTTATATGCTAAGAAATTGTGTAAATATCACAACATAAATGGTTAATAATTAAATGGGAAACGTCATATGGTCTGGTGCTTATTTAATTAATATTTCGTTATATTGTTTTCTTTCTTACAGTGCTTTTTCTGATTTCTTTTCTTCATCTTGTACTTGACTAGCTGAATATATATATTTTTTCCATATTTCTCTCTATCTGAGGTTATACTTCACTTACCATCTCTGTGAAATAGTTAACTACATAAGTAAGATATAATTCTATGATGTGCGCGTGTGTTTAAGTGAACATTGTTTATTACTGAAATCAAGAAAGGAAGAAAGATAGAAAGAGAGAGAGAGAGGGACGAAGACAGTATTTCTGTTCCTTTTCATCATGCGAATATTATTTTTTTTTGTTTTTCTCTCTAAACACAAGAAAAAGAATTAAACAGTAGAAGATTTCATCGATGAGAAAAGAGGAAAAGTGTAACAATTTCATTGTTATTTTATACGGGAAAGTAATAATAATAATACTTTACTCAATCTGTTATGGGTTTTATTTATTTTATTATTATTATTATATTTTTAATGTGAATATTTATACAGATATTATTTCGATTCATTATTATTACTTTTTTCGAGAAAAACATTTCACTAAATGATTTTTGGATGAATTTTATCGTCTAATTTGAGAAGAGAAACAGAATGTTTTTTTCTACTAAAATTGATTGTCTATCGTTTCAATGAAGTTACTGTGGTGTGTGCTACTTATATTGACAAAAGTAGTATATGATGTTAGTCGTGAACAGAAGGTCTGGCAGCAGAGAGACAAGAGGATCGAACAGTAAAGAATGGAAACAAAACGCAATTTTTATGAAAATGCAAGAACAATGAAGTCTGAGTCATTATGAGACAATTGATGGACATTTTGCAAATTAAGCATTTACTTTATGATTGTTAGATTTTATTAACAAGTCCTGTAATTTTGTGTTCGAATACAACCGATTGTCCCCACCCGTGTTCTGTTCACTGCAGTACTTGCTTATTTGACTTAATTATTTGATTTCTATGATATATCATCATGAACCAACATTATCGGTGGAACTAATGAAAAATATGGATGGATACATTTTTTGACCATATTTGGGATATGATAGCAGTATGGACTGACAGCCTCATACAAAGTTTGAACCAAAAATCATTTGGTTTCACTATGATCATGAAACATTCACACTACGGTGTCACAATTTAATCATTATGATGTTCATCATTAATAGTGAAATTCGAGATGGATTTCTCGAAATTCTTATAGAAATTCAGCCAACCAAATGATTCATTGATAACATCCAATTAAATATCACATTCTCAGTGATCATTAGTTGTTTAAAGTTGAAAAACTAATGGCTTAGAAACGCTATACTTGTTGTGAGTCCTAATGGTTCTATTTTGTCTTTTGTATACAATTATTAAAAGTCCCCCCCAAAAAAAATAAGTGACGGATAACATTTTAATGATCTCTTATTTCCTCTGCTTTTCCACTATTAATACTTCAAGCCTTATTGCGTTTTAATATAGTTTAGTTTTTGTTGTAGACCGAAAGATAATTTTTTATTGATCAAATTATTATTGAGATGAGGTTGTGTATCATTTCGTTATGTTGTTATTCTCTGTATCGTTTTTTAAACCTTTTAAATTAACTTTTGTAATCCATCAGTTGTCAGTAATTCTAGATAAATATATTATTCTCTTTGTTAGATTTGTTTAATTCAGAATTGGTACTGAAAGATATCCATTTCAAATCTTTAGTATACTTTTATGACTATGAAATTGAAGTGTATTATATAATTTAATGTCTTAAATCTTAATTTTATTCATTAGATAGTAGTACATCAGTTCTATTTGATCGATTTATTCAACTACACTGTGAACGACATAATTTCTCCCTTAATAAAATCGTATTCAATGTTTAAGTTTAGAGACATGTATTAGTTGGCTTTTCTATCATATTGTATGTGTCAATTCATAAAAAGAAGTTGTTATTACGTTCTCTATTAACTAGTTAGTTTTTCAGTATTCAAATAATATCACTCAGATAACAGGATTTAAGTTAAGTTATCCACAAAGAAAAGAAAATTCAATTTTTAGTCAATGTGTCAAAAACGATACATGACGATAATAAAAGTATGGCTGGAATGAGACGAGATGTTCGCTTTTCTATGGTCAACATCATGAATTGACTTTACATAACTGGTCAAAATCCTGGAGCACTGAACAACTACCTCTTGCTTGTGTGACACTATTCAGCAGTCTTCATTCATGACCCCACAAGGGGTTGAACAGGCGGTATTCTGATCTCGTTGCGAGTACTCAGACTTTAGACAACTGAGCTGGGATCCGATAGCTTACATATCTAATTTTAATTTATCCGCAATCTTGCGCAACTATCAGCTGATGTCCTTGGTAGGCATCTGCTCCACATCCGATGTGGTTGAAATCCACTGGCCGGGTATGAACGCACACCTAGAGGGGGGCGGTATTGAGTCTGATCTCTGGTGAGGTCGCGGATGACTACTACTGGGGAGTCCCAGACCTGGACTCAATAGTTATCCAGTGCTGTCTGGTTTTCAATAGTTGTTTAACAAAGATCGGTTCATAATGTTAACTATAAAATTCAACTACCAGCACTTTATTGAGTGATATGAGATTCGTGGTTTCAGATCGCAAACTAACTTCAGGTAGACAAAATGTCAAATTTTATTAGGTAATCGCATAATTTATGGAGATTGTAGCAATTTTAATAGTTTAGGTCATGAGTCGACCAAAGTTAAACCACCATTGGAAACTTGGAAGCACTGGACGGCCGTTTCATCCTATTATAGGACTACTTGGCAATGTGCCCCCACGATCCTGCACGTGAAAATTGAACTCAGGACCTTCGGTCTCGCTCGCCAACACTTAACTTATAGACCACTGACCTGGCATCCAACAGTGTTAATGTCTAACTTCAAATAATCCATGAACTTGCGCAACCCTTCATCCATTGTCTGAGGTGGATAACAGTCTCCACCTGACACAGATTGGACTCTACTGGTCATTGCTTTTCACTGGAATATTAGGAAATTTGCCTTGAAGCTAGTCACTATTTAGCACATGATTATTATCAGAATTGGGATTTGTGGAGATTGTAGTGATTTTAATAGTTGAATTCATGTGTCGATCCAAACTCGGTCAGTTGATACAATCCAAAATCACTTCATTATAGAGACAGAATAATTAAATTTATTTAAATCGATAATACTTCTAAAAGTGACTAAGTTAATAATTAAGCTGTTCGAGATAAAGATATACAGGATGACTATAAAGTCGATTTTTATTCATTATTTAAGCTCTAAAACACAGTAAACCTAATGACATCAAGTAATAACCATCTCCACTTATGGTAAATGATTTCCCTAAGAAAATATAGAACTATTTAACTCAAATAGGTTATTATTCATCAGATAGTGGTTTTTATTAGAAAATCACTAAATAATGATTACTGTTCTTGTCAAATTGAAAATCAGTGATAAAACCATAGTGTTAACCCACTGACTAAATGCAATAGGCAAGATAATACTTGAAACGAAATATATTTACATTTGTGTTTAATATTCCATCGTTAAGTGAATTATTCTAATAAAATTAGAATAATTCTCTCATAGAGATTGTGTGAAAACATTTTCATAAATGATGTTACTATTAAAAATACATACAAGGGAACAACTGGTAAACCTTTTCACTACCCAAATCTGTCTTTAAGCATCTGTTAAGTTGAAAATGAGATCGTTTCATTAATTTAATTTTTGTGAGTTCTAGACGCTTATGTTTTCATTCTGTCCTCAAACTTTAATTGTATTCATGATTTTTATCAATCATGATAGAACATACTACCCTGAGAATTTACAATAACTCTCCAGTTACACACTCCAATAGGGATAATTTACTTACAATACAACTGAACGAATGAACATTCAAAAAGCTATGAATAACTTCAGTCTTAAGAACTGGTTTATCATATAAAAATGAAAGAATTTCAACAGTTGAGATCATGAGTCAATTGAAACTAGATCACCATGGAAAACCTGGAAGCACTGGTCAGCCGTTTCGTCCTATTGTGGGACTCCTCAGCAATGAAATGTTAAACACTTGAATAGACTACTGAATATTTCATACAATAAAGTAGAAAATCAATTAAGAATTGTTTCTTTTTTCTTCTAGAAATATTTATCTTTTTTAGTTATTCTTGTACATTAGAAATAATTCATTTAATGAAATATTGTTTGGAACAATATACCATAATTATTATCTTAAAGACATATTGATCGTTAACATTCACTCCCTGTCACCACTTCATAGAAAAAATCAAATAAATGGCATATTTTTTCATCTAAAACTCCCCTTTCCTAAAATATTGGGCGGAGGTAGAAAATAATTTTCCAATAATGGTTGAAATGTTTGGTTACATCAGTTCGCCTAAAAAAAGTCACTCTTACTAGAATTGTCCAATTTCAGTCAAACTTACAGCCCGGTAAGTTTTTTTTTCATGTCCACTAGCTTAGATTCACTCCTAAATCACATATCTATATTTGTATGGGTGTACGATTGATTCTTACTCTATTTTTCTATAGTCTAGATTGGAATTGGTGGAAAATTTAGACTTACTACTACTGCAGGTAACTAACAATCAGAAAAATGTTAATTTGGAAGTTAGATACATCTATTATCTTTCTCTCCCTTTGTCCTCTTGCTATTCAAACAACCAACCAAATATATCTACCAATTTTCTACTCGTTGCCACTTTTTGTTTGCCCATTATGGTGTCTGTCACTAGTTACCTCTTCCATATTTGTCTTTGACGGACTTAATTTTTCTTTCAATACTCACTCTGTAATATGTTCACATTTCGCTTCATATATATTTTCTAGCCTTTGAAAACTCCAGGAAAACCCAATGGTTAAATAAGATAGAATATGTGACTTCACAAATGCATTCACACACATATATATCTGCCGAAAAGATGAATCTATTAAAAGCTAACTTCATATTTTTAAACGTAGTTAAAATGAAGACTGGTTGTTGAGCCATCTTTATGTATTATGATGCATACATGTGGGGTTTGAGTAAATCATTAATAAATCAGGTTACACATGTTTCCCCCCATCACATCCAAGTCCAAAATAGAAATCCAGATTAGTGAGCAGATGTGTACCAACATAAATATGGTATTAAGGCTGAGATAAACTGGTGGTGTGGTGGAAAATAAATGAAAAGAAGTTTAAATTATCTGCCTGAGTTTTGGTGCTTCTGAATAATTTAATGTTTCCAGTGATGAAGGGTAGGAAAACTAATTGCAAAAGGGGTGTAAATAAATGGTTTATTTCTCTATAATATATTCTCAAATAAATGAACACCAGTTTTAGATAAATATATCATCACTTGTTCATTAATTATTCAGATAATTTGGAATAGATTCTATAGTTAAAAATTTGTAAGTTTTATATTATTCCGGTGTTTTTAATTTTGATTTGTAAATAGTGGAATTTAGGTTTTGATCGCATTTCTTAATAGTTAACATGTTGAAATGATCTTCATTAACTAATCGTAGAAAACCTTGGGGCACAGGATTGCTGCTTCGTCATAGTGTGAGAATTTCTAGAAATGACCATCCAGAAAACCATCAAGGATTGAACCTAGGATCTGCGGTCTTGCTGACGGGCACTTAGCCTCCAAACCACTGAGATGGTATTCAATGGTTTACATATTTGACTTCAGTCAAGTTGTAATATTAGACGAACATCTTCAATTACTCACGGTGAGTAATTGCCATACATCCAAGATGACTGAAATACATTGACCATGATTTCGCCTCGGAGGTAAAGGGCTGTCGCTATAGACTAAAGTTCACTGGTTAGACCTTTATTAGGGTTGTGGATGCTCACTGGTAAGGAATTTGTGCTAAGGCGAAACATTTGTTCGGTACTTCCTAGTTTTAATAATTATCTAACTTAGATATAATTAAGCAAGTTTCAACAATCTCCACAAACTTTCTATAGTATCAGTATACTTTGTTCACGATAAACATGATAAAATACAGCGAAAGTACTTACTTAATACACTTATTTAGATGTATACATGTTCTTAATTTTGTCACCCAATTTCCTCATGATATATATTGCTTTATAAGCTTTATTTTTAAACCTTTTTAATCTGAATACTAAAAGTAATTAGTAAGAGAAACTTGATGACAAGTGGTTTCGAACAAATAGTTTTCATTTATCACTGTAGGTCAATTTGTTGTTATTAAATGAGTAGTTAACATATTTAAATGAAATATTTTATATCGCTGATTGAAATCATGAGTCAATTGAAGCTAGACCATCTTGGAAAACCTGGAAGCACTGGACGGCCGTTTCGTCCTAGTATAGGGCTCCTCAGGAGTGTGCATCCACGATCCAGGTTTTCCATGGTGGTCTAGCTTCAATTGATTCATGATTTCAGCTGTTGAAATATCATTGAACTTATCTATAAAAATTAACGGGATAATTTTGTATAAATAATGTTTATTACATTTAATACAAAAAATTCAAAAAAAATTCCTTACTATTTAGATAGATTTTTACAATTTATAAGAATGCCAACAACTTGTGGATTTCCTAATTGTCGATTTCGTTCACGCTATCGTGGAGCTGAAGATAATCGACATTTTTATCGTGTACCAAAGAAACCTGCAATATTACGAAAGAAATGGCTAGAAGCAATAGGTAGAACTGAAGAAACAATTGTTAGCCAGGTTAGTTATAGAAATGATTGATTTTTTTCTGGTTGGGAAATGATATATTAGTTTAATTTTTTTTATTAGAAATAAGTCTAGTCACAGTTATCTTTACATTACATAATACTAATGAAATCATTGCAGACATAATGTTCATTCAGTTTTAGTCGTTAAATAATATTATACACGTCTCATGATGGTCAGTAGAAATGATATATATATATATATATATATATATATATATATATATATATATATTTAGATGGTGGTTGGATGTAATCGACAGGAAACCCTGGACCCGGGGTGGTGGTAACGTCTCTGACTGTGAAGCTGGGTGACACGAGATCGAATCCGCCAGGGAGTACCAGTTCCCTCAAGATTCCAGGTACACCTTGCTGACGAGTGCCAAATAGCACGAAACCCGGGTTCACGGTTTCCTGTCGACTACCTCCAACCACCATCTAATCTCGATATATATTGCCCGCAGTGTCGAGTCACCTAGACTGGTAGCCACATTACAATATGATCGATAGCATTCGATCTGCATTGATAAGGACTAGACACGAATGACATTGATCGCCACCCAGTGATCAATCAATTGTGATATTTATTTATTATAGTGATCTTTGAAGATTTTATTAATTAGATGGATGTTTTACTTGTGAACTTACACTAGCTGGAGTATTAGTTAACATTATGAAGCAAAACGTTGTTGCTTTGTCCTGATTTGAAATTTTTTATTTGTGTACATTATTAACTAGAAATATTATGGTATAAAGAATCTTTTATTATCTCAGAAAGTATGGTCCTGTTATTGTATAGACCGTAGCTAATAAGATTGAAAAATTGTGTAAAAGTGTTGATCTCAGTCAATGTCAAATGAGTAAGATAAATTTATCACTGGATTTACTTTTTTAATAATCAGTAACTATTGATGTTTCATATTTATTGATAATTTGCATTATTCATTTAGCTACGAGTATGCAGTGGTCATTTTTACGGTGGAGAAAAACATGAGGGTGATGTTCCGGTTGCTGATCCAGCAGTTGATGAACCAATAAGAGTTGAACTACCTCCTAAAATCTCACGTTTTCCATCAACAGTGAATAAAAGAAACTGTTGTGGTACTCGAGGTGGTGGTGGCGTTGGTCGAGGAAGAGGATTGCATCATACCCAAGGAATTAGAAATAAGATGTGTTTTTTAAAATCAGGGATGCTCAATTACATGACAAAACATAATAATTGTTTAAATATGTTGGGATCATTTAAACCAAAGCACACATTGGCATCCAATTCGACCCAATCATCTCCAATTCTAAGAAACGACCATAAAATTCGGGCTAATAAGCCAACTAATATCATTAACAGTAATAATGATTCTAATAGTCCATTGATGTGGTTTAATAATTTATATTCCCCTCATATTTATGATTATCTAAAAACAATCTCACTAAATACTTCTACATCATCATTATCTGAATTGAATACAAATAAAAAATATTTATATGATCCAAGAAAACATTTCAATTCAACTTCTATTAATAAAGATCAGTCTGTTCTACAGAATTATTCATATCAATCACCTCAACAAATAAACTATCCAATAGATAAATCCACTTCATTTACTCATACTTCAATATGTCATAGTCCTCTCACTTCAACAACTGTCTGTTTAACAAATCTAATTCAAAATGAAAATAGTATATTGAAAAAGTCTTGTAATTCACCCTTCAATAATAATAATGATAATATTAATAATATAAATAGTATTGTTAACGATCATAAACCACAATCTGCATTCTCATCAGTAACAAGTATGTTTGAAAATAATAATAATAATAATAATATTAATATAAGTAAGGATTTCATTGATAATAGTGATAATCTAATGAGAACTTCATTACATTCAAATAAAGAACAATCTTTATTGAATATTCCTACGGATACGACTAAAAATCCTTTTAGTTCTACAATATCAATACCATTTACATCAAATTTATCAACCGATTATTTTTTATCATTAACATCAGTAATCAATAATGTTTTAACAAAAAAATTCACTGATACTTATACTAATACATCGAAATTACATAATTACAATCAATATGATCAACAAGATGAATTATATAATCAAAATTATTTAAATAATCAATATAATTCATTATCGAATTATTCATTAAATATAATTCATTCAAATAATTTAATTAATAATAATTCAATAAATGAAATTAAAGATTTATCTATTAAATCGGAATTTATTAAAGAATATGAAAATAGAATGAAATATCCTATAAAACCTAATGAATTCTATTTATTCAATGATTTTAAACAGAATAATCATGAAAGAATAGAAGAGATAGTTAAAGATAATGATTGTTTTATTAAATTGAATAATAATAATAATAATAATAATAATAATAATAATAATGAATCAGTAAATGATACTGTATATTGTAATCGTTTACAGATAAAAGGTTTGTTATCATGAATAATTTATATATTTTATTATTATAATTACAATTGATTGATCACTGGGTGGTGATCAATGTCTTGCTTGTCTAGTCATTATTAGTGCAGATCGAATGCTATCGATCATGTTGCAATGTGGCTACCAGTCTAGGTGACTCGACACTGCGGGCACTATGTATTGAGATTTAGATGGTGGTTGGAGGTAGTCGACAGGAAACCCTGGACCCGGGTTTCGTGCTACTTGGCACTCGTCAGCAAGGTGTACCTGTAATCTTGAGGGAACTGGTACTCCCTGGCGGATTCGATCTCGTGTCACCCAGCTTCACAGTCAGAGACGTTACCACTGAGCTATCCGAGCCGTGACTAACCTCCTGTAGGACTGAGATGTAATTACAATTGATTGATCACTGGGTGGTGATCAATGTCTTGCTTGTCTAATCCTTATTAGTGCAGATCGAATGCTATCGATCGAAAATGAATATTTAGGTTTAGAGAATGTTGCTATCAATGATTCTAAAATATGAATTGTAGTCTTTACTTAAGTTTTATATTTTCAACTAGTTATTGACTATTTATTATCGATATTATTAGTTATGATTGATAATTGGAAGCTTTAAGGTTATCACTCATATTGGAGAATAAAATAATTGAATTAGTCGGTATGATGTATCGTATTTAAATGAACATTTTAACAAGAACTCAAGCAATAAATGTATATAAGATTGTTTCTAATAATAAATAAGGCTACTAAAACCAATTCAGTTTTCTGAATCGTCAATAAGTTGTATGTATTAAACTTATTGTAATTTATTTCATACATATAGTTCCCTTTATTATCTTAAAGAGAGCCAATACAATGATTATTACAGAATAATATGAATTTATTTTATTTTGTTAGATTCTTATCAACTATTTACAATCTAAAATGTTAGTCAAGATGAATAAATTAACTTTAGAGAATGTTGTCATCAGTGGTTCTCAATACAGTTGTACTCTTTGACACTTTTGACTATATATCATACATTATTATTAATACCATTGGTTATGATTAATAGTTTGAAGCAGTTGATATTATGCATTGTATTAAGATTGTTTTTAGATTAAGCAAAAAAATTTTAAATCATCATTTTAACAAGAACTCAAGTAGTATATGTATATATGGTTGTTTCTAATAATAAATAGGGTTTCTGAAATCAATCAGGTTTTCTGAATCGTCAATTACGTGTATGTATTAAACCTAGAGTAATTGATTCTAAGTGAAATTATAGCACTTTATATATAATAACTCAAAAGTGATATTTTTGGTGTAAATTCCATTACTAGAATGTATATTTGGTTTTATATATATATATGGTTTTATATGGTTTTGGCGAATAACTAATTTTTGGTTTATATCATTATTATGGTAAAAATGTAACCATAAATAAATCCCCAAAATCAGTAAATCTGTAATTCTTTGATATTCGATGCTGACCACTATAGTTTACTGGACTCACCTAACTGAAGGCTCTTGTTCACACATCCGCACTAGATCATGAATAGGTACGCCATACTACACATTCCTTTCAACTACAAGCCAGCTTAGACAAAACATTCCTTCGATACACCGATGGCCTTGCGAATATGTCTTCGAACTCTTTCACTTCTGACTTCAGACTTGACTGGGGTGGCAATACTTCTATTATAAAGGTATTCTTGATTAAGGCGTTGTCAAACTCCGAATACTTATGGCATCTTTAAATATATTTTATTCGTTAAAGAAGCTAGTGAGTATCTAGACTCAGTAGCACAGTGAGTAACATGTTAGGTTTTTGAAGTAAAAGGTATCGTGTTCTAATCTCGACATTGATATCAATAGTAGGATGCACATCTATTCAGTCGAAGAGTCCGAAGTTAAACGAAACATGTGTCCTGGATCCCATTCCTTGACTCAGTTCATTTATTTTCTAGTGTTTGTTTGGTTTAAAAAATTTTATCTTATGACTAAACAATGCAAGTTAGAATAATTAAATAATTGTCAATGTTCTCTTTAAAGTGACGATATGTTTCCCTGGTTTTTTGTAAACAAATTGAATGTACTTAAAAATGTCTGTTACGAAATGATCTCTTGAGTATGTAATTCGAAATGTATGATTTTTTAAGGGATTCCAAAGTTAATTCTTTTTGATAAGTGAGAGTTATGTTCATCAACGGGTTTGTTACAGATTTATTTTTATTTTCTGACTAGTTTATAATAATTTTTATGAAACGCCTAATTGATAGAATTCGATTGGCATTGAAAAGGAATTGAGAAAAATGACGTACGTCACCACTCAGCAATCAGTCAGTCGTAGGTGCATCTTAGTTCTATTAAAAGGAAAGTTGAGGCACAAATAGCTCAATGGTAACGTCTAAAACTATGAAGCTGGATGAAATGTTATCGTATGTACCAGGGAGCAACGGTTTATTCAAGATTACAAATTCACCTTACTAACAAGTGCCAACTGTTACGAAACCGATGTCTAGGGTTTCCCGTCAATTACCTCTAACCCTAACCTTCCGGAACACTTGGTTCCTTATTTTAACTCTTACTAATTAATTACTACACTGTATGCTCAAGGAACGAACTTTTCTATAGATGAAGAATTGTAATTATATAGTCAAATAATATGACTCTGTTTATGTATTACAAGCCTTCGAGTTATCTTTCATCAAAAATCAAGGCATATCACATTTGTGCTTTTGATTTTCAAATGATTATGTGTTTCTTTGAATTCGAGGCACTTCTCTATCTTATAGAACGCTTTTACATTGAAGGAAATACATTGATTGATGTGAAATTTATCGCTAATCCAAAACAAACTAGTTTTGAAAAGTAATTAATCAATCAATCTACTCTGATAGATTTACATACGTTTCATTTTGGTGGAAGTTTGTTCTTTGAGCTGAATGATTTGATCATGAAGCATTCAGTAGAGAGATTCGATTAGTTCACTTTTATTTGAAGTTTGTGCTGATAATATTGTTTTAAAGGACAAAGAAAGCTATATAATTAAACCATCCTGTTCAAAGAAAAAAACCTCCATTAAAATCATCTAATTAAACTATAAATCTTTTCCACCATCTTAAAATCATGCAGATTTCATAAATTGGTAAAATAATGAAAGACTACTAATCCTTTTCATAAACCTTCAGGATTTGTGCAAGGATACATGGGGCTATCTGAGGAAAAGGCATGGTTTAATTTCTGTGCTTAATAACAATTAAAGTTATTATCAGAATGAGTTAGATATTAACACCGTTGGATGCCGGCTCAGTGGTCTAATAGTTAAGTGCTCGCGCGCGAAGCCAGTAGGTCCTGGGTTCGAATCCCGCGGGAGGGGGCGTTCGTGGATGTGACTGCTGAGGAGTCCCACAATAGGGCGAAACAGCCGTTCAGTTCTTCCAGGTTTTCCGTGGTGACCTGGCTTCAATTGACTAATGATTTCAACCAGTGAAATAAACATTGAAACAATCTCTTATCATTCATTACAAAATGTTAAAATGAGTGAATTCAATTATAAACAAGTAGTATATATGAATATTAAATTATTAATTCATTAACCAGGTAATTAATTACAGAATAATTTACAAATACATTTTTAAAAGAATATGATTGGTTAATTGTATTAACTACTTTTCAATTAAAGAGTATACTCATTTATATGTGTGGGCGTGTAATTAGAGAAGTAATTTTTAAAGAAAAAAATACTATTAAAAATAAATAAATGAATATGGAATCTAAATACCTTTAGTTAAATAATATTAATAATAACGTTATGGAATACCTTAGTAACAAGAGATGTAAGATAATTGTTTAGTATAATTCTCAATATTTGATTTATTTTATTTAAATATTGTTATTACTTTCTTTGAAACTTTAGGATAATACAATAGCCAGTTGTTTTCATCACAAGTGAAGACTGTAATTTACATATCGTTTTGTATTTTTCACAATTATGGTTTGTTATATTTAATCATGAAATGTAATTTAGTTTTGTTTACATTTGTAAGGCTTCATTCCTTTTCTTTTTGTTGCTGTTAAGGCCTGAAATTGGCTAGTCTTTATTGGTATATATGCGTTCTGAGTAGATTACTTAGATGACGTTTTGTTCTTTAAGCTAGATGGTTTAGTCGTGTAGCTTTTATCGTTCTTTTGAACGTAATCATTAGCACGAATTTCAGGTAGAAGTAAAGTAATAGATTTTCTTCATATTTGACTCGCAACTTGTCCTGTCGATCTTTATCTTGGTTAACTTGATTTTTTTATTTAGTTACAAGTTTCTATTAAATTTGGATATTTGTAAATAGTGGAGTCAAGAAAGCGTGTTTCATCTGATTTCAGATTCGCTAGCTTGGTCTCAGTATTAATACACACATTGGGATTCGGACTCAACACCTTGTGTTTTTGAATTCAGTATCTCACTGGATGATGAGTTGAATATCTCAAGTTAAAGATACTAGTTTCGAGTCTTGGTGTAATTAATAACACTGAAATGAGGCTGTTGAGTTCAAAATGGGAGGGAACGCGTCTCTTAGATTCCACCACTTGGCAAAATCTAACTTTAACAGAAACATTTCGTACACTCATGATCAGTGTTATTATTATTATTAGTTCGTCTGTATTGTTTTTCAACTAGTGAGAGGTATTTTGATTCACAAAGACGGTATTAAAATTTTCAATAGAAATTCGGAAACCTTTAAAAACTTGCCATCAGTTTACAAATAGTCATGACCAAGATGATCAGTTTAGTGTTAGTTTTTATTACGGCTTACATAATAAGTTTCATCATGCTAGTGTGTCTCTTGAAGAGTATTGATCACATTTTGGATAATATTGAAATTTAACTAAAGTTATTTCATGAATCACTTAACAGTACATGCACAAATAATGTTGATCTCAACCATTTGAACATCAGAAATAATAATATTTTGCATAACTTATATAAATTAGATGAATATTAAAGTGAAGACGTTAGTAACGAATTAAAAAACAGTGACTATCTATCACTGGTGGATGGCGGCTGGCAGTGGAATTCAGGACGCGCGCTTTGCTCTATGTGGGACTCGTCAACTGGATGTACCTGCATTCCAGAGTTGATGTCCACTCCAGGATGTGAACTTAGTACCGTTCGCTTCAAACGCCATCGCATTATCCACTTAGCTATTAAGTCCTGATAGCCACTGGCTTGTACGATGGGGTAAAGTTTAATTCATTTCTCTATTGGTTGCTTGAATCTTCCCGTTGCAAGTACATCCAGCTGACGTGTCCCACACAAAACGAAACGCACCTCCTGGAATCCACTACTAGCCACCATCCATCTTTGCTTACAATGCTTGTGACTTAAGGCGATATCGAGGCAATCTTCATATGATGCATGTATATAAATAAGAGATTGATCAATTGCAGTCCTAAACATTAACGGGAAGATTCAAACAACAATACAAAATAAATTTAACTACCATTGATATTATCTGTTTCTAAAAAATAAATATGATCTGGCTTAGATTACATGTTAATGTAAAGTAACGATTGTAAAGAAATTAAAAATAGAAATCCTATCTTGAAAAACAGCTTTAAAACTAGCAGCTTCCATGAAAAACATCCAAACAGTTTAAAGTACTACGTTATACGATTCCAGGATTTAAAGATATTTCGATCACTGTATGTTGTACCAAGTTTTCATATAAGTGAGACATAATAATCTCTTTTTACAATTGATTATAAATTAGATAAATTATTGTAAATTTTTGTTAGATTCCAAATCAATCGGTATAAAGTTGGGGAGATTTTCTACTACGGCTACTAGGTATCGGTTATTAGTAACAAGCAATAAATCATTGCTTTTGATATCAGAAAAGAATGAATATTTAGGTTCCTTCATATAAATAACTTATGCGATGAAATATAGCGTTTCACTTTAGTAAATGTATGATAAAACTTGGATAGAGTTGTAAATTTTTCAATGAGTTCATTTCTTTGGCTTATTAAGTCTCTAAAAGAAACTCAGTTACTTACTAGTTACAGTAATATTTTGTTAGCAGATTTAATCTAGTCAGTAATCTAGAGCTAAGGCTGCTATTCAATGGACTGAAATCACCTTACATCAGGTATACTGTGTCTCACTATCCAGTAACTTAAACTAATGGTCACATTATAACATAATCGATAAAATTTAATCAGCATTCATGATCAAACAAAATGACACTGTTTACTAGTAGGTAATCAGTCAACGGTATGAAAATTTGTTGTAATATCTATTCAGTGTATATACAACCTCGGTATTTAATAATACGTTAATACAATTAATAAGAACTCTTCAGTTACTACGCTTAGTTTTAATTATTTGTAAGTACAGCTAGATTGTAATTTAAGGTTATTTTTATTATAAAAACTAATATGTTATTATTATTGTTATTATGAATATTCACTTTCCTTTGGTATTTTTTTAAAAGAGGAAAGATTAAATCAAGTAGAAGATATTCCTTCATTAAATCGAATAGTTCAATATGTGATTTTTATTGGTATTGACGAGTTAACAATTGAAATGCCAATTCTTCACGATGTAATTAATCTATTATGTGTTCAGTATTCAGATTTAAAGAATCTTCCTGAACATGTAAGTATACTGTTTAATTATTTTTTCTAAATTACAATACATTATTATTTATAAAAGATTAAGTATCATGATTATTTATTTTAAATGAAGATGAAATTCTATTTAATTTAACAAAGTGAAGAGAATCATGGTAACTATAGATGGTATTATTAACAGTTTACTGATCGAAAAAAAGTGAAGGAAATCATTGGACATTATCATTTATAATGAAATAACATTAAGTGTATGATACTACTGACAACATGTGACAATAAACAGTTATTTCCTTTTATCGGAAGGGGGAGGGTTTACATGGTGATCTAGCTATAATTGACTCATAAACTTAACTATTAAATTATTTCTTTTTAATTTTAATAGTTGAGATCATGAGTCAATTAAAGCCAGATCACCATGGAAAACCTGAAACCATTGGATGGCCGTTTCGTCTCATCATGGGACTCCTCACCAGTGCGCATCCATGATCTCGTCTCACGATATTCGAGCCCAGGACCTATCGATCTCGCGTACAAACGCTTAGCCACTAGGTTTTAATGTCTAACTTCAACTAATCCATGAAATTGAGCAACACATCCACCATTGTCTTCAGTGAGTTACTATTTCACAACAGACCCGATTGAACTCCACTGGTCACTGTTTCTCATTAGAACTCCAGGAAATACCTCTTGAAGCCAGTCGCTAGTAAGCATACGATGATTATTATCAGAAGGGGTTTTGTGGATATTATAGTGATTTCAGTAGTTGAGATCATGAGTCAATTAAAGCTAGACCACTACTGAAGTGTCCCATACTAAGACGAAACGACCGTTCAGTAATTCCAGGTTTTCATGATGGTTTAGCTTCAATTGTCTCATGATTTAAACTATTGAAATAATTATTTCTTTTTAGCTTAAAACTTTTCACAGTGCTTGCCTTAACTCAATAGTATATTGAAACCATACATTGTAGGTGTCGTTATATAATACTTAGGATTAAAAACTATCTTCATAATTAAAATAACCCGTAATGTCATTAAATAAGAAAAAGAGAATTCAGCGAAGAACTATTATCTGACTATTATCTGATCTATGAATTATTTTCTTTCATATCCCTTAATTAGTAAGCAACCTCATTTGTTACTTATTCTCGAATCTATTTTTGTTCAATGAATTCTCTTAATCATCAAAATCTTGAATAAATCTTTATTTATCAGAAGTTTTGTGGAGATTTTAGAAATTTCACTGATTGAAATCATGAGTCAATTGAAGCTAGACCACCATGAAAAACCTGGAAGCACTGGAAGACCGGTTCATCCTAGTATGGGACTCCCGAGCAGTGCGCATACACGATCCCGCACCCCACGAGATTCCAGGTTTTCCATGGTGGTCTAGCTTCAATTGGCTCATGATTTCAACAAGTGAAATTTCTCAAATCTCCACGAAATCTCTTCTGATAATAATCATCTGCTCAATAGTGACTGAGTTCAAGAGATGCTTCTGGAGTTCTAGTGGGAAGCCGTTACAAGTGGAGTTCAACCAGGTCTGTTATAAGATATCAGCTCACTGAAGGCAATAGTGTACGGTGACGCAACTTCGTGGATTGGTTGAATTTAGACATTATCAACGTTGGATGTTGACCAGCTCAGTGGTTTAGTTGGTTAAGCGCCTAATGCGAGACTGATAGGTCCTGGGTTCGAATCTCGCCGGGTGCGGAATCGTGGATGAGCACTGCTGAGGAATCCCATACTAGAACGAAACGCCAGTTCAGTGCTTCCAGGTAATCCGTGGTGGTCTAGCTTCAATGGACTCATAATTTCAATCAAATTTTTTATTTAACCAAAAATTTTTATTCATTAAATTACTTATATAAGTAATCATTACAGTTCATCAACAAGAGGAAATATATTTTAAAATTATGTAAGAAAATGTAACATTTTTATTTACAGAAAACATTATATGAATAATAATAATAATAATAATAATAATAATAATAATAATAATAATAATAAAAGACAAGGTATCTTATTCATTATGTTTTATCAAGATAATGTTTTTGTTCATTCATAGATACAATTAATAAACATATCTTGAAAGCAAACTATTTCTTTTTCACTTAGGAAATAAAGTAACATTACTATTATGTTACTCAATTAAAATAAAGTTTTCAGTAGTATTAACAGGAACATAACAAAAAAAATAATAATAAATAAACAAGAATTTATTAATTTTTTTTCTCTTTTTCTCTTTTTTTCATGCATATATTTATAATCAAGATTCGTCAAAATGTTTCAGATATAGTTACTTATCAGGAAATGATATTATCAGCTGAATATCTTCAATATTTTTCAGCTTTAAACAATATTTACATTCCTGAATGTTTAAATTGTATGAATTGTTGGGATGTAATGAAAAATCTTGGTAAGTTCAATAAAAAGAAAATGATGTTTTAACATTTAAATGTCAGTTTACTTGATATTGTTTTTACTTGAATCTTCCCATTGATGTTTTAGGACTGAAATTGATTGGTCTCTTATTGGCATATGTGCATACTGTGCGTATGCCTCGATATTGCCTTGATTTACAAGCATTATAAGCAAAGATGGATAGTGGCTAACAGTGGAATCCAGGACGCGTCCCAAACAGGACGAAACGCTCGTCCTGGATTCCACTGCTAGCCACTATCCATCTTTGCTTATTTAAATGACAGTGATGAAAATTGATATGATCTACTTTTTTAAATAAGATTCAAGATATTTTAATGTTAGGTAGTATGTTATTTTTTATTTGAAACTCTTTAACTGGATAAACCAGCATCTAGATATTAATAGTTACATAGAAATTTGAACTGAATATCTTTCTTTTCAAACACCGAACTTGTTATCCACTGAGTTAATGAGGTTGAAACACCATCAGTTTGTGTAGTATGAATGAATTATATTTAATTTCAGTTTATAAATCTTTCAATTGTTGATATAATGAATTTCAATCGATCCATCTTTTTTGGTGTAAGTTCATCTTGCGAGGATCGTCTTAATCTGTTTATTTCAGAAAAAAGTCTTTATAGAGGATTGAAATGTCCTAAATAACTTCGAAATTTCATGGCTTATGTTACATTGACAGAATTGTAGTGATAAATACCTTAAAACACAAAAGTGATCTCTTTAAGAAAATGTTGGTAGAAATTTCATTCTTTTTTTCTCACATTATGTTAAGCACATACATTAAATCGCAAGTAATTTCAATTATCTTGACGTGTTTTAAAACACCTTTCTTCAGTAATATGGTTGAATTACTTAATTGGACATTTTATTTCTTCTCAAATGAATATTTAGTTAAACAGATATGCTCTATGTGATTTTTGATGACTAATGATTTATTTCGTTGAATTTTTAAACGAGTACAACTCTTGTTATATAGATACTTTTTCCCTCTTAGTTATAGAGGGAATTTTCACTCCCTCCCTCCCTCCCTCCCTCACTCACCCACTCACTCCTACTTTGTTCTTCCTCTTCCCTTATCTTAATCCCACTACAGATTGATACGGTAATGAGTTAAATTGGGTGTGACTTATGTAACCAAGTTCGTATAAAATGAAAAAAAACGGAATGATAATGATATTCGTAAACACATATTTGCGTGATAAACTCAATGTGCGATAATTAATTTGGCTATTGATTTGCATTGTCCCATATTCTTACTTCGAATTAATCACCATGTTACATAGATAAGGAAAGATAACCATTCGTCATATTGTATGCTAGTTATAATATGTAATTATTATACGCATAGGATAAGTTTATGATGTAAAACTTTCGGTAACTCTGATGTAAATCTACCGTACCAGTAATAATGTTTCGATTCTTATACAATACAATGGACATATTACTTATTTGTTACGATCAATAATGTTATCTATCGTTCAGATAAAGAACATTTCAATTCAATTCGAACTACCGAATCACAAATAAAGCGCCCATTCTTCACACCAAAGTCTGGAAACGGTAAAAGTTAAAAAATATGTATTAGTGTTTGAATCAACTACTATAAACTTAAGGCTGAGTACTTGATAAAGCATAGAGATCCAATAATTCGAGTTATTGTTTATTCGTAGTCTCCAAAAATAAATAAAACACAAGACAATTCCGAATTCACAAACAAATGAATAAATATGTCGGTTTTCTCAATTAGAAACATATTAATCCTGATGTTAAAGTGTGGTTTTATGAACTTCTAGAGTCACGATCTGTTTAAATTCACGTTGTAGGATCACCATTGGGATTTTTGTTAGCAGATGTTTTTTTTTGCAAAACTGGAAAATAGATCGATTAAATAAATGATCAGTCAGCTAAAATTTTGCTGTCACTATATTGAAGATACTTTAACGGTATAAGAAAAATAGGGATGAATAGGATAATTGTTTGAACATATTCAATAACATTTATTCAACAATTGGATTTACTCATGAATAATAACTAAGTGATAGTACAACATTTTTGGATGTTCACTTGAAAAGAATATCAGATAGGATAACAAAAAGAGTCATCAATATAAAATCAGCGACTGGCCAATATACTAACTTCCACAAATATAAAATAAACTTAAAGTCCTGGCTTACTTACCCCTTGTGGAGGAACATAAGCCACCCACCAGCATTCTCCATCGAACTCTGTTCTGAGCAATCCTTTCTGGCAATTTTCAGTTGTTACTCATCATTTTGATATCTGCTCCCAATTCCTGATCAGTGTGCTCTTCCCCTTTTCCGTTTCTGTTGCTGATCGCAAGTGAACTAAATAGTATCCTTGAAATAGTGAACCGATCCAAGTCAAATCGACTTTGAAGACCTGGAAGCAATGAACTTCTATTTCATCCTGGCATAGAACTCTTCGGCAGTACACATTCACCACCCCACACTCGAGGATCAAACCCAAAATCATCAGTTTAGCGTATAAACCCTTGACTTCTAAGCCACTATACCCGGATCCAACGATCTTAATGTTTAACCTCAATCTATATGTTGTTATTTTTTCATTGAATTCTGTATACCATTAGAAGTTATAACATAAAAACACAATCAAATATACTGGTAGTACAAAATACATACTACCTATTAACTCTTAATTAACGAAAGTATCTTATTATTCGACTCGTATCAAATTCCTTTCTTTTTTTTTCTTTTTCTTTTGAATTGGTAACATGTTTGTCTCTAATTTAGAAAAAAGCAAAAAGGTCAATATACTTTATCATAAATATACGTTAAACTGAGTTTAACAAATTTTTTTTTATTAAAAAAAAGAGGAATTAGAATAAAACATACAAATTCATTGTTCACTTTTATTCTTTTCTCTTTTTTTTTTGGGGGGGGGAGTATTTTCAGATTAAATTTCAATTATGACTTTCTATATAAATAACAAAAAGGGAGAAAGAAAACTGAATTAATTAGTTAGTTATTAATGAAATCCTTATTTATTATTATTATTATTACTAATAAGGATAAGTTATATTAGTTTAATTTAATTGAACACACTTCCAATATATAATAGTTAGTAGTATATTCGTTTAAGTATTATTGTTTAATATTCATTGGGATATGATTAAGTTGTATAGTTTGCAAATGTTTCTTTTTTGTATTCTATTTTAAATTTATGTAATAATTATTTCGGAAATAAAAGATTTATTTGTCAAATATATAATGCGATAGATAATGAAATGCCCTTAAATGCTGTGGTACAACTTAGGGTGGGGATAGTTAGCTCTCCCTATTGAAATGCTCTCAAATAGTCACACATATACAGCTACTGTCATGGTAGTCCTACTCACTGCTTTCTCATAGGGTGGGGGGTGTTGTTTGCGAAATTGAGAGGATGGAAAGCGAATGTCCAACGTTTTAACCGGGTTAATGGACATGAAAGATCCACCTAGGAGAGTGAGAAAACCCTGATTCCAAACCAATGGTACACATGGGCTTCAGGATTCTGAGGGAATAAATGGAGTATGAACCACTTATTGGTGACCGGCTACCATCGGACTGAATTTCTTGACGTTTTTCCATTACCTTGTGGATAAGACCTTTAAGTTGAAGGCTTTGGGCGTGGCCCTCTAAAAAACACCTACTTCCGTTTGGGCACACGAGCACTATCACAGCCTACACACAAATCAAGTGACATGTGTGGTACATATGTATTCAGTGCCCCTTTCTACCAATATTTATGTGTTCAAATAAATAAATAAATAAGATAATGAAATCTGTATTTTATCATTCTATTTAATAGTAAATAGTTAAATCAACATAGATGTAATGAAGCTATTCATAAGTTATTTTTATCATTACGGAGAAATTGATTCCTCTTTAGCGTAATATAAATTCTATCAATTATGTTGTAATAGATATACCAATTTATACGACTTGATATTAAACTGCAGTTTTTTTGGGTAAGATGGTTAGGAATTATGAACTAAATATTTTTATGGCTTAGGATTCATTAACAAAATGTGACTGAAATTTCGAAAGATGTGATTTTGTCATTGAAAGACGAATACGCGTCAGTCAATCGATAGGATTTGTTAAATATAAAAGATTAGGTAATATAAAGACGATTAATGCTGAGTGATCGATTGGTGGGAATATATCTGTTCTATATGAAAGCAATTGATGTCTAGATAGCTTCTTGATAATTTCAGCTACAAAAGTATCGTGTTATGTTAACAGTTATAGATAGGTTTCCTAGCAGGCGGAAACTTGGATGGAACTTGAGTTTTAGGTTTCCTGTAACTGCCAGTAACAAGATAACCCGGTACTATTGGTCTTTATTCAGTCTGATAAATTTCACAGTCAACCAGTAAGATCAAGAGTAACTTAACTTCGTGAAATATATGAGTCAGGGTTATCTAACTTTTTATCATCACGGGCGAAATTCTGATTATCCATTGGAGGTCTGTGAAGCGCACCAATGACTGATTAATAACAGTACACGTTCTGAGCTCCTTGATTCTGTGTTTCATCAACAGATGCCAACATGTTACCAAAACGATCCTAAGTAAATCGTATATTATAGGAAACAACAAAGTTTAGAAAAAGAAAACTGGGCAAAATCTTTACCTTCACAGTAGCGTCTAATTATCAGAGCAGGTCTTTACTTTCTATCAATAGCCTGAAAGAATAATGAGGACCTTTTGTGATTTTATAAACCTTTCCAACTAGAAGTCAGTATTTATATCATTATTAGTAGGAGGTTTAGTTGTCTAGTTGTTGATATTGGGGCTGAGTTGTAATCAGTATTTGTTGAAATATGTTGATCTCGTGCACACAGCCTCGATATAAGCATCATGTCATAAGTTATTAAGAGTCCTGGCGTGAACATTGACACTAAGGTGCAGGTGTATCCAGCTGACGAATTCTAAACAAGAAGAAGCGCGGGTTATGGATCCCAATGTTAGCCATAACCTATCTATTATAGATAATCCCCATAACCTAAATCAGGGACTGATCTTAGTTAAAACATCTTTGAAAACCTGGGAGTAATATATGGCTGTTTCATCCTGATCTAGAACTCCTCAACAGTAAGCATCCACGACCATGTGTTCGGGAATCAAACCCAGGGCCTTCGGTACGGTGCACAAACCTCTGATTCCCGTTCCATTGCATAATATCACGGACTGATTGAAGATGCACACTAAGAACGCTGGATCCCAGCTTGGCAGTTCGGAGTTTGAATGTTCACGCTCTATACCGATGAGCTTTGTTTTGATTTCCTGATATGGAGTCTTGAACGGGCGCTGGTGAGGTGTCCCATGCCAGAATAAAACGGCTCCTCAGTGCTCACGAGTCTTCAGCGACGCGTTAACTAAGACTTTCGTAGTTCAAACTATGAAAATTCTATTATCTCCATCAATTCCCCTGAACGACCCTGCATAAACTGGTACTACTTTTACTACTTACTGATAATTAGTAAGTAGTAAAACATATACATAACTCCACCTATTCAAACCTGGATAAAGACACTAATCAGTAATTGAAAATTCATACATTAATTAACTTCCCATGCAACTAGTATTTTAACATTATGTGAGCTATTACCATCATAAAATATTATCTTGGTTTCATCAGTACATATGATAATTGTTGTTCATGAGTTGGTGCTAAATGTTTGCACAAAACGTCATTGATCTGTAAAACATTCACCTCAATCATGATCGTTTATTTTAAGATTTTATCCTTCTACACTTTTACTCTTACTCAATACAGATTGTTTTTCTAATGCATACTCAAATACACTTGTATTAATTACTTTTTGTTTTAAATATTATAATTTAGGCATAAATTTACACATTGTACCATTGGAACTTGATGTAAATAAATCAGCTGATTTCATTATTGGTATTATCCTATCCACACATTATGATATCATGTCGATTTATGTGAATGACAAAAATCTACCTACTGTAAAACGACCAGCATCATCACCTTCACAATCGATAATAAACCAAATAGTGCAAATTGACAAACCGCTATATAATCATACTAATGATATTGTATTCAAACATACTACTACTACGACTACTACTAATGATCAAACAATAGAGAATATTGTATCAAACAATCAAGGGACTCATTTAAATACTGATCGAAATATTCAAATCGGTATTATTGGTTTAGGTAAGTTGGTTAATTATTGACTTGATATTTTTTTTATACAAAAGTTTTCATGTTTAATTAATTTTTCTTGTGTGGGAAAATCCATTATTCTACTACACATATGTTGATTGTTATTTGTATGGCTTCAATCTATCAACATCATTCATTGAGTAATTTCAGTAGCTTCAATAATATTCGTGTGTAACAATTTTCGAATCCAAGTTTTACTATTGGCTGTTTTGAGTTATGTAATAGTTCCTTTTGGATAATCTCTCCTTCATTATCAATTTAATATCAGATATGATATCGGATATAATTTTCCAACTACTTCGATTAATTACATAAAAGTGTGATGATATAAACATAATTTTTGTTGTCGGTTAGTTTTATTGGTCAAGAGAGACAATTATTTTTTGAAATGTCTGTCACATATTCATCTCACTTGATTCATAACTTTTTATTTTGTTTAGATTTTGAGCATTAAATACCCATAAGTTATTCGATCATATTATATATGATGGAAATAATAGTGTTCTTTCTACATAGGTTTACTCCTCAAGGCTTAATGGTTACATTTCAATAATTATTACAGGGAACGAATTTTATGTTAAGTAAATGTCAAATGTGACTGGAATGATTATCAATATACAACAGAATGTCATAAAAATTATCAATCATTGATTCTAACAAAACTCATTGTTTAATCGATAAATTATCATACTAATTCAGTCAAGAGTTTGATTTCTGATTTCTTTTTTATCAGAATACTATGCGAAGATCAACTATCATATTAAAAAGATGAATTTGCAAGATCAGATAGAATAATGATAAGAGTTCTTGAGTGTTTGATCGCATAATTAAGCTATCAAAAGATATTTTCCAATTCATCAGAATAAAGGACAACTTATACTAAGTTAAACTAATTAGTTTGAAACAAAGCTGATAGTATCAACTATAGAAGATTATTATGAGGTTGAATAAGGTTGACATTAAATCCTGTTTGATTAAGTTCTCCTGCAAGATGGCACCCTTCAACAAGGCATGTCTAAAATCATGAGAGAACTATTACTCCCTATGAGGTTTGAAAGCATTCCACAAAGCATTATGCTCTGAAACATTATCACTAAGCTATTCGGTCCTGTATTGACCTCCTGTGGGTTTGAGACTTTAATTTTAAAAACTGTTATAACCAGGTTATAAGAAAGCTGATGGAGTAACTTGAACAGGTGCAAATATAATCTAGGTTCTACATTTTATATATCTCACTGTTTGACCGATAGAATAAATAGGGTTTACCTTATGAAAATAAAAATCAGGTTTCAAGTGTTTCATAGATGAAATTTCTGTCTATATCAAAATGGTATATTTAATTACTACCTTGTATTTTATTTATCTACATGATAACCTCAAATAGATTGTAAAATTTACAAGATCAATATCATGAAAGATCTTAGTTAAATATAGATTATGTAACTCCATCTCTATCGTTGATTTATTTTTCTTTCTATTGTATCTATACTTTTCTCCTTTTTCTAAAACAGGTCCAGTCAGTTTAACTATTATACGTCAATTAGAAAAATTTAATTATAATATTCGTGTATTTGATAAATATTTACCTGATGGAATTGACACTGTGTTCAATTTAAATTATACAAATAATCATGAAGAAATTATTCATGAATCTGATTGGATTATCTTTATACAAGAAGCGAGTATCCTAAAGGATTTGAAATTATTTGGAAAAAGTGATATCTGTTCTCCGTTGACAGTGAATGAAATATTTAATGAGAATATAAAAGCTAAAATGAAAAGTGGTAAATTTATATTCTCGAATATATATATATATATATATATATATATATATATATATATATATATATATATATATATATATATATATATATATATATATATATATATATATATATATTGTTCAGTGAACGGTTTTTATAGATATTATAGTAATTTTAATAGTTGAGATCATGATTCAATTGAAGATAAGCCATCATGAAAAACTTGAAAGATCTGGACGGCCATTTCGTTCTAATGTGGGACTCCTCAGCAGTGTGCATCCAGACATTGACACCACTGGATGTCGGCCAGCTCAGTGGTCTAGTGGTTAAGCACTCGCGAGTGAGACTGATAGATCCTGTGTTCGAATCTCGCGAGGTTGGATCGTGGATTCACACTGCTGAGGAGTCCCACAATAGGACGAAACAGCCATCCAGTGCTTTCAGGTTATCCATATATATATTTAATACTAGATACTTTATTTTCCTCTCAGTTTCAATGTGAACATTAACATTGAGATCCAGATATATTTAGTTGGTGAATCTGAAATAAGACAAAATAAGTGTCTGGGACTACAGTACTAGGCTTGATTAAGTATTTCATGAAAAAACTTTAGATTAAAATAAAGAAACTTTATATTTATGAATTGAATGAATACATACTATATAAAATTCACTTTCGGATTTTGTTAAATAGTATATTACGTATTGCAAATTCTATTAAAAAGACCTTTTGGTTTTTGAGTAATATCACAGTTCGGAATGTTACGTTGGCATTATTCATACCATTATTAACATTGATAATCATACAGATGTAAGAGAGTAACAAATAACACACGCATTATAAAATTTATGATCTAATTTCCACTGTTGATGGTTTAAAAAGAATGTATAAGACAAAATTAACTCTTTTAATGTGGATTAGTTATTTTACTAAATGTTTACTTTGGTAAGACATTTATGTCATTTTGTGTCAAAATTACATCTAAAGAAAAAAACAGATGTATACCGGCTCAGAGGTTTTAAGGTTAGGTGCTAACCATTAAACCTGATAATCGCCGGCAAGGTCATGGATGCACACTGCCAGGGAGTCCCATGCTAGAATGAAACATTTATTGAGTGTACCATGGAATGCAACTGTTTCCCAACTAATATCAGCTCATGATGTAGACTACAAAATTCAATCCCCTATATGAATAAAAATTATGTCTCTGCAAAGTCATTTTAGTTAGTGGTAGTACTTGTGTTCTAAATACTGACTTCATGATACGAATCTTGATATTTATGTCAAGGACTGTAATCACTGTAGTCAATTAAGTTAAAAAAGCATGTTAGTTATTCCTAGGTGGTGTTTTGTAAACGCCGAACTACTTTGAAAATTTACTTTATTTAGAAAATGTAAACTCTAGGATGACTTTGACTCAGTGGTTTAATGGCATTTTGGTTTTTGAGGAAGCAGGTGTTCTTAGGTTTGGTACAGATTGAAGCTATGAGTATACATTATTGAAGAGTATTCAACATGTGTTTCATCATAGTTCCTATTTTTCAGTAATTCGTTAGTTATCATCATTTCTTGATGAAAAGTAGTTTTACATAAGTAGCTGTCACACTTTCTGAAAATAAAACAAAAACTGGATATGCTTTATTCGGTCATCTTATAACCCAGTATGTGAGTATATCATAATTTTCCATCTCCTTTCATTCCAATCGATCCAATACGTTTTACTTATCATTTATACTACCTTTATATTGTATTTAATTCCCCTACGGACTTTCTGAGATTTGTTTAAGCATGATTATATTACATTTCACTTGAATCATATTATCACGATCATTACTGATGATAGTCTCCTAGTTTAAGCATAAAAATGAACGAATGCGTTATTAACACATTTCATAGAAAAACATTTAAATATCATTTAAATTCTTGAAAATTATAGGATGTCATATATTATACATTGATCTGGTTGACGATTATCCACATGAAGTAATTACATTGAATACACTTGCTCACTCTGGATATGTAGCAGATATTTATGTATTATTAAGGAAACCATGTGAAAAGTTAACTAGTAAGTGTATATTGAAGTTTTTATTCTGATAGTTACTGTTTATTATTTTTCACTGTTTTCAGTTATTGTTATCATTATGACATGGTTTCAGTGTATTAATATAAATGTACTTAGTAAGCACTTAGTGAGAATAGATGAATTATATCTAGTGTTGAAATTCAGCGTACACATTTGGTTTTATTTGGAACTCCCCAACTAGATGTACTTGCACCTCAGTGTCTGTGTTCGTATTGAGTGTAACTCAAACTAGGTATCCTTCGTCTCAAACTCAAACGTGTTATTCTTTGAGATACTGATCCGAGATAGTCGGTAAATTGCTGAACGAGTGCATTGTTCATACCACTAGCAGTAAAGGTTTAAATGATCTTGTTGTTGATACTGACGACTGAATTCTGATCAGCTTTCGTTATGGGGTTGAAACAATATAGCCATTTCGTCACGTATTATTTTGACTGCCTGGTAATTATTAGTTCAATGAAAGGTTAATTGTCTAATAAATTTATTATCAGAAGGGGTTTGTGGAGATTTCTAGAAATTTCACAGATTGAAATCATGAGTCAATTGATGTTAGACCAGCATGGAAAACCTGGAAGCGCTGGACGGCCGTCTCGTCCTAGTACGGGACTCCTCAGCAGTGCGCATCCACGATCCCGTACCCAGCGAGATTCGAAACCAGGACCTATCAGTCTCGCGTCAGGCGCTTAACCAACTAGACCACTGAGCTGGTCGACTTCCAACGGTGTTAATGCTTAACTTCAACCAAACCACGAAGTTCCTCCAACTTACACCATTTTCTTTAGTGAGCTGATATCTTTTGTGAATTAAACTATCTTACAATCAAATGAATTTTATTGATAATAAAATACTTGAATCAAACGTTAGTCTGGAGTTATCGACAACATATACATCAGGTTTCTCTAAAAGTTTGATTTCTAGTTACTTTAACTGGTTATTCAGCAATCGTTCCCTAATTCTACCACTATAATACTTAATGCATTTGCATTCAATGTCTATAATCACAGTTGATGTTGAATACAACGAAATACTAACTAAAAAGAACAGATTATAAGTGTATACTAAATCTAGATCAGTTTAAGATATTCCATCTTTTATTATTCTGAACAATGTTCATCAAGTATACAACTAATAAAAGTTATTAACCTTTTGAATTTCTGTCAAAGTTGGATTTATTTGTAGATTTCGTTATAGATATACGGCAAGACCATTATTAATAGACGAACCAATCATATTCACTATAAGAAATCTTGAATTTCGGCACGAAATCCTTTATAAATTTAGCTAAATTTAGCTGATGTCACTTCGTGATGGAAACCCTAAATCTAATTGCTATCCTTAACCATCAAATGTAAATCACAATCCTTATACTTCACACAGATTTAAAACCCTCGTTTAGCCCTAGTCAGTAGGTGAACATTCTCAAGGCCAGTTTAACGTCGCTCAAACGTCGTCCATGAATTACAGTCATACCCATGTTGGGAATTTAAAATGTATGAATCAGATCATAAATATAAACAATAGTATTTTTTAATTGAATTCTACAAAAACGAGGAAGTAATCACCTTTTCATAACAATTCTGATGTTACTTAATGAGTAGTCAAAGCTTAAACATCATTTGTTTTACTTTACAGATGAATTCAATATTCAACAATCATCAAATTTAATTTGTTTATATAATAAACTCAATAAATTACAAGTACAATCAAAAGAATTACGTAGAAGTATGAGTCAATTTGTTCGAAGAAATTTGCTTAAAAATTTGATATTTATACCTAAAATTAATGAAATAACTCAAACTGATGTGTATAAATATAAAACTGAACCACAATTTAAAGTGACTTTGAATAATCAAAAAATGAACACATTGAAGAAAAGTACAAATATGCATCAAAAAATACGTAAGTTTATTCATAATATTTATGAATTCACTTGATATTTGTAATTAGAAGTCTTTTTCTGATCCATCCTAGTGACTAAGATAAACTCACTGGAACTGTAGTGAACAGAACACCGGTGGGGACAATCGAATGTATTTAACACAAAATTACAGGACTTGTTAATAAAATCTAACAATCATAAAGTAAAAGCTTAATTTGCAAAATGTCCATCAATTGTCTCATAATGACTCAGACTTCATTGTTCTTGCATTTTCATACAAATTGCATCCTGCTTCCATTCTTTACTGTACGATCCTCTTGTCTCTTTGCTGCCAGACCTTCTGTTCACGACTAACATCATATACTACTTATATCAATATAAGTAGCACACATCACAGAACTGTTTAAAATATAAAGACTGCGTATAAATAAAATCAGTGCAATAAAGAATTCAAAATACTAATCATATCATTTATTTGGTATTGTTTGCATGTATCTTCTCATATGCCAACAAGAAACTAATCAATTGTAATCCTAAACAACAATGAGACGATACAACAAACAATACCAAGTGAATTTAAACTTCGCCTCATTTCACAAACAAGTGATTAGTCGAACTCAGTAGATAAGTTGACTTTGTGGTGGAGTTTGAAGTGAACGGTACTGAGTTTAAGTCCCGGAGTAAACATCAACTCTAGAATCCATGTACGTCCAGATGACGAATCTCAAATAGGACAAAAACGTGAGTCCTGGATTCCACTGCTAGTCACCACCCATCATTGTTTATGATGAATATCAGTCTAAAATGGTCAGCTACCTTTAGGTTTGATTTAATTAATATAAAAATAAATATAATGAACACGATTATTCGTGCTATTAGGAAAATTTTATTCACGAGTTGATTATTACTTAACACTTATTTCAAGGGTTAAACATCTACTGGTAATATGTTTGTGTATTACATTCAGGATTTTAACTAACAATGAACATTTAACAAACATTTGCTGGTATATGCTTAAATTGCCTGAAGTCATTGATAATCGGCTATTAGTATCATAATTAGTCAAATAATGAGACACAGTTAAATGATAAATTTGAGTTAAACCTTTATATAATAAGAATCATTGATGATCAAAGAATAATTAGATTTATGTTTATAACGTAATCTCTGGCTTTTTTTAATCATGTAACTAACTTCTTTTCAATGAAGGTAAAGTTTAATTTACAGATCAAAATCATGTAAAATTCTGTAGCTTTTTAAATGACTAAGTCATTTAACCATAAGTAACTTAGGACCTGTCATATGTGTACATTATTAAAAGTCAATTCACTACATTGGGACAGTGAGATGGAATTATGTAGACAAATTCTAAAGTAATGGGAAAAACAACCGTATCAATGATAGTAAAAAATATTAGGCAAAGACAATATTATTAGAAAGGAGAGAATATATTCGGAGAATAAGAGCGTATTATGATTTGAAACATCAAGATCTAAGGGAAGACAAGAAGTGAATGAGTTTGTGTCATTAAAAAAATCTGAGCCATATCACTGATAGTCTAAAACTATTAGTCGCGATCGTCATATGAACTCTAATCAGCTAGCCTGAGCATACCAGTGCATCTGAGTCCGACTGTTAGTAATTTTGTATACTAGCGGTACGTTTTGGTTAGGTCATCTCTAGATTTCTCCTAACCGCTACTCTTGCATCATTCGATATCGCAAATCAACATACACTAGGTGAGAATACGTAATGTACATACTAACCAGCTTAATCGATGAGGATTTACTGTTTGATCAACCGGATTATTATTATTATTTAGTAGTCTACGTTTAACCTCGGTATTTCCAACGTGGTGGCCACGTCATGCACAGGTGAATTCCCGAAAGCATCTTTAATCAATTACTATTAACTTACAACAACTCATTACTTTTAAAAATCACGTTTCACAGCTATGAAGTAAAACATAACGAAATACTACTAGAAAAAAATTCTCTTCACTAATTTAAATGATCACTACCTGATTTTAACACAGTTACTATAATTACACTGGGTTTTATATCCTCCCCTATTATTATTATTATTATTATTATTATTATTATTATTATCATTGTTTTGTGTCTATTTTTTTATTTACAGCACTTCATGGGATAAAAAAGCATCTAACATTTGGTATCAATTCATTAGTAGCTCCAAAAACTTTGAAATATTATCCTACTCATTGTGGATAACCATGAATTAAACATATTTATTGATGAAGAAGAATTGTAGCTCAGGTGGATGATTTTGATGAAGTTTTGCTCTCTAATCTGGATGGTTTTGTTATGGAGCTTTCATCATCCTTCTGAACAACATCATCAGCACAATGCACCGCGACCAAATCATCCAGCTCAAAGAACAAAACTGTATCAAAATATTCATTGATCATTAAGAAAAAAACTGATTGAAAATCTATGTATATACATATATGATCATCTATATAAATTATCATTTGATTCCAATAATAAACTATATATATATATATATATATATATATATATATATATATATATATATATATATATATTTGTACATAATTGACAGATATGCTTGTTGTGCAATGTCATTTATAAATTACATTATCTAGAATAGTCTAGTGATATTTTCTTCTTCCATGTTAATTGTATTTTGTTTTTAAGAGAAAAATTCTTTATTATTCCATAATCAATCTTTATCAGTGGTAACCAGTTATCATTCATCCATGAATAAAGTCCTACTTTAGTTCTTATTTGTGTTCAATCAATATTTTGACGATACTTTATTCAACATGCAAATTATTCAATATTATTGACTATTATATATTATTTTATTGTATTTATTATTGAAATTAAATATGTTTGCTTTTTCATTCTTATCTACATCTTCATTTTATAGTGTTTTTTTTTGTTTTTTGATGTAAGGACAATACTTAAGTGAAAGTTATTCAATTCTTTCTGTTTTATTAGAATGGGTTTTGTGGAGAATTTTAGAAATTTCACAGGCTGAAATTTTGAGTCAGTTGAGGCTAGACCACCATTGAAAACCTGGAAGCACTGGACGGCCGTTTCGTCCTGGTATGGGACTCCTCAGCAATGCACATCCACGATCCCACACCACGCGGGGCTCGAACCCAGGACCTACTGGCTTCGCGCGCGAGCACTTAACCACTAGACCACTGAGCCGGCATCCAACGGTGTTAATGTCTAACTTCAACCAATCCACGAAGTTGTGAAACCGTACACCATTGTCTTCAGTGAGTTGTTATCTCACAACAGACCGGTTGAACTCCACTGGTAACGGCTTCTCACTAGAACTCCAGGAGTTTTTCCTGAAGTCAGTCACTAGTAAGCAGTTGAGTATTATCAGAATGGGTTTTGTGGAGAATCTTAGAAATTCCACAGGTTAAAATCATGAGTCAGTTGAAGCTAGACCACCATTGAAAACCTGGAAGCACTGGACGGCCGTTTCGTCCTAGTATGGGACTCCTCATTTTATAATATTTTTTTTATGTAAAGACAATACTTAAGTGAAAGTTATTCAATTCTTTCTGTTTTAATTTTGATAAATATTTTAGTACGGCCCTTTGTTTTCTCGTCAATTACATCGGATGATGTTGTAGATGGGCTCACCACTTTAGTGGCTCAGGATCTGATTCCAATTAGATCGCATGAATGTTTGTTGTCGAAATACATATCCTGACTATTCTCGTATATCTTTATCGAGTTAATCCTCATTGAGTGAATAACGCAATTAAATAAGTCAAATAATGAGAATAGACTTTTGAATACATATGTTTTGTATATGAAGCAAATGGAATAGAGCGAAGTAAAACGACACGCATTGGAGAAGGTATGTGAGCCAACTTCATTTAGTCAAGCGTTAATCAATGATTATAGTCACACAAAAATAAGTTACAGACATGTGATGAATAGGATAAGAAGTGTACACATACATATGCGCTTACATAAAAACCGTCAAGATTGATAAGCGAATAATTAACAAGGTCAAAATGTGACTCAAGTAGAATCAATAGAGTGACCTGTCCGAAAGCTAGAATAAGGTATATGGGCTTAATATAATAACCGACACTACAATATTTCATCTAATTGATAGTTATATATAAAGAATATTTGATATCATTATTCTGTTAAGATCATCATAAACAGATTTAATTTTAGTTCATACTACTCATGTATAAACAAGAGATCATGAGTTGAAAATTTATTTTATTCGTATAAAATTGATGTAGTGTTTATTTAGTAAGGTTTTTTTACAGGATAGGATTTTCGATTCCATGCCAAACCCACCTTGTTTACTCGGGCTTAAGATTCGCAGTTACCATGGTAGGGCTCAAGGTGTAATTTATATCTAAAATATTTCTTGAACAATTTTGCTATTATTAATACTGGTTAGTATTAAAGTCTAGTCGATTAATGGTAGTTCCAATTTTGTGAAAATATGCTAAATTGTAAATTGGTTAAAACTGCAAATATGAGCTACTTGATACTGACTTCGTTGTTTATTAGCAATATATCCTCTTCAAGATGATAAACATTCTAAACTAGTACTCATGGTGCTTTGTATGTATCTCAATGTAAATATAAGCATTTCTTTTAATATTTTTTTCAAATTGAGGATGTTTTCCTATGGTACTTAAAATGTGAATCCACCAGTAAGTTTCATATTGTTTAAGGCTTGTTATTGAAACATACTTCCATCTATTCACATTTTAAACTTTCTAACAGATATCGACTAAAACACACATCAGTAAATAAATAATTTACATATTGAATCATATTAGCAAATTGTAGTACCGGGAGTTTTTAGTCGTTGATAAGGCTTAATGTGATTTTGTTATTAAATTTCCAAGAAAAAAGATGTTAATACTTTACCAAAAAATCAATTCTACTATACTATTGCTTAGAAACATCTTGTAACTAGGTAATAAGTCAAAATGAATATGGTTCTTTAGAGAAACAATGTGTTTATAATGAATATTACTGAATAGTGTTGTATTAGAATGTAAAAGTTGTCAATTGCTCTCTTGTTTTACAGTATTAGTTTCTACATTGATTTTAATGTATAGCAAATATCTTTAAAAAACAAATGCGACGAAAACACAGAGTAAATAAGAACTTCCATAGAAGTTGTTTTCATGTTAATCTAATTTTCAGAATGTTTACACCTCGTTTTTTGTTTAAATAACGTAGTGTACTCTCATTACAATAGTATTATGGTTATACAGACAATCAATGAATTCTGATAACCTGTATCAAAAGAAACACTATTCTTTCATAATCAAAGTCATTTGTGTAAACTATTCATTCTTCTATAGCTCATTATTAACGGGTCATTTAACTGTGATTGAAAATTTAACCTTTTAAATTTTCATTAGTTTATTTGACTAAATAATAAATTGATATTGTTGAATATATGTATATATGATACCTCTCTTGACTTCTGTTGTATATTTTTATTATTTCACTTACTCATATTACATCAAAGTTGATTAGGTGTTCAAACAATAAAGTAGATATTATTTTATAAAATATGTAACGAACTAAATGAATTAAAAAAAACGCTAACCTTTTTACTAATTAGACTATTAAGAATAAGGTATCAAGCAATAGTTTTCGCATGAAATCATAGGTCGACAGATGTCAATCAGTACTTCTTATTGAATTCATATATGAAATTTGTACTACTTTTTTTTTCATATTTTGCGGGTTTGTGTTAAAATAATGATGAGTATGTCAACCAAGTAAAGTGTCTGCAATATATTTTAACTTTGAGAAATTCACATTCTCACTAATAGTTCGTTTTGGTATACTACTGTATAAATGTACTAGAAGCTCATGATTAACATTTCACTGCTACTATGACATATCCCTAAACTATTAAATTTTTCGTCTGAGAAAGTACATAGCATTCACTTGATATTAAGTAACAGTTTTTGACAATATTTCTGAAGTATTCTAGTCAATGAGTTGTATCAATTCAAGGCACATAAAAAAACTTTTTAGCTTAAGATGATATCGGAATCAATTTTCATTATGAAATTATATCAGTTGGAAAATGTTGAAAATCATGAATTATTCAATAATTGCTTGGCACCAGTTAGCGATGCTACCATACACTACTGCATATAGGATTGAATCTGGGGTATTTTGGTCTCTTAGCAACCTCGATACCCTTAAATCATGTTGATAAGATAATATTAACTGAATGAAGAATTAATACAGCTATTAAGTGGACTGGTTGCCTTATTACCTTTCTGTCGGATATTCTTTTTTACACCAAGTGTAATTACTTGAATTGACAGTTGAGTTTGATTAAAGGATCTCTTAGCTTTACTTTATAAGATGATAAACATTTGCATACATTGATCAGAATTCATACAAAAAAAAACAGTTGTTTAATTTGATGTAAGTCTGTGACATAATATCGTTCTATAGGAGAAATCAAACTATAAATTCACATAATAATCTCATTTAATTTATCATTAATGGACATTTTAATTGTAAAGAAATTTCTTTGAAGTTATCTATAAATAGCCACTAGTGATTCTTTGAGAAGAAATCATTATTCACTAATACAAATAAATGAATGCTTCTATCAATTTTGATTTCAATAATATAATGAAGAAATAATAAAATTTCTTTCATTGACATTGTCTCCTACTTCATTGATCAGTTAAATCCATTTTCTTTTTTCTCTAAAGTATATTAGACAAAGACCATGGTTATTTGTTTGTATGTGTTATATTATACCCCTTGTATAAGGTCACAGAAATTAGAGCACATCAACAATAAATATAATGAAAAGAATAAATTCTAAAATATCTCCTCTAATCACTTAAGAAAATCAAACTGTGATAGAGATTAATAATATTTTCGTTATTATTGTTTTGTTACCTTTCAATTCATATGGATTATTATTTTCTTTGATCATATCTACCTTGCTTCTGTTTCTCCTTTTTCCGTTATATTTTATCTGTGTTAATAGGTGTATCAATCAAAAATGAGGTAGTTATTAATTATCTTTAACCATTTGAAGTTTCTATCATCATCATATTGTCTAACATCTGTTGTATATATGCCTGTATGTGCGTGTGCATAAGTACTAGGACTATAATCCGGTCATTCATTTATCCAAATGGCCGTTTTTCTTTAATATTAAGGCGATTTGGCTTCTAAAAAAACATTGACTTAGT